CATATGATATTTCATCTGTTTAACTGCAGATTCCCACAATCCACCAAAGTTTGGTGCACGAGGGGGAATGAAATGCCAGCTGACTTGATTTAGAAGTAAATAATCGCTAACAAATTTATCATCAACTAATTTCAAAATTTGTTCTTTCGATTTCTTGACTCTCATCACTATCAACAAGAATTTCAATTTCATATTGACAAGCTGAGAATTCATCCCAAATGGTCTCGATTTTTTCAAAACGTTTTATTAAATTTTGGATATCATCATTATGGAAGTTATTTAAATAAGTACTGAACCTAGTAAGCTGACCTTTTATTACACCTCTCTTTATAGTCAATTGCTTCAATTGATCTTCTTTCGTAGCCATTTCAGTGACTGAATATAATTGAAATGAATTCGAAGTTTGATAATACCCTAGGCCACAACGTTTAACTTATAATAGCCAATATAAAGCTCAAACGAAGAATTAAGCATTCATTAAAAAGGATAAGGATAGGAGAGGATATTGAAATCGGAACGAACTCACTGTATAGTATTGATAAGCTTCTATGTAGGGTGCTAACTTGGTTGCTATGCAGATTCCAGCTTGATTCTTGCATTGATTTTCGATTATCTTGACTTTTTCTTGATTATTGCTTTTATTGATCGATGATGATATGAATTGTCTTGAATATGCGATCGACGAAGAACAGTTCTTGATTTTTTGTTTGAAGTTGGTTTGCACTAATGACTGTAGGAAAATTGCATCCGGCTCGAAGGACCATGAATAAATCTGTGTTATGTGGATTGAGTAACTCTGTGTTATATTTTCTCGTTGGTTTTATTATTAATGAAGTTTATATGAGTAACAAATCTCATACAAAAATGACATTGATAAAATTATTGAATGTCTAAGTGACAGTAACAAATTGTCAATCAACCGGCCGACTTGAATGTAGGTAACATATACAAATTGTTCATACAGATTGTCCAATGATGACTTCTTCTCTTGAATAGGCCTTTCCAGTAACATAAAATTTGACCACTTTTCACTATAATGATATGAAGGGAAGCAAGAAATGTTATCCCTACCACATATTTATCAAAAATACTGATCATCAAATGAATTATTTGATATTGAAAGTTCAGCTAGCTGTGAGAGAGAAAATGTGTCTTCCCCATCTGTCCTTGTGTTCCAAGGTTAAATAATTGAATTTTCAAGTTGGTAACATTAGAATAGGAGGAGAAGAAATAGAGAAGAGGAGCATATTAACCTCAATATAAAAGCTTGAACTTGGCTAGATAGCTCAGGCAGCTAGGGTCTTTCAAAGTGAAGAGAAGAAGAAAAAATCTTGAAATAGTCTTCTCCATTTCTTCTCATTTCTTGTGTTGCAAACATACAATTTTCATTATTTTACGTTGGAGCCCTGAGGACAAGGTCAGAATGGGAAGACATATTATTATGTTGTCTCTCTAAACACTAGCTGAACTTCTCTATGGAATATCACTTCAGTTTTCCCGAGAAATTGACTTACGTCAAGAATTTTAAATTTTATGCCATTTGATAGAGCAAAAAAACCTTTTCATATCACAGGTTGACATTTGTTTCCAAAATGACGGCGCAGGAGACATTTTGTCTACAATCAATAGTAAGTTTTTGATGAAACATGCCAAAATTTGTATTCATTGACATTCAGGATTCCTATTAGTAATAATTTTTTCATGATGTTGACTTTTTCTCTTGAATAGGCCTTTCCAGTATCATATAATTTGGCCCCTTTTCACTATAATGTTATGAAGGGAAGTCAAAAAATGTTATCCCTACCACATATTTATCAAAAATACCGATCATCAAATGAATTATTTGATATTGAAAGTTTAGCTACCTGTGAGAGAGAAAATGTGTCTTCCCCATCTGTCCTTGTGTTCCAAGGTTGAATAATTGAATATTCAAGTTTGTAACACTAGAATAGAATGAGAAGAAATAGAGAAGAGGAGCATATTAACCTCAATATAAAAGCTTGTACTTGGCTAGATAGCCCAGGCAGCTAGGGTCATTCAAAGTGAAGAGAAGAAGAAAAAATGTTGAAATAGTCTTCTCCATTTCTTCTCATTCCTTGTGTTGCCAACATACAATTTTCATTATTTTACGTTGGAGCCCTGAGGACAAGGTCAGAATGGGAAGACATATTATTATGTTTTCTCTCTAAACACTAGCTGAACTTCTCTATGGAATATCATTTCAGGTTTCACGGGAAATTGACTTAGGTCTAGTATTTTAAATGGAACTCTGTATATATTTTTATGCCATTTGATAGAGCAAAAAACCCTTTTCAATGACATATCACAAGTTGACATTTGTTTCCAAAATGACGGCGCAGGAGACATTTTGTCTACAATTCAAAAAAAAAATTCAAAAAATCAAAATTTCTTTAATTCCTTTCAGATCAAGACATATCCATATAAAAGGTTTTTAAACAGACATGTATGATATAGGAAGCGTCAGCAAATGTAGGAAAAAAAAAGTTCTATCAATAGATAATAAACGACCCTAAGTAAAAAATAAAACATTGAGATATAAAATCACAATGAATAATAAACGACACTAAATAAAAATAAAACATTAAGATATAAAATTACAATTAAAATCGAAATTTCTTGTAACGTCACACCGAAACACTGTTGAAAAGAACATGAATATTTCCATCCCTATTACAGTTTTGGTTTACTGGCAAAAAACTGACTTACTGAGTAATAAACTTTGGGTAACAGATAGTTTTTCAATTCTACCTTAAACTTGTTTACGCTTAAGATGTCCTTAATTCCAGATGGTAAATTATTGAATATTTTGATTGACATTGCATGGGGGCCATCCATGGCACTGCTCAGGCGATAATGAGGAGTGCATATTCTAGTTTTTCCACGAGTATCGTAACTGTGAACATCTTGGAGGGTTTTATATTGATTTAGCCTACTTTTCACATACACTGAGCATGCAAATATATATACTGAGATAACGGTGAGTATGTCATATTTAATAAATAGCTCTTTGCATGAGTGCCTCCGAGGTACCCTCGCAATTTGCCGGATTAAGTTTTTTTGCGATATCAAAACTGCTTCAATATTCTGTGAATTACCCCAACAGATCACGCCATACGATAGCTTCGAGTAGCATTGGCCATAGTAGAGCATGAGTAAAGTGGAATCACTGACATGCGGTCTGAGTTTTCGAAACAAAAAAGAAAGAGAATTCAAGGCCTTACATAGTGCCTCAGTATGTGACAGCCAGCTCAGTTTGGAATCGAGGTGAATGCCCAAAAACTTTGTACTATTCAATTGTTGTACAGTACTCCCATCATCTGATCTCACTAATATACTATAGTCAAATGGTTTATTTTTGTTTTCGAAATGAATGATATGAGATTTTTCATTATTTATGCTTAGACAATTCTGCTTTGACCATTCATTCATTTTGGACGTTATATTTTGGGAGTGTTCTATAGTTGTTATGAAATTAGAGTCGTCAGCATAAAGAATTGGTAAAGTTTTAGCTGGAGCAATACTTGGTAAATCATTGTTCATAATAAGGAACAAGGTTGGAGACAGAAGACTTCCTTGAGGTAACCCAATGTTAGTCGAAAGGGGGGTGGATTTTACACCATTTGCATATACGATTTGTTGGCGATTGCAAAGATATGATTTGATCCAGCATATTGCTGGACCCCGTATTCCAATTTTCTCTAGCTTGAAGAACAATATTTCATGTTGAACCAAGTCAAACGCACGACTAAAGTCAAAAAATAAACCTACAGTATCTTCCTTTTTATCTAATGATTCTAGTGTGAATTTCACGCTTTCATAGATTGCCGTTTCTGTGCTTTTCTTCTTCAAAAAACCGTGTTGAAATGGGGTCAGGATTTTATTCTTGTCTAAAAAATTATTTAGTTGCAATAAAAACACTTTTTCGAATATTTTGGACAATTGATTTTGCACTGCTATGGCTCTATACTGCGATAAATCAGCACTTGATCCTTTATTCTTGAATGCGGGCGTTATTTTTGATTTCTTCAATATTTTTGGAAATTCACCATACTCCAGGGATCTATTTATCAAATATAACAGAGGTTTTTTTATTTCATCAAAGCAAATGGAGTAAGTTTTTGATGAAACATGCCAAAATTTGTATTCATCGTCATTCAGGATTCCTATTAGCAATAATTTCTTCATGATGATGACTTTTCTCTTGAATATGCCTTTCCAGTATCATAAAATTTAACCACTTTTCACTATAATGTTCTGAAGGAAAGTCATGAAATGTTATCCCTACCACATTTATCAAAAATACCGATCTTCAAATGAATTATTTGATATTGAAAGTTCAGCTAGCTGTGAGAGAGAAAATATGTTTTCCTCATCAGTCCTTGTGTTCCAAGGTTCAATGATTGAATTTTCAAGTTGGCAACACTAGAATAGAAATGAGAAGAAATAGAGAAGAGGAACATATTAACCTCAATATAAAAGCTTGTACTTGGCTAGATAGCCCAGGCAGCTAGGGTCATTCAATGTGAAGAGAAGAAGAAAAAATGTTGAAATAGTCTTCTCCATTTCTTCTCATTCCTTGTGTTGCCAACATACAATTTTCATTATTTCATATTATTATGTTGTCTCTCTAAACACTAGCTGAACTTCTCTATGGAATATCACTTCAGGTTTAACGGGAAATTGACTTAGGTCAAGAATTTTAAATGGAACTCTGTATATATTTTCATGCCATTTGATAGAGCAAAAAAACCCTTTTCAATGACATATCACAAGTTGACATTTGTTTCCAAAATGACGGCGCAGGAGACATTTCGTCTAAAATCAATAGCATAATAGAGATGGAACATGCCAAACCGTGACGTCATCATTGAGTTTGGTTTGTGAAGCCTGTGACTTGAAACTGTAGAGATGTTCCTAGATGATTTTTTTGTTATGTTTTTTGGAATGTAATAAACGGATTAATTGATTAATTCATTCAGGTGCGGACGAAATATGGGAGCATGCCGTTCAATTTGCGGTCGTTCCAGGACGAGACTAAGGCGAAAATGGGCGTTGTTGAGTGCGTGAAGAATAAGCTCATTGAGCCTTTCCAAGTACTTTATGAAAAGCCAGGTGAGCGGGAATATTATCGAATAACTTTTTTTACACTGAATGTATAAAACTTTGTTCACGGACTTCCAATGAACAAAAACTTCCTATATCTTCCAGTGACTTTCAATTACTTCCAGTGACTTTTAATGAGTTCCTAAAAACATCCAATGACTACCCAAAGATTTCCAGTGACTTCCAATGACTTTCAGCGACTTCCAATATACAGGATGGCATTGAAATAAGTGCAAATATTTCAAACACTGAGAAAGCTCGACGTGTACTATCTGATGGCACTGATAAAAAAAAAATCAGGGACTAAAATAAAATTTGAGGTTAGACCCCTTTTTCCACCCAAAGTTCTACACTGTAGCAAATCTGACGTCACCTCTGTTCAAATTTCCACGCGGAGCTCAATCATTTAAATTGTTTTAAAGTGGGGTACTTGATTTTTTTCTCGTATTTTGTTCAAATTTCGGGCTGAAATTTCTCGTAAATTAGAAGAATTAGAAAAGATCTGATATCATCCGAATATTCCTTAGACTGTATCATATTAATGTGCTGAATATGTGAACTGATTTCAAAAACACCTTGTAATTCAGTGACTTCCAATGAATTCCTGATATTTCCAATAACCACCAAAGACTTCAAGTGAATTCCAAAGATGCCCATTGACTTCCATGACTTCAATGGCTATCAAAGTCTTCTAGTTACTTTGAATGACGTCCACTGATGACATTGACTTTAAGTGACTTCCAATGACTCTCAATGATTGTCAAATACTTCCAATGATTACCAGTGACTTCCAGAGACTGCCAGTGACTTACAATGAAGTGTACAGCAGACTTCCGAGGAGATTTACCTCTGGGTGATAATTTAAGGAGAAAAGTTCCTAAAAATCCTGTTTTTCCGACAAGTTACAGAGAAAAAAGGAAGATAGGGAAGAGAGAGGGGATGAGAGATAGGGAAGAGAAGGATAAAGAGATGAGTGAGAAAGAGGGAAGAGAGAGATGAAAGAGATGAGAATGAGATATGAGAGAGTAAGATGAGAGATATATATGAGAGAGAGTGTGATATAAAAGACAGATATGAGAGAAGTGTAATTTGAAGGAGAGATGAGAGATAGATAGGGTGAGAGAGAGAAATATAAGAGTTGAGGAAGAGCTAGAAAGAAGAGGGCTAAAGAAGGGAAACGGAGGGGAGATGAAGATATAGGGGGAGAAAGAGGAGAGCTGAAACAGAAAAAAATAGATATGGGAGAGAGAGAGAGAGAGAGAAATAAAGAGATATAAGAGATGAAGAGATATGAGAAATAGAGATAGATGAAGAGATAGAGAGATGAGATATAGAGATGAGGTAGATATAGAGAAAGAGTTTGGGATAAAGAGAGAGATAGAAAAATAGAGAGATCAGAAAAATAGAGAGATGAGAAAAATGAGAGTGATAGAGGAGAAAAGAAGAGGAGTTAGGTAGAAGTGCAGGAGATCGGAACAAGAGGGGAAAGAGGAGAGGAAGAGGAGAAAGGAAGTAGGAAAGATATGGAAGGGGGATAAGAGAGTAGAGAGATAGAGGGGAATGAAGGAATTAAAGAGAGAGGGGATAGAGAAATGTAGAAAAGAGAGGATGAAGAGAGGAAAGTTGGAATAGAGACCTATGGAATGTAGTATGGAAGAGGATTAGACAAATGTCTAAAGTTGAGGATGATACTGTGATATTTCCTTTGGGTATGCAGTCAAAGAAAAACAAAGTGTACTCTTGTTTCTGTTCAAGCTTTTGAGTCTTTACCCAAAGGGTCAAGGAAATCTCACAGACTATAGTATACATATACTTGAAAAATTTTCTGATGATGATGATTATGTTTTACTCCAATTGATCCATATGATTAATAAGAATGAACAAAACAGAATACGCTGATCCGCCCAAAAACTGCCTCGCATGACGATCGTTGCTCCTCTGCCCTTCTGACTCTGCCCTCCCTGGGTTTTCTTGCAGGCGAGTTCGTCGCCCACTTCAAGTTCACGGTACTCCTCATGCCGAACGGGCCCCACAAAATAACCGGCCTGCCTTTCGACGCCGACTTGTACCAGTCTGAGTATTCCGTGACCAGCCCCGAGCTCAAGTCGATCTTGAACAGCTCGGCGAACCCGAAGGCGGCCAAGAAGAAGAAAAAGACGTCGGAGAGTGCCTCGGAGGCCCAGCCGATGGAGGTGGAGGCGGCCGCTTGAAGTAGGGTTAGTGATCGAGACTTTGTCTTCTACGTCCCACAGATTAATTAATTGTTTTTTTTTTCTTCCTTCTTCTTTTTTGATGTGGTTAGGATGTTTTCTGGTTCCGATGTTTTTCTTTTGTAAATGATATTTTGGACAATCAGTTTTGGATGATTTTTTTACTATCGAGTTAGTAGACCAAACAAAATATTTTGAATTGAATTTTTTCTGAATTACAAACGAAAATTGTAATTTTTGTTGACAAGAAGATCGATTTTTTTCATATCTTATAACTCTGACTTTCCCTTTTATTATTCACTTTACTCATTTTGTCAAATATGTAACAATGTACTAAAAAAGTGAAATTAAATATTTGCTATTTTGAATTTATTGTATGATTGATTTACAACTGGACAACTGCAGCAGATGTGACCAGAAATACAAGGTGGAGCTTAGGAACCGAGTGTTTTTGGTTTGGGTAGTACTTGTCAAGTAAACAAGGGTTAGTATCAGACTGTCTTCATTTAGCACTGTTGCCAACCTCACATATTACAATATACAATGTCAACTCTATAGGTACGTTGTGTACAACCTACGTCACATCTCCCCTATAAATCAAGTCTTTTTACAGGTTTTACATTTCTACCTGAAGATGTTGTATTAGGAAGGTTTACAACTTCTTCTGAGACTGACGAATCCAGTTGGCTCTCAGATGTTTGTTCACCTGTGCCTAGACTGTTATTGTCACTTAAACTAATTAATTCTGGGGGAGTATCACCTAGTAACTCTACACTCGAATTATTGTCATTTTCACTTGCACTCTTGACAATGTCTCTTTGTTCTGAACCTTCTACATTCCTTTCCCTTTCATCTATTTCTTGTCTATTCTCAATTCCTTCTAATTCTTCCATATTACTATTACTAAAACCATCTACACTTTACTACTACTTTCCGCATTTTTTGGTTTTAATGCAAATGAACAATTTGTTTTCCCTGTGGTATTATGATTTATTCTTCCTATTTCTCACGAATATTGAACTATTGTTCATTTGTATTTTATATGTCCTATCTCTGAGTTGTTCTAACACAATTCCTGGTTGCCACTCTGCATTTGGCATTAGCTGTACATAATATGCCTGTTGTCTTATCTGTCCATTTTCTAATACTCCTCTGTTGAAATGTCAGACCGGAAGTTAACTTCGACATGTCAATATGCTCAAATTCTAGCTCTTATGTCATTATATCGACGTTCCAAATTTCACAAACCTACTTCATACAATAACAGATATTCCGTAGGCAATACTTCCGTAGCAACCCGGAATATCGAAACATGACTATTCAGGCTATTGCCTTGAACAGTAGTACGGAGACGAAAACAGTAGATCTACTGTTAAAATAGTAGGTCTGGCAACGCTGATTGACGAACGCCTCTGGTGGTTGACGCTGTTGACAAATGACAGTCGATAAAATAATCAATAAAAGCCGCCATATTCGAATGGGCCAATCAGAATTTTGTGTCGAAACTAAGCCAATGAGACTTCGCATTACCCCTCCAAATTTTGGATCTGAGATCCAGCGCATGTCTGTTAAAATCACAACTAAATGAAAAGGCCTATTGAGACTCTATGCATGGTAATATTGTTCTTAGCTTACGTGACATCAAAATTTCAGATGGCGAGATATTTTCAAAAACTGGTGTAACATGATAGTATAAGAGTGCAAGGTGAATGTCTTTTCTATCAGCTGCACTTTTTTGTCAAGTAAACAAGGGTTAGTTTCAGACTGTCTTTATTTAGCAACCTCACATATTACAATATACAATGTCAACTCTATAGGTACGTTGTGTACAACCTACGAACCTACGTCACAGTACTCAGCCATTAGAAAAGGGCGGGGCGCGAGGTTTATTGCATCATATTGCATCTCACATATATGGCAGCAATCTATTGAAAAATATGGTGAAACCTTAGCCGTGGCACTTAATTGATTTGATATACCCAAGGCATTCGATCCGGCATCACGGACTCCTCGCCAAGCTTCCATCTTATGGCTTGCCTCCCCAGTTATGTTCTCTGCTAGCTAGTTATCTCTCAAACGGTCGACGGAGTTTCAAGTGCTCTTAGCATAAATGCTGGTGTTCCGCAAGGATCAATTATTCTAGCACCAACACTATTTCTACTCCATATTAACGATTTGTTGGAAGCAAATTCATGTCCAGTACACAGCTTCGCGGATGATAGTACCCTCCATACCGCCTTCTCTTCCAGGGCTCCAATACCAGCCAGGCAAATCAGAAACGAACGAGGGAGAAATGTTGACAACAGATATGGACTTGGCGGGAATCCAATAACTTGGTAGATTTCAATGAAAACACTGGTATTACTATCAGCAATAACCTCTCTTGGGAAAATCACGTGTGAGATCAATTGCTGAAAGTGCATCCCAAAAACTTGGTTTTTTGTTTCGGACCAGGGAGCTATATTTCACTTCCAGTCAGCTGCTTATGATCTATAGGGCACAGATCCGACCTGTCCTGGAATACTGTTCCCATATTTGGAGTGCAGCACCCAAACATACCCTGAAACTGTTGGATTCTGTCCAAAATAGGGCAATTCGTCTGGTGGGTGATGCCTCGCTCACAAACTCGCTCACTTCTCTGGAACACCGTAAAAAAGTTGGTGATCTGGCTCTATTTTATAGATATTTTCATGGACGATGCTCTTCTGAAATATCAACAATTGTTCCTCCCTTGGCAGTCCCCGTGAGATTAATCCGTCGAGTTGAGGCTTCGCACCCCTTTGTAGTCACTTTGGAGACCTGCAGAACTTCTCTTTTCAAAGACTCGTTCATCCAACGAACAGGTAAATTATCTATATAAGGTCTAACTAAATAACAAAAAACGAAATCAGAGTTCAGTATGGTCGTTGGTAATGTTGGTACTATAATAATAAATAAATATTGAAACTGAAATTTAAAAAAATGCGTAAAAAAGAAGGTGGTGTATTCTGGAAACGACAGAAGATCAATAAACAAAAGCAGTTAGACGAAATTGTCAAGAAAAGCTTTAAAATACATTCATTTTTTCTAAATTCAAATAAGACAGAATCAGAACCGACAGAACCGTCTCCGAGAACCTCACGATTTCAAGACGGGATTGGTAAGTTTTATATTTATTTACATTCAATACGCGAAAAAGAAGAGATAGAGATTCTCAAAAATAGATGATTGAAATATGAATACGACTAAGTGTTGTTTAAGGGATAATCACAACAAATTCCTAATTCTTTGATTATTGGCAATTACTGAGAATTTTTTTACTATCCCTGATGATTAGTAATGCCAGTATAGTGAAAGGTCATCCTCAACTTTAAAAAGAGTGAAAAACTTACTTAGGAATTCCATAGTAGAGGATATATTGAATATCTTATCAATTTCAAATATTAACAATGACATGTTATTAAATCTGAATTTTGATGATGCCATTGACGACTTTGCATCAAAAAAATCAAGAAAAGTATTTTAGTATTCATCTGAAAAAAATTTTTGTTGTTTGTTGTTATGTTTAACGTGTGAAGTAAATATAATTTGATTCGTTGTAAAAAATGATTTCATGTTATTGTTATATGCTGTTAAAGAAGTAGCGAAAGGATTATTTGAATTTTGAAACTGATAATTGAAAAATTTAATATTTGGCGGCGGCGCGGCGGCATCGTTAAAGTTGGCCCCCGGCGTAAAGGGAGTATAAATCCAACACTGCATGCATATAATATCATTCCGAATATTCAACAGAAAACAACTACTTTCCTGGCTATTTGCCACGTCGAACATTGAATTATATCTCTGTTGAATATCCAAAAAGAGAGCATGAAAAATCAAAACCCTCTGAAATTGAAGATTGAGATTATCTCTCAAATCGCATAGAATAATATGATGTTGTATTGAAATGGAAATTGAAATGTAGGTATAGAAGTAACATACTTGTATGAACTCTGATTTTGATGAGCTTGGTACTTAAAAAAAATCAGTCGTATCAGTGATATTGGAATTATATCTCTCACAAACAGGTTATATGACTTAACTCGAGTAAAACTCATTTTGGATATCATATCCTCATCAATAACCTGAAGTTCAGTTATTCTTTCAGCCATTCTTCATGATATACACAATTTTCATCTCCCTAAAATATAACTAAAACTATAACGAACTGAAATCTGAGAATTATAATTTGTTGACATATAAGCACTGTAGTTTTTACAGGTAGTTGAATACACACGTAACAGGTGAAGAAAAGAAAATGAAAGCAATAAAAGTCACCAAAGTCTGTCGCGACCACGAAAATATTTTTTTAATAAGTAGTGTAACTAGTTTCGGCTACAGATGCCATCATCAGACACAGGAATGATGTATGTAAGTACCAAAAAGATAATTACCTATGGACATTGTTAAGGAGTCAAAAAAGAGTCATTGAATCGATACAATAACCTTGACTTGAATGCCCTTCAAGATGATGTGCCACTTGACCCCCCCTTCCCATTTGAGATTCTAAGGGTAACATCTACCCCTCCTAGGGGATTGAACTAACAGGGCTAAAACTAATCATTTCAAGTGTCCCCTTGAAAAAAAAATCAACCAGTTTTTTCGCTTTCTCATATTATTCACTGCAAGGAAGATATTGAGGGTGGCAAGTTTTCGGAATGTCACCCTGTATGACTTAATGAAATGAGACCATTAATCCGGTGCATATTGTATAATAAATGATTTATTTCATTTCCACATCATCGATCACATATTTCAACTTTATTATAAGAGTGGTAGGCGAAGTGACATCGGCGACCAAAATATCCTGGCCGTCTCTCAGACCCAACTCCACCAACGACTTATTCAAATTGTCCCGAGTGCGTTCCTCTATGCTCTTGATAGTCGCCATATACAGGGTCTTGTTCCTCCCGTCGATCACGGTCGTCAAACCCGGGGTTTTCATCTGATAAGCTGCGCTCTCGGCCAACAATTCCAGAAGCTGCCTCAATTTCATCTTGTTGGGGTCTTTGATTTCGAGTATTTGAGGGGTTTGTGAACACACCAGGCAATCCTCTTTTTTTTCGGCCTCGTATGTGTACGTGTAGATGCCGTCTACGTCGTTGAAAACCATGTAGTTGTTCATTGGGACGCAACAGCTCGTGGCGATTTTGAAAACCTGGAAGAAATTGCAAAACCGGGCCTGTCACTAAATAGAAAAATCAGGATTTTGCTGAGCTGTTGAGGGAGAATGACCACAAATACAATGGGGAAGTTTCCTTCAGATGAATTTTCATAAAATGAGTTCGGAACTCTCCAGTTTTATGTCCACGCTGTACAAAATGGCGACCGATAAAGTCCAAGTCGTTTTCATTTTCAAATTACAGCAATTTCTAATTTTCGGAGCGGCAAACTGTGACGTACATTCTGAATCTAGTCTGAAAATAGCTGATGGTGAAGAATATAGCTAGGGAACAGCTAACGAATAGCTAACTATTTACTGCCATCGGTCAGAACAGAATGAAGCCGACACCAATGGACCCTTCCTCTTGTTGTGTATGTCAGTATTTTGAGTGGTGTGGACGGACTCGAAATATTAGGCGCTGTTGCAAGATATAATCTGCAACTGTTCTAGAAAATAGATCCGTTTTATTAAGGAACGAATTCATTAGCAAAAAAATGACTGACAAGTCATGAATAACGTATTGTAATATGACGATAGTGAAAAATTATCGATACTATCGCAAAATATAATTTATCTTTATTAGTAATCAACTTCATTCAGCCAATGAGAGAATTATGGGAATTATTCATAATACTTGACAAAGTAGAATTGAAGAACCTATTAGATATACTATTGCTGTTATGATATGAATAGTTATTATGCATTAAAAGAACAATTTCCGGAAATCTAGACATATTTATGATGTCGGCAACATCGTACTAAGTTCCTCTTTTATTTTTTTTTTTTGAAGTGAGATTTGATCTTACGGAAAAAAGAAAAAATACGAATATATAAATTTTTTACATTCTTCACGATGAGATAAAAACCTCAATATAGGAAACTTCCCCATAGTGAAAAAACACCGGACATAAACATAACAGCAAATTCAAAATAATCTGCCCAACACTGGAAACGAAAAATCGAAATTTTTTACAAATTTTGATTCATCATATTTTCATTTTCAGAATATTCAGAAATGATTATTGCATCTCTTCAGATTGAGATGAGAGGAAAATAATCATAGCTATGCAATGTTTAAAAAACTTCAAAGTCCTCCAGTTTGAAAGGAAAATTTCCCCTTCTTTTTTCTGAGGCAAAAAAACATACTAAAATACTTTGAAGTTATTTCTTCATTTATATGATTCATTATACCGAATGACCCATTCGGATAGATAGATAGATAGTAAGATTTATATTCTTCCATAAAATTTACATTTTTGGAGACATCATGAAAGTTTGTAAAACCAAAACATATAAAACTACAAGGTTTACCTATACAGGGTATGTCAGGAGCTTACACTATCTCTATATCGAGAATCAATCGGGAGAAATCCATGAAAATAGGCTCTCTTCATTTAAAATATTTTCAGCAATGCAGTTGTTGCCGCTTCTATCAAAAAGTAGCAACAACTTTGTTATTTCAAATGGAATACCCTATATTTTATTGCATTTTTAGATTTTCCCTGGAGAGATTTCATGGATATATCACACTAGGGGTCTATCGGAAATGATTACAGAGAAATCAAGATTTATCAACTTTAAGATTATTTTCTGTCAAAACTATTCATTATCAGCCAAAACGGCTCACATGTTCCTATCTCAACTTTTGTTATTTACTGATATTTAGTTGGAACAGATACAGGGTGATCAGATTTCTAAATCTTGAACCAGTGCATGTTTTATGCTAAAATAATATAAAGATTGATGCAGGAAGAAAAAATATGACTCAATTATTATAGATCACTTTTTTGTTTGACTTGAATGGAAAATTGATTTGAGAATGGATTTCATAACCCTTCATTATATTTTCGAATAATGAGGATATATTGACTATCTTTCTTATGAAATAAAAAAATATATATATATATATGACTGAGACAAAATGTATCAGATATAATTCTGAAACTCATTGTTTTCAGCAGAAGTATGTCAATATAAATTATTCACAAAAGTTGATGATATTATTCCAGGGGTAAAGTTGAAAGTTAATGTATAAGAATGTGAATGTTTCTTATATTATTCAATAAAAATAACTCCTACTTCTCCTAAAAGCATTTCAAATAATTTTCAAATTAGATAAGTACCTATATGGTAAATACATGAATATGAATATATGAATATTCATAATATATCCAAAACAATAAGAAAAAAATATATGAAGTGAAAACAATTCCACATCACACTACAAAATGATGGGATCTTTGTATACCTACCTCAGTTGCACAAATTCCAGCAATGACAGCATTGGTAGAGGCAACTGCAGGAATAATATGTTTCACCACCCCTTGTACAAGCCTATAGGTGATTCCAGGAATATTAAATTGCAATGATCTCTCCATAGACTTCTCATAAATCCAAGCAATGTGTTGGGTATCATCTCCATCCAAGGGAACATTAAATGGATTTTCTTGAGGCCAAAGTATCAGTTTGACATACTCAATGCAATGTTCAGGCAATCTAGGAGTATTGGCTATAGTGCATAAAGGGTAATTTACTTGGGGAGGATACAGGTCCAAAGTGCATTCAACACAAGCACTCATTCCTGGTAATATCACTCTAGCATTGCCTTTAAACCCTTCAGTTCCTAAAAAGTAAGTTAACAATGCATGTAACTAAAGGAAATAATGTTCTGAATTCTACCTCCATCCACCATGGGGATCACAGACTGTTGATCCAAGACACCATCATCATAATTGAGCATGGAGACCAGCATTCCATTGATCCACCTTCTAGCCACAATTGAATCTAAGCCACATACAATAATATGAAACTGTCTATAGAAATTTTCATCAAAATCCTGTATTTTAGAAAAATGTGGAATAACCTGGCATCCAGGTATCTTTTTGTTAATGAAAGAGGCAGCAATTTCAGCTTTGGATGATCCAATATCTTTATGCCTGAATAAAAATTGTCTGTTCAGATTTGATAAGTCAATAGTGTCCATATCTATTACATGTATATTTTTAAAGCCAAGTAAGGCCAAATCTTTCAATAATTCACAACCTAACCCTCCAGCCCCTATCACTAACAGTTTGCATGATGACATTATAAAATCTAATATCTCTGAGGAAGGTTCGAATTCAGGGTGGCTGAATGGTCCTGGTCTTTCTAAAACTTTCCTCAAGTGACTCCATCTCTTTTGATTTGATTCTTGAAATTCGGACATCGGAAAACTATAATGAATATTGAAATAGGGCAAAAATATAAATGAAATGAATTTTCAAACTTTCTTGTTTATATTCAACAAGCTTTCAATATGATAAAAATAATAAATACATTTTTTTTAATCCGAGATAACGCGACCTTAACCTTAAATTAATTCTTCGACAGAAAACTCTTTCCTCATACTATCTAGCTTCATAGATTAGAAGCCTTACGGTCTTTCGGTCATTCATCTTAAGGCCCTTAGAGTCAGGTTTCTGTTGTGGTGTTGTGAATTGAATGTGATTGTGATCAAAGCAATGGAAACTGTGGCAATGGCAAAAAAAGACAAAAGTTCGAAAGATGATCTGCTGAAGAAGAGTTTGGTTAATGTTAATATTGTCCTCCATTAGGCAATCCAAACCACGTGACATTTTAGCTGACAAGATGGCGTCTGGTTGGCAAACAAGGATTATACATCACTTGTAATTAAATTGTATTATGCCCGTATCACCCTATTATTCTGGTAGTTTTATGTGTCAGGTGTTTGAGGGAGTCTCGGAGCTGAATTGAACAGTGCTTCAATATGCTGAGTTCATATTTCCACAAGTTATTGCAGGAAAACCCAGAGGTTGGTCAGAGGTAAACATGAATATTTATTGTTTTTTCGGCTATTTTTCTCAAATAACCAGTAAATTTTCATTCCTGAAACTATCATACAACCATTATTTGTTTGTAGATATCTGATGAAGCTGATGTTGATCAAGGATTTGAAGCCCTTCACATCTGAAACTGCTGACTGATTAGACTACCTCATAATTATACTCTCCTACTATTTATAGTGACCCACAGTTTCTACCCTCATGAGCAAATGAGAGCATTCAAAACCCTTGTTGTTCACAAGTACAACTTTTGTCCAGGAAGTAGACAGGAAGATGAATGATTTTCATGTCATAGTTGGAAAGGTAACTTTTTACCTTTATACCTAAATAACTTTCATGATAGGAACATTTTGAATGAAGAAATTATGTTATTCATATATTTTTGAATATATTTCCTACCTTATATTCATGTATATCTCATGCAATTTTTTTATAGGTAAAATATTCACAATCAGATTCTGTGCTAATAAGTGACTGAGGCTTGGAAAAGTAAATAAGGAACAGTTTCATGTACTGATGTATGTGCTTTGTGGCCCATGCCACCACTCTCACCATGATCGTGCCCATCATACCAATAGCAGAAATGGACATAGGTGCAGTTGCTCTGACTGGTTTAATACAAAGTCCCTACTATATCTTCAATGTCCAAGAAAGAACTTCACCAGAAGTGAACTATTGGTGTAAGTGTTCAAGTGCTGATGATGGAACCCCTATGACTAGTTGTGACAGTGATAAAGGGTTCTATTTTGAATGTGTAGATATTTTAGGTACACCAGAATCAGCATGGTTTTGTGAATTCTGATTCAACAAGTTCTTCAAAAAAATATGTACCTATTCATAATAAATATATCATTCAATCATTGTTTATTATTGTTTCAATCAGATCACTGAATAACTATAATGTTCTATGAAGATTTTTTTCATGACTCATGTAGATCTTTTGTAATATAGTGGAATAATACAATGTATTTTTCATTTAATGAATATAACAATTATTTTGATATACTTACTTTATTTGTCTTACATTTATAAATGATAAAAATAAATCACAACAAACTGTAATTTGTAAAAGTACTCATAATCTTGTAAATTTTCACCTTGTTTTCACCAATTTTCTCTTCTAATTCTTTATCTCCCAGGACACTTTCTTCATTACACTAAAATAAATTGAAAATGATGTAGTATTAGGTAATTAGGTGTTTTCTTGAGAACATACCAGGTCTCTTGGTTCTGATGCTTGATTCATGATTTGAACCTTTTGTCTGCTCTCAGTTTTTGATCCACATCAGTCTTGCATATTTCGAATGGACAAGAGATTGATGACCCATATTATATTGCAATGGGACCCAAGCTGGATATTCTCATCTTTCAGGCACAATGTTCTCCTACAAGGTAGATGATTTATTTATGTATTAGAAACATGATGTTTCCAAACTATGTAGGTCCATTAAAAGTAATGAGTATTGGTTTATTTTATCAAAATGAAAAAAAAAAAAAAGTTTTCCATAGGATGAAACACTAAACTCATCAGTTCTAGAGTAGGTAGGTACATATAAATAATATTAAAATCCTTTTTCTTAGGTACCTGTTATGAAAATAGTGTCTGACACATATCCTCTGGTTTATTATGATTGATTCTGTTGCTGATTCTTTCTCTTGATGGCTGCTATCCACATTTCCCTTATTTTTCTTGATGGATCCTTCATCTGTGGGTAATGCTCAGAGTTTTCCACAGTATTACAGTTGGAATGTGACAAAACAGCAAATGGTCCCGATCTGCACTGCTTCCACAATCCACCACAATTCACGTTACTGGCAATTTTCCTCTTTGAAATCATACTGAGTTTTCATTATTCACAATAAATCTAGCCGAAACTCGATAAAATAATACTGTAAGAGGCTTCCAAAACCCACAAAGTTCTCAAGTAAACAAACTTGACTTTGGTTTATTTGCCAACCAGACGCCATTTTGAAATTATTTGACAGGTCGTTGGATTGCCTAATTAATTTTTTCTTTTTGATTTTATCGTAATTTTATCATAAATCATAATATTTTATGGTGCATTTTATTTGATTTTATTTTATCCATAGCTAGGTGACTATTTACTGTATTTTGAGGAGACAACAGAACTAATTTGAAAAATGATCAAGTAGGTTTCTCTTCTGAAAAGTCCATAAAATATTGAAATATCTAGAATTTTTTGAATAATTGTGTCATTTTTGTTTCGATGTTCACTGAAGCTATACTTATTTATAAAAGTTTCAAAGTAAATCCTGCTTTGGCTCTCAACTTGAAAATGTACTCATCTACATACCTTCATAGTTATGAATTCCAACAGATATACAATATATTTTACTTTACAGATTCACTGTCAAAGTGGGTATAGCAGCTGCAGCAGTTTACTACATAAAGGAACAAGGAGTCTGGAGAAGTAGTAATGTGTCTGTACAGAATATTGAAAAATTTAAAGAAACAATAAATCCTTATGTCCAAGATGTCAAGGCCCAAATACCCATTGAGGTTAGATGAGTTTATGTAATACCTCTTATGTAATAATAATCTATTTATATGAAATCAAACGCCCTCACCACTGTCATCAAAGTATGATTTATTCATATAATTTATTTCAGTTACCAGATATACCAGAGCAGAATGAATTGTCATCTTTTGTGAAACAGAACTGGAATAGAGGTGTCTTAGCAACTTTCAAATTTCTTAGTGAATTACCAGAAACAGTCAAAGAATGGACTGCAAATGGCTATGAATCTGCTAGACAAAATGATGAAATCAAGAAGTTGATGGAATCCATAACTGGGAATAAAATAGATCAAGAAAAGTAAATGATTTAAAAATCATTCAATAGATATTACTAGAATGATACTGATGGATAATTTACCTTTTGATTTTACATGTTGGTATATTGAATCCAACAAAATGTGTTCTTATATGGTAAACTTCTTTTGAAGTACATGTGGAATTTAGACATATGGTGAATTTCTGTGAATTTGGTTGAAAATAATGGAAACATTCCATTCTACCATAGCATCTGGAATTATAAATAAAATCAAAGTGAATACTTCAATAATTGCTTTCTTATTCCATTTCTTATAATTCCTAATTACATAACCCATATAAATATTTATATTTTATGCATGTACAGACTACAGATCACCTACAGATATACTCCCTTGAAAATGAAACAAAAAAGAATTGCAAGCCACTAATTATATTTCAGCACCTCGTCCTCGAGATCACTAACTTTTACTATGTAGTACCGCTTCTTGGTACTAGATGGCGTCACATAATAATAAAGAAAACCTTTTTTACCAATACTACCTTACCTACATTACCCACTAGCGTCATTACGCTTTTTTGTGTGCTTGGTGGTGTCACAAAAATTTCATTTCATCGTTTTTTCTTTTCTTTTTGAGTGAAATATTATTAAAATACTTGATTTTCAGATGGGAAAAAGGTCCCGAGAACGTGATTACCGAGATTCGAGACGTTCGAGATCAAGAGATCGAAAAAAGTCTCGATATGATCGGGAGATTGAACGCATCAATGAGAGACTCTCCCAGTTCGAACGGAACACCGTTCGGCAAAGCCATAGTCATAGCCCCAGAAGTCCCAGATCCACTTTGACCGGAAATTCAGTTCGTTATAGGCATGAAAGTCCCAGCAGAGATAGAAGTTATAGCTACACAAGTAGTAATATTCCAAGAGATAGACAACATTCACAGAGTTCAGAAGACTCGGACTATACAAATAGTGCTTCAGTCAACATTGATCAGGAATCACAATTACTATCTATAGGTGGAAGACCACCTACTACTGATCTTCAGGATCAGGATGAACTAGCTGTACATGTGGACTTCCATTTAGAAGAGGAAGTTTTGCAGGCTTTGGGGGAAGACCTCCACAGTAAAAAAGCCAATGAATTTGAGCTTCACCCTATTCTTCAGAACAGGTGGCTGGATATATTGAGGGGTGGACTTGACAAAGATGAAAGGTCAAAGCTGTTGGAAAAGCATCCCCTTCCCATTAACCTAGAAGCACTGAAAGCACCTGAAATAAATCAGGAAATTATTAAAGCAATGCCTATTAGTACTCACAATAAAGACAAATTCCAGCAGTCTAACCAAAATCAATTAGGCCGCAGCATTGGAGCCTTAGGTAAAGGAATGAATATTTTATTGAAAGAGGATGATATCAATAAAGATAATAAAAATATCCTCCTTGGTCTGCTAAGTGAGTCAGCCAAGCTTATTACAGATGTGCATCATAATATGTCTCTCTCAAGAAGAGCTCTGATCACACCAACTTTAAATAAGACTGTCAAAGATTTGACCAATGCAACTCCTGTAGAAGGTTTGCTATTTGGAACAAATTTGAGTGAGAGGATCAAAGCTGCAAAGACAATTGAAAGATCATTGTCAGATTTTAAACAAACCAAGACAGCAGCCAGTGGGTTCAAAAAGCCCAGTACTCCTTATACTGGTAATACTTCCAGAAATAAAAATAACTAAACCTTCTACACTAAGTAGTAATCCCTGCCATTCTGAAAAAGAACAGAGAGAAATTGTTGAGGAGGTGAAACAACTCTTTTCACAGGGAGCCATAGTGGAATGCAAGCCATCAAAGGATCAGTTTGTATCTCCATATTTTTTGGTTAAGAAACCAGGTGGCAAAGTTAGATTTATTCTCAATTTGAAAAAACTCAACACCTTCATTGACCCTCCACATTTCAAAATGGAAGATAATAGAACAGTTATAAAACTTTTAAACAAAAACTGTTATATGGCAACATTAGATCTAAAAAATGCATATTTTCTGGTCCCTGTACATCCTAGATTCAGAAAATTTCTTAGATTTCAAGTGGGCAAAACATTGTACCAGTTTACATGTCTCCCATTTGGTTTGGCAATAGCCCCCTTTGTTTTTACAAAACTGATGAGACCAGTATTAACATATTTGAGAAGTCAAGGTGTAACCTGTGTTGCATATCTGGATGATTTTTTAATAATGGGCAATACAAAGGAAGATTGCCAGAATCATGTAAAATTGACAATCAATTTGTTGACCTCATTAGGTTTTATTATCAACACTGAAAAAAGTTGTTTAGTACCTTGCCAGAGATGCAGGTTCTTAGGTTTTATATTTGACAGTAAAGAAATGTTAATTGAACTTCCAGAGGAAAAGAAATCCAAGATTTATGATTGCATAGAAATGATCAAAAATACAAAATATTGTAAGATTAGAAAATTTGCTCAATTTTTAGGACTATTAATATCTGCTTGTCCAGCAATGAAATATGGAAAATTATATACTAAATACCTTGAAAGGGAAAAGTTTTTAGCGCTCAAAAGAACTGGTCAGAATTATAATAGTTCCATGATAATTTCTGGGTTAGTCAAGGAAGACCTTGATTGGTGGGCTGAAAACATTTTTTCAGCTACAAATGAAATACGGTCTGATAAATTTTCATTGGAAATATATTCAGATTCCTCAAAAACAGGGTGGGGGGCGTGTGCTGGAAACCAGTCTACTCATGGCTGGTGGAGTTCTGTAGACATAATTAAACACATTAATTATTTAGAGCTTAAAGCCATATTTTATGCATTGAAGTGTTTTGCTGGTAATCTTAAATCATGCAACATTCTCATTCGAGTTGACAATACGACGGCACTATCATATATTAATAGAATGGGAAGTGTACAGCATCTTGAGCTTTGTTCTCTTGCAAAACAAATTTGGAAATGGTGCGAGTACCGGGATTTGTGGTTACATGCTAGTTATGTGAACACTAGGGATAATATTGCAGATCCAAATTCTCGTGTAATTTCTTCAGAAACTGAATGGGAACTATCTGAGGAAGCATTTACAAAAATTTCTAATTGCCTAGGCCAACCTGACATAGATTTGTTCGCATCGAGTGCAAATAGAAAGGTAGAGCAGTATGTATCTTGGCATGTAGACCCAGAATCCGTTGCGGTTGATGCATTCACCATTTCATGGAGTAATACATACTTTTACGCCTTTCCTCCATTCAATCTCATATTGAGAATGCTGAATAAAATTATATCTGATAGTGCCGAGGGTATTGTCGTCGTACCAGACTGGCCCTCACAACCCTGGTACCCCTTGTTCAAAAATCTGTTGACTGCAGATCCAGTTGTACTGGAACCTAATCCGACATTACTTTCTTCTCCTTTCAGAATGACTCACCCTCTTCATGCAACCCTTACCCTGGTTGCAGGGAGGCTATCAGCCAAGCCTTTGAAAGAAGAGGATATCCAAAAAGCACATTGAATACCTTGTTGCAGTCACTCTCAGTATCAACAATGAAACAATATAATTCATCCTTTCGGTCTTGGTGGTCTTATTGTCTCAAAAATAAGGTAGATCCACTGGAGGCAAGTGTACCTACTGTCCTTGAATTTATGGAGTATGAATTACAGAATACCAAGAAGAATTATGGAATGTTTAATCAACATAGATCAGCTCTGGCATTAATTTTACCAAATGAAATAGGTAAAAATATATTGATAAGGAGGTTTCTTAAGGGAGTGTCCAGGTTGAGACCTCCTCGGCCTAGGTATAATGTCACTTGGGATCCACAAATAGTTTTGACTTATTTATCCTCTTTGGATAGCAATGAGAATCTCCCTCTGCTGAAACTTTCCAAGAAGCTAGCAATCCTTTTAGCTCTTTCCACGGGGCATAGAATCCAAACTTTGCAGCTAATAAGAGTGGAAAACATAAATTTTCATGAAGGCGGAGTTCGCATATTTGTACCGGATAGAATAAAATCAACGAGACTGAATTCATATCAACCATGTTTGGAGTTACCCTTTTATCATGAAAAGCAAGTATGTGTTGCCTCTACGTTGCTGTCATACATAGAAAGAACAGCATCCATTAGGCCAGTTTCTGAGCCATATCTCTTCATAGCTTCAAGAGAGCCATATATTCGTGTCACAAGAAGCACCATTTCTCGTTGGATAAAGCAAATGATGGAAGCAGCAGGAATTGACACGAATATGTTTTCCGCATACTCAACTAGACATGCATCCACTTCAGCAGCCTCCCGCCACGGAATCCCCTGGGAAGTAATCAAAAAGGCTGCTGGCTGGTCAACGAATTCTCAGACGTTTGCTAAATTCTACAATCGTCCTCTCGCTAATTCTACAAAGTTGAGTCATGCAATTTTTCCCAATGAGGAAATCAAATAGATATAACTTTTTAATTTGAATGAGTTCATATTATACACTAGTTAAAAAAAAAAAAAAAAAAAAAAAAAAAATAAAAAATAAATAAATTTTCTTTCCAAAGGATGTGCCAGAATTTATGTGCCTAATGAAAGTAACAACGTCAATAAATATATATTTATAAAACTTTGAAAATCTACATAGTAAAAGTTAGTGATCTCGAGGACGAGGTGCTGAAATATAATTGTACGATCAAACGAACCTGTGATGTTCGATCGTAATTATATAAAGCACCTCGTCCGAAGAGATCACTCCCGCCCCTCCCTCATTGAAACTATTGAGATTATCATCTATGGTATATGATATGACCCCAGTGGAATATATATTTATTGCACAAAACTTAAAACTTAATGACGCTAGTGGGTAATGTAGGTAAGGTAGTATTGGTAAAAAAGGTTTTCTTTATTATTATGTGACGCCATCTAGTACCAAGAAGCGGTACTACATAGTAAAAGTTAGTGATCTCTTCGGACGAGGTGCTTTATATAATTACGATCGAACATCACAGGTTCGTTTGATCGTACAATAATTAGTTCTCCTTAGAGTCCTTAGGACGGTCCTGCTTCTTCTGCTTGTGTTCTTGTACATTTCATGCTGAGTACCTTTTGCTTGACGTAAGAATGGAATTTCTGAACCAAACATCATGAAAACAGAGTTAGTTCAAACTTGAAGAACTTAACCTCTTTTTCTGGGAAATATAAACAAGAGTATTTTCTGTAAATGAAGCCCCAATTCTCTGCCAAATCATGACTGACCAGATAATTTCAGAATTAGAAAATGCTGCTAACATTATAATGGTGTGTTCAGTAGTCATCTTCATGAACTGATTATTTGATGAATTATGTAAAATCAATTACATTTATTTTTAGGCTCCACCTAATTTGGTTTCCAATGAACAAAGACATGCAGCAGAGAGCATTTTTTTAGAATTCAGGAAAAGTAAATCACCATATGGAATTTGTAAAGAAATTCTGGAGAACTCACATAATCATTATGTTCTTTTTGAATCTGCAGAAGTTTTGAAAAGTGCTATCATAAGAGAATGGGCATTTCTATTAGAATCAGACAAATCATCTCTAAGACAATATTTATTACAGTATATAACTACAAAAAATGTTCCTGCTTTTGTGAGAGATAAAATTCTACAAGTGCTTGCTATAATGGTAAAACGTGCAAGTATAGATGACAATGGTAGGGAAAGAACAAATATTTTACATGAGGTAGAGAATCTCATTGTCAATGCAGAACCTAGCAAGGTACCTACCTTATACCTTACTGTTTGAATGTTCACAGGCTTTGTTAATTCATGTATCTTATTTTCAGAAAATTTTGGGTTGTAATATAATTACTAACCTGTTGCAAGAGTATGCCACTACTGTGAAATCCACTGATGTAGGTCTTCCCTGGGAAGTGCATTTCAAAGCCAAAAAGCAGTTTGAGGCCACTGATTTGAAAAGAATACTCCAATTTTGTGTCTATCTTTTGGCAGAAGTTGTGAAAAGTGATCCTCCATATTCAGAAACATTCATTCAGCTCACAGGACATTTGCTGAAGATCACTGAAACAGTATTCACATGGGGCTATGTTTCCCCAATTCATATCCTTTGATACTTCAATATTTTACAAGTTTTTAGTATTTCTACATCCAAACAAGAGAACATCTATTGATGGGCCTTAGCCTGAGATTGGTCCATATTTTCATTTCAAATTTCAGTCCTCAAATAATAAAGATAAGTGTAGTTGCTTCTGTAAGGTCAGTTATTATTTCATTCTCATTTTTTAATCCTCATACTCCAAAAGATTCTCAACATATTCACACTGCATTTCTGGTTGAAGAAGAAGATGATAAGTCTTTATTGAACCACTGAAAATTTATTCTCACAGAGGTTCTTACTCTAAAAAACATATGTCATGTAAAATTAAGGAAAATATAAATTATATAGAGTACATTTTTTCAGGTACATTGGTTTTGGTGTCATATTAATTCAAAGTTTAACCAAGCTTTGAATTTATTTACTCCTAAGGTACTTTTTCAGCTCTATTAAATAATTTGCTATTACATTCTTTTAATTCAACAGACAGTTGATTATACACTTTTGAACACCTTCAAAGCAATAATTGGGTTTTTTATAGGAATCATTCCTTGAATGTGATATTGTTGGGAATATTTTTATAGTTTTGGTTTTCCTTGACTAATGAACACTTCCAAAAAGACTGATTGGAATTTATGAGTCAGTTTATGAATCTGATGCTTCCCCAGCTTTGAAACTCACCAACACATGGTCAGAAGTCATTTTGAATCCAGACTTGTTACCTTTGATGTTCCAAATTTATTGGAAAGTCAGAGATTCTGACCAGCTAGCCCATCACTCTCTCAACTGTTTGGTACAGTTGGCATCTTTGACAGGAACAATACTATATTCAGATGAAGTACGAATCAAATATGTTCATTTATATTTGATGACATTTTTCAAACTCATATCTAAGTAAGTAAAGAGAATGTTGACTTTTTTTGATTTGTTGAATGAAATTTGTTACATTGCATTAAATCCCAATTAGTATAATTGGTTTAATAAAACTACAAATTAGTATACAAAGATTTAAAACATCATCTTCCATTATGTTTTTTTTGTTCATATAAATAATTAGAAGACATTTCAAATGAGGTATCACTGGACCCCCACATTCCATTCAAAAAAATCTTCCAAAATGGCTTCCAGATGCCATTTTGAAAGAAATATTTTTTTTATTAATACAAAATAAAAAATCCCAACCCTTCAAAAGTTAACTAGGGGGAAGTGGTTATTTTTTTCTTGAGAAAATCAAGATGAATATTTTTTTGTGTTATAGTTAAAGTACTTTTATTGTATCAAGAGAGTTCACATTCTATACAGATTCATCCTCCATCCTCTTATATATAAGCATAAGGATCATATTTTGCATTCACACAAAGATTATATATAATATCATACAATACAGAATATATAGACGATTTACTGAAGTTATTTTACAAACCAAATTACACAGTATTAATAATAGAGATGAATAGATGAAGGACTAAAGGTAGGTATGTTTGCAAGTGTAAGAAAGTCTTGAGAATATATAAACATAGAATACATTGAAGTAGTTGGACTAGTGCTGTTGAATTATGTCAACATTTTTTTAACTCTAATTTTGAATCTCTAATTGATTGGATTTGATTTTTTGAGGTTCTCTCAATCATATTATGCGTGATTATGCCAATTGCTTTCCTCCTACGGTATGTAAATCAATGTGTACCGGGTGTTCCACTAAGAAAGGACGCCGGCTGTATCTCGGAAACTATTTGCCGCACAGGTTTCGAAAAATAATATGAATGATGTAAGTGGCCAAGAGAAATCTCTGGAAATTATTTTCAAGTTTCCAGGACAGCCCCTAGAGGGCGTAATTGCATTGGCCAGTTTAATAAACGGGTTTTTATGAAAATTTGATATATCAAGACATATCAAAAACACTTTTTTCATGTTCTCGAGTTGATTTTCAATCATTTTCATCAAAAAAAATGCGCTAGTACTTTGAAAAAACTCACATTACTACAGTTTTGTGTAACGGAATTCAACGATCTTGGTCTCATTATGAAGGGTTTTTTGGTTTCTTCCAGATGAATCACGAAAAAAGTCGATTTAAATCCTGTGGTGGCCGCTAGATGGCATCGTTTGAAAAATCAGACAATTTTCCATTTTTTTCGAAAATTTCAAATGGAACCATATATTCGCTCTACTCTTATATGAAAGTAGAGCGAACGAGAAGAAAAATTGTGAAAATCGCGAATTGATACCTCTTGAGGAACCGGTGAAATACTCGAAATAATATTATGAAAATATTCACCATAGGAATCTAATTTCAATAATGATATGATATGATATGATATGATATATTTATTCAGACATGTTTACAAGAGAATTTTATGAATTTGCACTAGGTGCGTTGTCTAAGCCTTATGGCTTGTATTACAACTCACCCCGTGCTAGAGTCATTTTACAAAGAAAAAAAAAGAACCTTAAGCTAAATTTGAATATATATACCTAACATTAAAAATAAGATTGGTTGGTAGACATTATCAAAAGAGAAGGAGAAGAGAAAAACTGCGAAAGTAGAGCGAGAGAGAAAGAGAGAGAAGATTAATGGTTTCAATACTAAGTATATGTATGGTGATAACGACATGTTTTACACAGTAGTTTAATGCATACCTATTTATCAGTAAACAATGTTTTTTAGCTTGACATAGTTCACTTCAACGAATTTTTTCAATTCTATAGAGAGCTTAACTTTTGATTTGATTTTTCGTATATATACTGGCACCATATTGAGAAGTTTTGGGCCGAAATAAGTTATGAATCTTTGTGGTAGAGACTTTTTGTAGAATGGAACAGTCACTAGGTTATTGGAAATAGACCTCGTTTTGTAGGAATGACTAGTATATGTGTAGGTTTTGGTTTTTATCATCCATAGAATACATTGGTATATATAAATTTGTTTAAGATTCAGTAAGTTAGCTTCACGATATAATTCATTAGTGGAAAATAATTTTTCTTTTTTAAGTATAATCTTTATAATTGTATTTTGAGTGATTTCTAGATCACATAAGGCTGTTTTGTACATACCCCCCCAAATAGTGACACAGTATCGTATAATGGACTCTGCTAGTGCATTATACACCATCACAATTGTTTTTCTGCTTAAAATATTTCTCAGCTGATAAAATTTACGTATAAGTTTGCGAAGTCTCTGAATTGTATATGTTACATGCTCAGACCATCGTAGGTGTTGGTCTAAGATTACACCCAGATATTTAATTTTTTTCAATTTTTTTTAATCGTAATCAGAAATATCCTGTATCTATGAAATTATGATATCAATAATCCATTTATTTTGGTTTCACGCAGTGCTGTTATATCTCACAATAGTGAAGGAGACTCTTTGTAATAATAGCTAATTGAAATGTAAGTAGTGAATATAGGCTCAGGAATGAGAAAAGACAAGTTGGCTTTGAATGAAAGAAACGTCAAATAATAATTGAAGTTCCATTGGAAGTTTTCACTGTTCATTGTGGATTGCTTATTTGTCAAAATGCCGATAACGAATGAGGAGGCATTTGACATGCTAACAATTTAAATTTTAATATTATTCCGAGTATTTCTCCGGTTCTTCAAGAGGTATCAACTCGCGGTTTTCACCATTTTTCTTCTCGTTTACTTTACTTTCATATCATAGCAGGAAAAATATATGGTTCCATTTGAAATTCTCGAGAAAGAATGGCAAATCGGCTGATTTTCCAAACGATGCCATCTAGCGGCCACCACGGGATTTAAATCGACTTGATTCGTGATTTATCAGGAAGATCTGAAAAAACCCTTAATAATGAGACCAAGATCGCTTGATTCGGTTTCACCAAACTGTAGTAATAAGAGTTTTTCCAGAGTACTATTCATTCTTCCATCCCTTTTTTATTTAAAGAGCTAGCGCCATTTTTTTCTCGAAATGTTTGTAAATCAACTCTAGAACATGGAAAAAGTGTTTCTGATATGTCTTGATATATCATATTTTCATGAAAACCCGTTTTTTAAGTTGGCCAATGCAATTATGCTCTCTAGCGGCTGTCCTGGAAACTTGAAAATAATTTCCAGAGATTTTTCTTGGCCACTTTTATCATAAATATTTTTTTCCGACACCTGTGCGGCAAATAGTTTCCGAGATACAGCCGGCGTTCTTTCTTAGTGGTACACCCGGTATGTACCTAGTAGCTATTATGCAATTTTATTAAATTTTCTCTGAAAAATTGATTGGTTTTGATTTTTTCGTGGGTTATTATGTTTTTTCCCTTCTAAGTTATGAAAGTTACTGTTTGGAAAATTTTGTTTACTATCTGAAATAATTTATTTTTTCTGCAACCGTCACAAAAGTCGTCCATTTTAATACCAAAATATTTTAATACCAAAATCAGCTTTTGAATTGACGTTTCTATTACTGACACAAATCGCTAGGCAACACTTTCAGTTCCTAGGAGCTAAAGTCGAACTTTGGGTCCTAGGAACTAAAGTCGAACTTTGGGTCCTAGGAACTAAAGTCGAACTTTGGCTCCTAGGAACTAAAGTCGAACTTTGGCTCCTAGGAACTAAAAAAGATGTACTAGGTCATCAAGAATATACAACATTGTTATGGTTGGTTAGTTGGGCTGGGACGCATACCTGATTTGTTCCCGATTTCGGCAATTCGGCATTTCATACCCATGGTGGAGATATAAAGACACCATATTATAGTTGCGTATTTTTGTTTTGATGAGGAAAGCCTTCAAGATTCACATACTTGCTTGATCTGTATTTCATTATTTTCATTCGTTATTCTCGGAATCTGATTGATTGGATAACTTGTTTTTGAATTATCACGGCCAGCAATACTTTTTTTGTCTCACACAACGATATTGTTTACCTTCATTTGATTACCGAGCAAACACAGTGGAATATGGAGAGAAATAAATAATCGCGATTATTATTGTTTATATGCTCACTAACCTAACATTTTTCACTTTTTTCTCCTATAACTGGCACTGGTGCGGTATTTGCTAATAGGGCCCCTGGTCCAAATTAATTCGATTCAATAGAATACACAAATGGGTCATTCTGTGGTTGTATTTATATTGAAACTGAAATTCGAACATCCTTGAAAATCAAATAAACCTGATCTGTAAATGCAGGTAGAAATATTCCCACTACATGGTGAGTCACATTGGTGGTTACTTTACATATTTATTTTAGTTAATTCTTTCGGTTGCAGAAAAAATATCATGTTTCATTCGGATCGAAAGTGACTTTGTTTGACTCGCAAAGTGTCACTTCTGATCCTAATAAAACAATCTACTATTGATCTCAATTGTGGAAAACGAAAACTTTTTCATGACCTTGTTATTTTTTAGTGTTACTGTAAAGAGTAAAGAATCACTCGGCATTTCGAATATTGTTAAAAAATTAACCATATTCTTCATACATGATATACCAAAATTGCCAGAAAGCATACAAGATACATTATTTGACGAATTCACTAGGTTAACTTGCCATTTTTGTGATGGAGCTGTTCTTGAAGAAGCTGTGAGTATATTTGATTTCATCTCTGTTGGCAGGTTATAAAATGTCACTTTTCATAAATTACTTTTTTCCCGTGGGAAAAAAGTGAGTACTTTTTTTCTGGATATATATCACATATATATACACTGTTGATGACTTTTGTTGTGCTATAATTCCGAAAAATGAGTCAATAATACCGTCTCCGAGAAAGAACTGCAAGTCCTTTTAACTTCCATTCGACTTCGCGGTTACGTATATTACTAAACAACCACTAAATTCGCAATTTTTTGAAATCAAATCACAGAATTAGATTGACAGCAGTGACATCAGATATTTGATTACTTAAAAAGACTGATAAAGATGCCTACAACGCAGGTGTCCCTACTGTTGAAAACTTAAAATTTCACGTCGATAATTTTCAGATTCCAAATAATTGTAATATCTTCTCAATATTGATTCGTCCTTTCTTCTGTCACAGAAAAAAATAGTGTATTATACACGGGAAAAAAATAGATTTTAGCTCACGGTTTTTTGTCTCTTCAGACAACACAACCTAGAGCTAAAATCTACTACTTTTTTCCCTTGTATAATGAATAACTATTTGTGGTATTCCTATATTTCTATAGTTTTTATGATTCTTAACGTGTTGAAAGTTTATTGTTGACTTATATTTTATACTTTATGTACCATTTGGAATCATATATTATTCTGTGGTGTACTTTTATGAATAAATAAATAAATAAATCTTTCGGGTATGTTCAGAGACGGTGGGTGAATCGAAAATTGGGTCAAACGAGACGTTCCCAATAAAATGTTGCCATAGGTTAACTTTTTGATTTCAGCAAGGGCAAGAAGACAAATATTTTAGTGATGCGTTCGACACTATGTTAGAAGCTTGGATGTCGATCATCCAAGAATACAACAACTCCTTCGAAAACAGTTTTTTCGAGTGCGCAAAACGAATACTGAATAAATACATTCAGTGCCATTTGGCGCCGCCAGATGGCTGCAGACAAATTTCCACCAATGAAGCAGAGGAGGTGGAGGATGACGAAGATAATGACAGGATTCGGTTCAAAGATCAGTTGCAGGCCATTGGGGTGTTTGGAAGAGTGGTGCCAAGCCATGTATTACCAGTGTTGTTCAAGTAGGTTTGATAATAATATCTTTTAATATGTGGACAGATTTCTAGTAATTCTAGAGCTAATCATGGAATAAATATATATAAAAACATTCTTACAAACAGGCTTTTATAAAAATGCACTTACAAGGAAAAAATAATGTCTTTCATGTTTAATCTAAGTCATTCTGTGAGTAACAGATTCAAAATCTTACTGCACAAGATTTCCTATTTTGTATCCGCGGCAAGCCTTTAAATCTGTTTTACTTGATAGGCCTGTTCGTTTGTGCTTGCTCTACCTGATCTTTTTTTTTTCTATGGTTTTCTCGCCATGACTATTCTTATCGGATCTGATGTACTCATATCGACAGGTGTAATGCTAAAAAAATTTGATCTTGTCAAAGATGCCAAATTTTTTGAGTTGTAAGCAAATTGAGTTCATCAAAATGGTTTGGTGTACCATGATCGTGTTACACCCGGTATAGCTTTTTGAAATCAGCATATTAATCCATTCGATATTTCAATAAGTCAAATACGAAGGTGGAGCAGTGACTATATTAGTGTAGAACTGTAGCTATCTCTCTTTGATACTTTGCCATTCTGCAGGGTTGTCGTATGATTGGTCATCTCAAGGACAATAGGCGTGTCGAGACTAATACGTCACACTAGTCACACCAATGAATTGACACCATTCCACATGGCACAGAAAGTGTGTGTTTTTCATCGTCCTAGTATGAATGATAAAATTCAATATTATATTTACTGGTAGTTTTTTGGTATAGAGTTCATGATGATGTCGTTTTGAAAAATCAGTGTTCTCCCCCATTGTTTTTTGTCCCCTATTGCATCTATCGTTCCAATTTGGCAAACACCATGTATATTAATGACTAGAATCTTCGTATTTCCGCAGACTATTAGAAGATAGAATAAACGAACTCTTGAACAATTTGGGTGTGATGCAAACGCGAGCGATGAACGTATCCGAAGCAGCTTCGTTGGACAATTTGTTCGAGGACATCCATTGGATCGTCCTGATATCCGGGCACATATTGTGCATGGACAGCGACGGCGAAACACCCATGATACCATCGGAGATAATGCAGTACTCGTTGCAACAGGCCAATCGGAGCGAGAGCACCCTGGAGAGTACCGCCAACGCCATCTATGCGCTGCAATCGAAGGCGGCTGCGCCGGACAACTTCGATCGTTGCGATCACGTGATCCGTATAGTGTTCAGGTTAGTTCAAGTTTACAAGTTTCAGTTTATTCAGAATGGTTATAATGGTTTATTTTTCATTTTTTGTTCATCTCTGTGAAGAAGAGAGGTGTGACGGCTCGTCAGCAATGAACTCAATATAAACACCTGGAAGGGACTCTCTGTGAACGACGAGTGAGGCAAAAATATTGTTCGGGCAACCCGTAGTGTTTACGGATACCTATCTCTTTCTATCTCATGTTGGCTAATGGGAAGCGCTCGCATTATTTGAAATATTTTCTCGTTTTTTGCTTTCATTTAGGAGTAAACGTGATCAAATATAAATATTCATTTAGAAAAAAGGATAATGTTGCAATCAATCATCATTATAAAGAATTACTATTGAATTTTTTATTGGCTTAAAAATGAAATTTCATTTTTATTCTTACAGGATTAGGAAGTCAAATGAATACAAAATTGAAATTATATATTTTCATTCGAATGTCACAATTTATTGTACAGGGTGAGCGAAGCACAATCAGAAGAAAAAGAAAAAAGATATGAAAAATATGAAAAGATGTTCTTGAATGGTATTGAGTACCAAAGGTCCATTTTGAACATAATTTCCAAACATATCCCTATCAGAAATTGAAAAAATACAATTCTCAATACAATATCCTTCTCGAATGGAACAGTTTGGGTTTCTTTATTGATGAACTTTGATACTTGAGAGCTGAAAGTCGTAGGCAAATCAAAGTCCATAATATGAGAAACATCTTCCTTAGGACCCAAGTTATGAACGTCCACAGATGCATCCTGAAAATAAATTTCTAACTAGTTCTTGTGATTAAAAGAGGTGCAAACATACTTTTTTCTCATTATTAATAAACTAGGTAGCTACCGAGTTATCTTATTTTTCTAGTCTTCTTATTTTCCTGCGAAGATCAGCATTTTTTGGTAACAAATGCTTAGGAAATGAAAATATACTGGGTACAGCACCTGGTTTCAATAACCTAGCAGTACCTGGTATGTCTAAAGTAAATAATCAGTTGGCAGGAAATTCTCTCTACAAAGCTTGCTAGTTTTAGATGGAGCCCATTTCTCTCTAGGAACTGCCTTAATCCATAATTCGAGAATGTCTGGTCTTTTGAATGAAAAACTGCAACAAATAATATTACTTAATATGTTCATGGAAAAGTCATGGAAGTATTTAACTTGTAAGAATAATAATAAATAAACTGAAAAACAAAAAAACAGAAGATATAAATGGAGTGAATACTTTCGTTATCAAAAGTTGTAAAACTCACATAATGGATCCTCTGACGGATATAATCAATTCATGTTTTATCGAAGGACATTTTCCACATAAGCTGAAAATTGGCAAAGTCCTCCCTATTCACAAAAAGGGTAATTATTCTGAAGCTGTTAACTTCAGACAAGTGTCTATTTTACCATCTCTCTCAAAAATTTTTGAATATGCTATATACTCACAACTAATGGATTTTATGGAATTAAATAATATCCTGAGTCCACATCAATTTGGCTTCAGAAGAGGTAAATCAACCTCAGATGCAATAAATTCGCTCATCAGCTATATAAAAGATGCGTTCGAAAATAGAGAAAAATATATCGGCGTTTTCACAGATCTTACTTCAGCGTTTGATTGTGTTAATCATCAAATCCTCCTCGATAAATTACATTTCTATGGTGTCAGAGGTGTTTGCTGTAAAATGATAAAATCATATTTAGAAAAAAGACTCCAGGTTGTAGAATTTGGTCAGTCTCGTAGTGATGAAAAAGAATTGATAAGAGGTGTCCCTCAGGGCTCCATACTAGGACCGCTCCTCTTTATCATTTACATCAATGATCTACCACACTTCGTAAACTCATCTAATATAAAAACTACAATGTATGCAGATGATGCCACTTTGAGTATAGCTTTAGACGATTTAGTAACTCCTCAGCAAATTTTGAATATAGTAGTAGAGAAAGCAAGAAATTGGTTCACTGCAAATGAGCTGATACTGAATGAACAAAAAACTAAAACATTAACTTTTGAAACGAGAAACATGGATCAAATAGAACAAGCAGCTGTTAAATTCTTGGGTGTGCAAATTGATTCAAATTTAACCTGGAAAGACCACATAAATAACCTTTGTACCAGACTTAGCAGGTCAACATATGCAATCAGACTGATTAAAAAATCTGTGAACCTTGATACAGCTCTTATGACTTATCATCCAATATTCCATTCAGTTCTTAGGTATGGAATAATATCCTGGGGTTGTGCATCAAAAATTCATTTAGAAAGAGTATTTGTGCTACAAAAATTTGCCATAAGAAGTATAGCATCAGCTAAACTTGATGAAACGTGCAGACCACTATTCAAAAATCTCAAAGTAATGACATTATATTCAGTTATTGTCTACGAAAATCTATTGAGTATTCGATTGAATTTGATGAAATATTCCACTCACACAGATGTGCACAAATATAACACAAGAAACAAAAATGACCTTGTACTGAAAGCAAATAGACTGAGAAAAACAGATAATATAGGAATCAAACTATATAATACACTGCCAACTGATTTCCGAGAACTGCCAATAAAAAAATTCAAGGAGGCCATGAAGCATATTTTGATTGAAAACCCACTGTATGACATTCATGAATTTTCCGAAATAGTTGTGAGAAATAGGGATGCTTTTGGAGTGGCGTGAATGACTTTTTCTATACATATTTTCTGGATTTTAATGATTGTCAAACTTGTGTCAAACTTGAACATTGAATTTATTATTTTCTTAAATAAGGTATTCTATTTGAGTAACGCCAAAGAATTTTAGCATGTATATGTAGTATTTGTATTTTATATTTTGAATTGATGTACTTTATTGTCGTAATTTTATGAACTTTGCTCTTGTAGGTAACTGCTCTCAAATTTCGTGACGTGTCTATAAACTCTGTGTTTCTAAGATCAATAAAATTATTATTATTATTATTATTATTTGACAAATAATATAGGTATAGTTTTTGAACATATTCTGAGACTGGGAACATTGTATACCTAACTGATGATCATTTCAAGAACTATATTTTCCAAAAATCTGAACAATATTCAACTTCCTCATGGAATGACAATTTCCTTTTGTCTTGCTCGTTCTTATATCCAAAGACGACACAATAAATCATTATTGTTTATCAATATGAAATCACAAACCTTCTCAACAATCAGTTCACAGTGTTCACACCAACAAATTCAGTCCTTTCGATAAATAAAACACGCCAAATGAATAGATATTTCACTTAACCTAAGACAATGAACTTATGTCTTCACTTTCTTGCCTGTTTAGACGATAGAAAAAAATCTAAAGTGCTTTAATTATTAGATGAAAGGAAACGTAAACACCAATTCACCATTAAACAACACGAGTTGGAAAGAGACAGGTTACCGTAAATCATGCTATCTTTGTTGTAGCTGCCCCTGACACACTTTGTTCTATTGGAGAGAACGGCCGTCTCCCTTCCAGATGTTTATATTGAGTTCATTGCTCGTCAGGGACGGCAGGGTCGGCCAGGTGGTACCAGAAAATTTGAGGAAGAAAGCTGAACTTACTTATTTGATGATTACAATTATTTTTCAAAAATCTTTTCTATATTCATCATTTTTTATGCTACTATTATGCCACTATTATTTGAATTCCATGCACTGAAACATCTGGCTAAGCCATTCGAATATATACCGAAAATCACAAAGTAATTCGGGACCTACGAAATCTGGTTGTCCTAGAGTCACTAGAGTGTATTAGTTAGATAAGTGTTTTTGAATGTTTAGATTTATAAAGTTACACACCTTGCATTGTGACAAGAGCACCATAGTCGTTCCGCGCTTTTTCATTGAATTTTTATTTTTATATTTTTCCATTCCGATTTTTTTAAACACATATACTGAGCATAACACCCACTTTTGCTGAACTGTATGTTAGCACCTTGTGAAATTAGACTCGTTGGTATTAACTATTAACGTATTTATCCATCGACCGTTCTCTTAATACTAATTCACAAACGATATCTTTATCATGAGTAATTCCCAAAAAACCGTTGTATCCCAACTCATTGTTATAACTTATATAATGAAACCCGTCACTACAAATTCTCAAGCTATACGTAGGTAGATATATTTTACAGGGTTGATATCATGTAGACAGTTATTTTAAGAGAAACTATTACTTATACCGTTCTTGAATTTTGAATATCTTCTCCCAAAAATATATTTTGAGGTTACTATTTCATAACATGCGTATGCCCCTTATCACAATATCTTATCAGGTGATCTTATGTCGTGTCAGACAACACAGAATTTTCCCACAGAAAATGATTCAGTTTATTCTGAATGTTTCATTGTGTTCAATAAAGATCCATTTTATGAGTGAATTCCGAATGCGGAAGTCTCAAGCTGTGAAACATGGAGTTCCGCAAGGCTCTGTACGTGGTCCCTTGTTATTTTTATTATACATATGTGAATGACTCGATGCGAATCGATATTCAGGGACAATTAACCGTATTTGCTGACGATACGACTATTCTTTGGCATACGAAGAACTCCTCAGTATTGGGAAATATATCATCAACGAGGACTTGAAAAAAGTTAAATTATGGTGTGACCATTTTATTATCTTTCAATATTAACAAGACATGAATTATTAATTTCAGGTGTGATATTCCTCGAAAATGAATGCCTCAGTAATAGATACTCACTCAAGTTTTAAGGGCTGAACATTGACGCCAAATTAAAATTTGAAAGGCACATACTACTTCTAAGTAAAAAGCATCTGATTGCTATGCTGTGAGGGTCACTTCAAATGAATTGGGATAAATTGCGGCCAAAAATGTTTACTATTCACTCATCGAATCACATTTGCGTTACGGCATTTGTTGCTGGGGGACATGTACTGACCATTTATTCAAATCTATTTTCGTTTTACAAAAGAGAGCATTGAGATATATGTATAAAGCTGGGGTGAGGGATTCATGCAGATCATTGTTTATAGACCATGGAATATTGACATTGGCTTGCATCTTCATTTTAGAAAGTGTGTGCTTAGTCCACAAGAAATATAAAGATTTCAGACTTGTAACACCTACATATAAAACCCGCAGCTCTTCGAATTGTATCAAACTTCCCATTCCCACATTGGCTCTGACTAAGAACTCTTCAATTTATGAGAGCAAGAAAATGTTTAATTATCTGCCTATATACCTACGGGAAATTGACAATCAACTCAAGTTCAGAAAACAAGTTAGAAAATTTCCAATTGAAGGCTTATTATAGTTTGACCGAATTTTATCAAGATTCCTAACAATATATTTCATTCTATGTCTAGATTCGAGTCTAGATTTCTTCAATTTTATATTTAGATTTATATTATTTTATATCCTCATTTATTTAATTTCATTTTATTTCTACATTTCTGTTGTGCTTTAGTTTGTTAGATATTTATTGACGCATTATTTTGTTAGGTATATGTTATTTATTTTTGTTTTTCGACTATATTGTGATACTGCTCCAAATATTATTCTTCTTGACTTATTTTTTAATGTTTATGTATTTTTACCGTAAATATGCCGTAAATCATTGATGATGTTTATTTAACCTATATGCTTTTTCAATAAGAATCACCTTCCTTTCGACAATAAAGCAAATTTTAATTCGATTTGAAAGCCAAAGTGGAATCGGTGTCAGCCGCTATAAATCAACTTTTCAGCATAATGAAGTTGTGCACCATCGAGGACACCGCGGCGTCTGTCAGTTTGGCGCAGTTTATGAGCCCTGAAGTTGGATCCACGTTGATGTGGTTCTTGAAGAGGTGGTGCCTCTCTTATCTCTTGCCTGTAGAAAATTATTATCAAGAGGTAAGTTTGTTTTTTTCTTGAAATGTGCCTGTATCAGCCAGGAAAGTCCAGTATGGCATGTTGTGGATGCTTAGACTGATTTGGTATTTCCTGTTTATCGGTAATCTAGTCGGTAATAGTGTCGATATACAGGGTGTATATAAATAACACCGACAAAATTTAAGGGGTATCTTTTGTAGTAGTCCATACTCAAAGTGGAGTGGAATGATCAAGAAAAGAAACTTCGAGTTTAGCAAATGAAGTTCATGTAAACATAACCCCCCTGTATGAGGTTTCATGGTGCCAAAATTCAGTATGGATGAGACTGAGAATGACTCAAAATTTCAAAATGATTCTGATTGGGGTTATTGAGTAATCTCAATGGAAGTCTTGAAAACAACTACATCAAAATTTGGAGTCAAATCGAATTTTTATTGTTTCCTCAAAAACTAAGCTAGATACAAAAATCTCACAGAGGATAAAAAAGTTGTTATTTCAATAGTTCATTCTGATAAAAATATGAAACTCAGAAAAACCGGTGGTGTACAATGACATTCATCATGAATATCGATAAATATTCCCACTGCGACGCCACTGGAAATATTATTTCGAATCTAATTGCACCAGATGATGCCTCATATTACTATTAACAAAACCACAACGTTTTATTGAAATTGATGAAAAGACAATTGAGAAATGAATAGAAAAAAGATTTTTCAAGGAAATATTAATACCCTGTATCTCGAAAACGAAGAAAGTTAGCAGATGTTTACATAAACTTTATTTCCTAAACTATCACAAGGAATCACCCCTTGAATTTTTTCGGTGCTATTTAGATACACCCTGTAGATGTCGCAGTTGCAGTCAAATCAATACAACATTTTTTTGTAATGGGGAAGACCACTGATTTTTTAAAACGACATCATCGTGAACTCTATACTGAAAAACTACCAGTGAATCAATTTTGAATTTTTTCATCCATGCTAAGACGATGAAGAAAATAAATTAGTATATATCCATTTCAAAACACACAATTCCTGTGCCATTTTAAATTTCATCAATTCATTGGTGTGACTGGTGCGACGTCTTAGTCCCAACACGCCTATTGTCCTTGAACTGACCAATCACACTGCAACACTGCAGAATGACGAGGTATCAGAGAGAGATAGCTACAGTTCGGGACTAATACGTCACGACTCCACCAACATATTTGGCTGTTTGAAATACCGAATGAAATATGCTGATTTCAAAACAATATTCGATTCCCTTCCACTTCAACTCATAATATTGATTGTACAGGGTGGCCAACTAAGACTCCAGAGTTCGATTTCTCTGTTGTCTTGAGAGATACAAAAAAAAGTTATGTATCAAAATTAAAGTAATAATCGAGCTCCACATTTCAAAATTTCTTCGAAATCCACAGGGTGTTCCGTAAGGTCACAGCACATCAAAGCTATGTTTTTTTCATCGGAACACCCTATATTTTATTTCATTTTTGAATTCTCCCTGAAGATCTGATTTCAACGACTTATCATACTTAGGGTCTAGCAGTGAAAGTTACTGACATATAGGGTGTGCAAAATCGAGATTTTCCAAGTTCAGATTTTTTTTCTGTCGAAACTGTTCATTATTCGTCAAAACGGTTTACATGTCCCTATTTCAACTTTTCACTCACTATCAATTGGTGTTCAATTGGAATTGATACAAGGTGGTCAAAAAATCTTAATTTATAATTTGTTTCAATTTAATGTCAATTGAACACCAATTGATAGTGAGTGAAAAGTTGAGATAGGGACATGAAAACCGTTTTGACGAATATTGAACAGTTTCGACAGAAAAGAATCCTGAACTTGGAAAATCTCGATTTTGCACACCCTATTTGTCAGTAACTTTCACTGCTAGACCCTAAGTATGATACGTCGTTGAAATCAGATCTTCAGGGAGAATCCAGAAATGAAATAAAATATAGGGTGTTCCAATGAAAAAAACATAGCTTTCATGTGCTGTGACCTTAAGGAACACCCTGTGTATTTCAAAGAAATTTTGAAATGTGAAGCTTCGTTATCACTTTAATTTGAATACAAAACTTTTTTTTGTATCTCTAAAGACAACAGAGGTATCGAACTCTGGATTCTTAGTTGGCCACCCTGTACATAAAATGTAAATCATGATTCGTCGATTGAAAGAGGTTTGCACGGATTTCTTTCCTCAGTGGTCTTCCCCATTGTGTCCATGAATATACTTATTTCAAGATAATGTACAACAAAAATCATGGTTTTGGTTATACAAATAAAAATCATTGAATTATCGAGAAATTTTGTGTTCATAAAATTATATCAAAATAATTGATTTGCGTACTATCTTGATGATATGCTTAACATATTTTCTTTTCAGTTGAGCCCAGTTCTCATTGGTTGTACGGGAAAGGACACTGAGGGTGCCAGATTCATAGTAGATTTTGTTCTAACGAAAGTTAGATCTAATGTTCATCATTTCAAATCCGAGCCAATTTTATTGAGAGACACCGTTGACTTGTTTTGTGACATAGTCTGTGTCAAACACAAGTGAGTTATCTTGTTATTTTTGAATATCAATTGACCATATTTCACTTGGAAAGGGTTAAACATTTCGTGCTATGTGTTGGCAGCAGTTACTGTCTAATGGGCGAGTGGACTGATGATGAATTATTGGCATTCAATTACTCCACTGTGTCTTTAGGAACCTAAATTTATTTTTTGCAACCCTTCACACGCTTTTATTATGTAAATAATGAGTCTATGCGTTGTTCGAAATTGTTGAATTTCAGAGCTCATTCGAACGAACCGCCATTTGGCGATACGTCAAATAAATGGTGACATCAGTTTTTGCGCTGTTTCGTTATTGGTCAGATAATCTTCCATATCCAATCACGAAGCAAGGTTGTCAATTCACTAACTATAACCTACCTATAACCTGTGATGGTTTAGTTCATTCTTGACTTTTTTGAACAACCAGCATGTCCAAATGTTTCTTATTCTCCATAACAAAATATCATGTGTGTAATGAAACCTTACTCGAACTATAGGCTTTAATAAGGAAAATAAACAGAAAGCAACTTTCAGATTATGTTAACTGACATAATGACATATGATAAATCAACATAGTGAGTGATAAATACAGTTCATCATAACAATGTGAATGTTGGAGACTTGGCAACATTGTGCTGAATGCTGAGAACCGACATGACTACGACCAAGGACGACCACAAGGCGCCGTGGTTGTCACGTTCACCGATTTAAATGTCCTCTAGTGTGAATTAATATAATTATTATTCATACAAATTTATCATAAGCAATAATCCACAAATCATAAGGGAACATTTCGAGATAATTGAATTTTTATTGCTATTAGGAATATTCCCAATACTTGATAATTCGAGAATTATCGAATAACTAATATTTCTGAATTTCCCAATCGTATTTCAACATAATTATGGCAACTATGCTATGGTCTGCTCCTACTTACGCAATTGTGGCGTCAGCTTTTACTGGCGGTAAATTTCTAGTCGTTTGAAAATCACCGTGGCACTATTGACGATATGAGCACCTAAAAATTGACCAAAAAATTCTGGAAAAATGGAAATTGTCCACTCGCCTAGGGAGTGTCATTTGTTGAATGGATTGTCTTTTGTCGGCGCCAATTATGATTATAGTTCGATGAAAAAAAGTCCAAGAAGTTGTTCTTACTCTCATTTTCAATAATTAACAGTTTGGATCTAATAGAAATATAATAATTTTCACAGTGGCGCCGATTTTATTATCTTTTGACACTTTTGTCTCCAACCTCACAACACGAAATGTCCATCTCTCGAAAATATGGTCAATACATGATGATGTGACAATTTTGGTGATAAATATGTACGAGGAGAGTTTTTTTTGCACTGTACAAAAATCGTTGATCTTGTTATTTCTGTACCAATGGTGTACATATAGAATAAATAACACGTGGGAAGGTTTATCAACAAAAAATAATAAAGACAAAACTTCTGAATTCGAACAATCAGGGGTATACAAACTCAACTGTGGATCTTGTCCTAAGGTACTTGTCGGCCAGATAGGTCGTACGTTTAATCAGCGCATTCATGAACATTAGATTAGAATAGATTAGATTTTTTGAAAAAAGAATCAAATTCAACACACGCCAACCATATGTTAGAAGAAAACCACAGTTTTGATGATATTTCGAAATTCTACACGTACAAAATACTGGAATGAAACTCGATCATTTTGAATCATTAGTAATCAATAAACTCAAAAATTTTGACATTTTACTCAACGGTCAATTACACCTCAATAGTTCACCACTGTTGAATTTGTTTTCCTAGTAGGTAGTAATATGTATTTGCTATCAGCCCTTTCAAGTTAATCCGGTACACCGTATTTTAATGTAGATATTATTCCTAATTTCCGAAAATGAAGGTTTATCGAACCGTTCACAGGTAACTAATCCTTCTAGTTGGGAAAGTAGGATATACAGGGTGTCCGCTAAAAGGAGGTCAATCCATCAACCATATATTCCTTGAACAAAAACAATATGAGTTTCTAAATACCGATTTTTATTTTTGCCCTTCAGTTGGAAATTAAAAACTGTTTATTTTTAGTTACTCGCGTATTTAATAAGATATCAATCTCAAAATTGGTATATTACTTCAGCACAAAGAGTTACATCGTGTGAGGAAAATAAAACAGAAAATAACTGTCAAATATTCAAAATACTGAGGGTCAAGTACACACTTACCTCCATTTTTTTTGTACGTGCGCTAATGACTTCCTATCTATTTTTCTTCAAGTGTTCAATCATTTTTGAGTATTTTTTGTCTCCTGTAAAATTTTGATAAAATTATTTGTTTTCAAGATAATTCGAAAAGTTCTGGTTATCGTTTGATGTCTATGCAGTTCACGGGAACCCTATAATGTTCACATACTCCTATTTACTTTGTCGAAATTCAAGAATTTTGTGGAAATCTTATCGTTTGTGAAGTGTTTACATTTGCCATGGATTTCCATCAAGTAACAGCCGAGTCAATTCAAAATTATTCCATTTGGCTGATACACCCTCCATTTAACACTAAAATGTTCACATCATCACTTCTATTATCCAACGACACCCTCTACTCGCCTACCATTCGATAACCTCCTTGCAGGTCGACTTACATAGTGAAAACGGAGGCCATGAGGAACCTCCTCGACCTCTACCAGCACCTGGAGCCCGGCTGCCTCCCGCCCACTATCGTCAGAGGCCTGTGCAAGGGCTTCGTCATGGCGGGGGCAGCCTTGCACAACCCCCGAGACTCAGGTAACATTGAGAAGGGGTGCAGTCTTTGAACAAGGTCACAATGGAATTTTATTTCATAACTAGCAGACCCGGCAAACGTTGTTCTGCTATATACATTATTTCTAGCGAATATTTTTTCAGTTTTAATCGAGGTTTTAATATTCATCAACACACTATATATTATTATTTTATTTTCAACTCCTTTTGAATTTTTGAAACTACTATTTATTTTCCACTTCCTTATAGCTGGGCTATCTATAAAAGTGTTGTGACAATACGCGGTTTCGGGTGATTCAATACAATTTTCGTTAGATTCCACCTTTCTAAATCTTTATTTCACACAAACTAAAATGACAAAAAAGCACAATGAGAAAACGATCCAAACCCACGCGGTGGAGCAGATGGGGTTAGAAAAACAAGACTAACAAAATATCATGAAAAACTTACCTAAAAGTGCAGCCCGCACTATCAAAAAAACTCCGATAGTCCCAAAGAAAGAATATTAGAAAAATGTTACCCCCTTTATCTTACGAAGTAAGTTAGTTTTTTCACTATTTATCACAATGCTCATCGTTCGCCATATTGGATTCCCATTGATAAGAAATCTCCGATCCCAAAAACCCCTAGATACCGATTTTGAATAGAATAGGATCATAATTACAAAACTCGTGCGCCATATTAGATCCGCCATTTTGAATTTCTCAATTTTGACGAAAAAATCATAATTTCTGACTTCGAAAATCCCCAGATACCAAATTTGAATAGAATCGGAACCTAATAATCACAAAGCTCCTCTGCCATATTGGATCCGCCATCTTGAATGTTCCAAAGTTGACGAAAGAATCATAATCTTCGACCCCGAATACCTCTAGATACAAATTTTGAATAGAATCGGATCATAATTACAAAACTCGTCCGCTGTCTTGAATTTCTCAATTTTGACGAAAGAATCATAATTTATAACCCCAAAAATCCCCAGATACTAACTCTGAATAGAATAATTATATAGCTTGTCCACCATATTGGATCCGCCATCTTGAATTCCCTAATTTTGACGAAAGTATCATCATCTCCGACCTCGAAAACCCCCAGATAACAATTTTAAATAGATTCGGATCATAATTTATAAACTCGTTCGCCATATTGGATGAGTCAACTTAAATTTCCAAAATTTGACGGAAGAATCATAATCTCCGACCCCGAAAACCCCCAAATACCAATTTCGAATAGAATCGGAACATAATTACCTAACGTCCGCCATATTGGATCCGACATCTTGCATTTTCCAATTTTTTCTAATTTGAGGAAATAATCATAATAATTTCTGACCCCAAAAACTCCCAGATACCAATTTTGAATAGAACCTGTTCCGATTCTTGCAAAACTCATCCGCCATATTGGATCCGCTATCTTGAATTTTCCAAGTCTTCCGTCGGATGAAGATGCGTTCAATTGTGGATCTTACTAGGGATATTGATAATACTATCTTATGACAATTTCCGAACAACTCAACTATGATTAGTGACTTGGCAACGTGTTGGCCGAGTTTTGACTGCCCATATAAATAACCGACATCGGAAAATTCTGACTTAATGAAATGAACTTATCTCTCCCTCAGATAGTACTAGCACGATGAACGAATATTTCGAGATGATGTTGACTCCGCTGCAGCAGCGCTTCAAAACTTTGTTGGGCCAAGAGAATTTCAGTAGGGTATATCACGAGGAGAAGGTCCAGAAGCATATGGTAGACCTTCTGGAAGCTTTCATAGGTATGAAAATTTACGAATTGTCTCAGCAGTTACCTAGTAGGATATTCTTAGTAATTGGCATGTAACTGTTCTTCCTGGATTTAAAATAAAGTACAATGGATGAGTTCAGCAATTCATTGCCAACCTTGAAAATAGCTAAAAACTTCTACCACACAATTTTCGTAAAATATTGATACCATTTTTGTCCTTATAGATTTTTGTATCATCCAGGAAGTTCCCGGCGTCCGAATCTCTGGAAAACATTGATATCAAGTGATTTTGAGGTTATTTCAGTTATCATATTGGCTGCCTGTAAGATGAATGGCATGTTTGGAAAAAAGGTAATGAGATTATCATGTATATTTGGTTATTTTTATGATGATCCTTCATTTCTTCTCTAATAAGGGCTCAACATATTATTCACACGGGTACACAGGTACTTCTTGAATGTCTTTAATGTTTGAATGATAGCTAAACACTAAATGAATTAATCTAAAAACAGTGACCCCAGAACATCACGACATAAAACAATAATGAGTATCATTTTTCATAGGCAGGCAATATGATGAACTGAAATAACCTCAAAATCAGTTGACATCAGAGTTTTGATAATTTATCGCGATTCAAGAGTCGGAGACTTCCTGAATGATACAAGAATCGATGAGAAAAAAAAATGGTAACAATATTTTATGAAAGTAACCTGTTTCCAGTGGTAGAGATCTTTAGCTATTTCCAAGGTAGACAATGAATTGCTGAACTCGTCCATTCTCTTCTAGGTATCGCGAAAGGTTCATTGATGCCTAGCGCGACCACCCTGTTCCATTTCCTGGCGCCCATCTTGAGCGAGCTATCGGTGCTCCTGACGATCTACAGCAACTACCAGGTCATCGTGCAGCTAATCCTGGAACTCTTCGGGCAGTGTGCCAAGTACATGCTATGCTTTCTATCCCCCCTGGACAGCAAAAGGCTGTACGAGAGCGCTTTGGCAACAGTGCAAGCGTACGCCAAGTGCAACGCTGGACGATTCACCACCGAAACTTTCGCCGAAGAATTCACTTACCAAGATTTAGGTCTGGTGCTGGATCTTCTCACTTTCATCTTATCGAAAGACTGCTTTGATCTGTGCCAAGATACTGGGAACGAGGAAATTAATGTGTCCGCTTCGGATGTGTCGCTTTTCGGCCTGAACTTTATAATGCCCTTGATGACCATCAACTTACTGAAGTTCCCGAGCTTGTGCACCCAGTACTATAGGCTCTTGGTGTTGATAAACGATATTTATCCGGAGAAAATTTGCAATCTACCGCCTGAGCTGCTGCAGACTTTGCTGCGGTCGATAGAAATAGGTTTGACCAATTTCGGGCCGGACATTGTCCAAGCTTGCTTGGACTTCATCCAAGGCATGGCGACTTACATTTTCCGGCACGCCATGTTGAATAGCCCTTTCTCGCAGGCATTGAGGCCCTTTTTGAAGGTTTTGATGGACCTGACGCTGTCCCATCAAATCAACTCTGATCTGATTAGTACGGCCAGTACTAGTATTTACGCTCTGATGTGTTGTTTTCAAGAGGATTATAAGATGCTGGTGCAGAGTTTGATACAGAATCAGCCTGACCCGATGACTGCTGAGAGGCTAGCGGCAGCTTTCAATAATTTGGTTTCCAACGTGGACATGACTTGTGATCGACTGCCGAAGCTGAAGTTCAGGGACAATTTTGATAAATTCGTCGTCAACGTCCATGGCTTTTTATTGATCAAGTGAGATTAGTGAATGTATGTTAGTACCTATTTTATAACGCAAAATATTTCGAAATTCACCAAGTACAACTTCCGGTTTGTTGAAATTTTATTGAGAATCATTTAGATACGTTCTACTAGTGAGACTTCACCTGGAAAAATTACGTTTCCAGGATGGAATCCTAGTGCTAAACCTCCTTTTACCTTCATCCTATCAAAATACAGAGTGGATTTTTGTAGAGACATTTCAAACTGATAAATCAATGTGACTGCTTCGGATGTAACACTTTGTCTTAAAGTTTGACCATTGACTGAAGTTCTCAAGCTTGTGAACCCCATATTGATATTGCTAAGGCGATATTTATCCAGAGAAACCTTGTAATTTGCCACCAGAGTTCTTGCAGACTTTGCTGCGGTCGATAGACCTACTTATCCTGGAACTCTTCGGATAGTTCGCCAAATGCATGGTGTGCTTTCAATCCTCAACAATTCAACAAAAGGCTGTACGAGAGCGCCTTGGCAACAGTGCAATCGTACGCCAACTGCAACGCTGGACGATTCGCCACCGAAACTTTCGCCGAAGAATTCACTTACCAAGATTTAGGTCTGGTGCTGGATCTCCTCACTTTCATCTTATCGAAAGACTGCTTTGATCTTTGCCAAGATACTGGCACAAAGTGGATTCTTGTTGAGACATTTCAAACTGATAAATCATTGTGACTGCTTCGGATGTAACACTTTGTCTCAAAGTTCGATCATTGACTGAAGTTCTCAAGCTTGTGAACCCAATATTGGTATTGCTAAGGCGATATTTATCCGGAGAAATTGAAAAATTAATTCAAGGTACTCATGGGCAAAGTGTATATTTTTTTCAATTTCATCACCCTGTGTCCAGGAGACGAAGCATTTTATGATACTAAAATTATTGTCTTCAGTAACTCTCATTCCTAAAAATAACTTTGGTTGGTTCCAAAAAATTTTTTACCTTCCTGTAGACTGCTTGAAAGACATACATTTTAATTTTGTGATGTGTATTAGAATAATTCGATTTTTTTAGTACCTACCTTCTTTTTGTTAAATATATTGAGAAATGTATTTATCATAGTTGAAAAAATTTGCATCCGGTTTGTGTTTTTAGTTCTTTGATCTGGATAAGTACCTATGTTTTATTATGAGTTTTTAGAACTACTATATACGGTACCTATTTGAAGCTATGGAAAACTAGGGCCACTGAGTCTATTAGTCAGCACTCATGTAAATATTCAATGAATCTAGACATGTTTTGTACACATTATCGAATCCAAACTTTTGATATTCCAGAGTTGTTAGTGGCCTTATCTGTAAATTACTGTGGTAAATAAAGAACTGAATGAACCAGTCCTTATCTTTTCTCCTATTATCTCCTTCCCACTCCTCTTTCTTTTTCCATCTCTAATCCAAAACTGATTAGGTACCCAAAAATTATCTAAAATATCCTTTCCAAAGGTAAAAAAATAATACTGGAACCAGAAAACATTACAACATTAGAAAACAATCATTACTAATCTGTAGGACGTAAATGACAATATAGCTTCAATGAAAAATATTATATTTTCTGAAATTCAACTTTCATCGACTGGTCACTTCTGCTACTGTATAATATCTGTATAATAGGCCAGAAATCATTGATTATAATTTACTCCTAACAATATTATCATTTAATTTCCCTTTATTTAGGAAAAATATATCCGCCGTCTTATCTCTCACCCTCTTATCTTATTTTACCTCTTTCTACGACTTTCAAATCGAAAAATGATCCAAGGAACCAAAAAAAAACATTCTAACCACTTTAGAAAACAAGTATTACTAGTATTTCTCGTACTATTTCAATAAAAAATATATGATATTCTGAAAAATATTTTTTATATTTCTGGTCACATATTTTTTTATGTTCTGGTTCCCACGAAAAGGGATATCCTGTAATGTTCAGAGAACATCGTGAGAACCAAGGGAATTAAGATAGGAATTCCTGTTCTTCTTAAATTTCTGGAGGTTATATGCCTCGGGGAACACCTCCCTTGGCAGTGTGTTCCAAAGCCTCGCTGTTCGTTGCTTAGATTATTTGGTAGGTAAATAATCTAAGAGTTGGACGAATCACGAAATACCCCTACTCTACTGGGTCGAATGCGGTTTTTCTTCACATCATCATATAAAAGTATGTACCGACGCTTTTGTATTGTAGCGTCCAAGAAACAACTGACGCTAGATTAGTGCATCTTTTGATTCTCACAACAATGGTATCTCAACCAGTCAATGACTGTATTGCTGCTTGCTTTTCCTCTTTTCCCTTTTTCTCTACCGCCTTTTTAAATTCACCGCTGGGGGCTGATAGTCCTAGCCCCCCCTAAATCCGGTACTGTATGCATGTCTTTATATGAAGGAGAATGCAAATTCTCTACTTCAGAAGATTTTGTTTTCGAATTCTTACCGTGTGTGTTCAATAGATGTAATTCAATATTCGTCGTCGTGGCATATAGCCAGGAAAGTAGTTGTTTTCTGTTGAATAAACCGAGAAAGAATTAATATTTTCATCACATGGACAATCCCTAACAACACAAGTACATCCTAGGGACTTCTCAGGGACGTCCCTAATTTTATACTAGGACATCCCAGGGATATCCTTTGTCGGGACAAAGTACATACTAGGGACGTCCCAGGGACATCCGCTGGCCAACAAAAAAGACAGCCAAGGGATGTCCTGGTACGTCCCTGGGATGTACCAATTACGAAGAAAGGATATCCCAATGACGTCCCAAAGATATTCCAGGGACATCCATTCGACAAAAGAAAAAACGTAGGTCGAGTAGGGATTGAACTTGGGACCTTTAGCTTATCAGGCACGCACCTTACTCCATTGACTAATATACCTTCTGAAGATTTATGTACTAAACAGATTTATAAACAGGACTAAACTACAGAAACCTGAATAAATACAACTTTGTTAGAATTTGTGTATAATTATTGTCATTCTTGGGTGTCTAAAAATGAGGGTCATTATGCATTTTCGATTTCTGTTTGCGAAAAATGGTAATTTCTCAAGAAGTTCTGAGACTATATTCTTTATTTTCATCACAATAATATTTCGGAGGAAAAACAAACATTTTCAAAAATACTCAATATTTTGATGAAATTCAATGACTCTGATGTGAATGGATATCAGATATTCCAGGGATACGAATAGGATAACCTAGGGATGTACCGGGCGGGATGTCCACTGGACAACCACTGCGGGACATCAGCTGGATGCCCCAATCATGTCCTTGTACCGCGGGACAAAAAAGGGACGTACCTAGGACATCCCTGTAGTGTTAGGGATGCGAATTATTCTCAATGCATTTCTTTATTCATATATCCATTTTTTGTGTTCATAAACATATCTGAGAATATTCCTTTTCAATCTTTTAGGTACTTCCAAATACATTATTTTTGTGTCTGATGATGGCCTCTGTGACCGAAACTAGTTACACTATTTATTAAAAAATATTTTCGTGGTCGACAGAATTTGTGACTTCTATTGCTTTTTCTTCTACGTATTTACCTGTAACGTGTGTATTAAACTACCTGCACAGACCACCGGTCTGTGACTGTGACTACCTGACTAGAGAAGAGAAGAATGGAGTGTGGACACCATCAGCCACTAGCAGTTGCTAACAGTCAATAGAAGAGTGGGAGCCTGCGAGGGTGTGGTCACTGAGGAGAAACTTATAATACCAACAAAACCACAATGCGTCATCATCATCAATGATAGTGACTGAAAGTTAAATGACCGCTGGCCGAATGTTTATGTTTATAAATTTATAAAGAAGCTTCAAAATTTGTGTTTCACAATGCAAATGTGCCCAAATGGGTTTTTGGTTCTCCTTGGAGTCATTTGTTTAGTGGAAAACTGTGAGTATTTCTATTTATTAATTTGTTGTCGCATCTCCATGGTTTCTCAATTCGTTAATAACAAGATAGAAACGCGCGTGATTCGAATTTTCTGACTACATACCTCTATTAATATTTATACATACAGTGTGTCTCACTTATAATGGAAACACCCCTGTATCTTATGTATTCGTTGGGTAGGGATCCTGAAATTTGCTGGAGCAAGTGATATCTTGAGTGATATACACTGCTCGCCAACAGCCATGGAACCACCCCGATTTCCAGAAAATGATATTAGGAGTCGAAATATATAGGTTGAAACCCAATTCGGAATCAGGACGCCCAATTCACTGAATATCCATATTTTTTCTGGAATTTTTTGTCTCACTTATTTCATGGAGACACGACCCCCGTTTACGTGATCGTTGGGTTAGGATTCTGAAATTCGCTGGAGCGAGAGATATACCTCAAATAATGTACTCTATGACCAAGTATATGATCATCTTCAGTAATAGGTGCGTTCGGTTATAACATATCTGTTAGCTCGATTCCATCTGTTAGCTCGGAAAGCGTTCGATAAATCAGATCTACTTCCTCTGTCTAATCTGCTCTGTGTTCGTTAATTGCCAGAGCGAGCTGAAAGATGTAATCTGTTTGCTCCGCCTTGAGGAGCAGATCATTCAGATTTGATCGGTTATTCGGTTGTCAATTGTCAACAACATGTTATTGAAATTATATCTCTTTTATGACGAAAAATTGAAGACTCGATCAACTGGAAACGAAACACAAAACTGAATTTTGTAGAATCCTCATTGCCCAGAATCGCCAGAATGACCGACGAATTTGCTGTAGGTAGCATATTAATTATATATCTGTAATATATGCGATCACAACTGCCCTGGATCCACAGTTAATGACCGATCATATTAGACAGAATCATTCCTTCCCTAGTAATTTTCAAAATATAAACAACAAACATTCAAAAAAACTTTGTTGCCCTGAAGTGTTTTTAAAAGTAATAAGGTTAGGTGAATTGTTTCTGTTTTGTGTTACTTCTGCAATCTGCAATCTACTACCTCGTTGAGCGTTCGTTAAATATCTTTAGCTCTATCTGCTTGGTGATCACGTGACACCAAATCTGCATCTGCTCGCTCGGCTCCGATTTTGTTAAACCGAACGCACCTAATATACACTGCTTGCCAACAGCCGTGGAATTATATACACGTCCTTAAAATAATATCAAGAGATAGGTTAGAAATCGAACTTCGGATTTGATAACAGGATGTCCACTTCACATATTTTGACGCATTATTATTGGTATCGATTTTCTTCATACTACTACGGGGTGTTTCCATGAAAAGTGAACCAAAACATGTATTTTTCGGAACTGAATTTGGAACGGAAATTGGGGTATGGTTACATGGCTGTTGGCGAGCAGTGTTAATCACTGAAGATGACCCTACTTGGTCATAGAGTGCATTTTTGGTATATCTCGCGCTGTAACAAATATCAGGATCCTAAACCAACGATTACGTAAGATACAGGGGTGTTTCCATTAGAAGTGGGACACACTGTATATATAGATGTACAATTTTTTCATTTATTTATAAAAAACTACATGTCAAAGTACCCTGTTCGTACCTATCCTTGATATGAAGGTATAGATAATTCGTTTAATTCGGTACAAATTTAACTTGATTCATTCCTCTCTTTCTAGATTTCATTATTGACGATAATTTATTTCACGTTTTATAGTTTTTTGGCGGGATAGTCTCTTGCTTTGAATTTCTCGGAATTTTGTCGCTATGATATTTGAAATATACAGGGTGTCTGGTAAACCATTGATCATACAGAACCTGGCTGGTTGTTTATAAACTATCACAAAACCACAGTCTTTTATGACTAATATGTTTATAATAACTTTTTGAAATAGTTGATTACTACCTCGATTACCACCATTTACCACTATAAGTCCTCTAAGAGTTAAACCACTTATTTTATTCGTCTCTAGGTTAATTTAGAAATAATTGAGGGAGTTCCAGATTTTAATCGTGAAAATTTATTGATAGGCGATCGATAGTTCTCGTAAAAATTAAGAGAAAAATTCATATAAACTTGTATGTTTCGGAGCTTAGTTTTTGATCATATAAAGGTTGTTGACGTTAGAGAAATAATTTCATTATCACCCTGTAGGTGTAAGCTTTCGTAATGCCAAAATGCATTGTGGTCAGTGATTGGCAAAATTTCCAAATAAATACCTATATCTATTATATGGCTATCCATTTTGATCTCATATTTTGAATGAACCTACATTACTATTTGGTTTCTGGTATTGAGTTGGCGGGAATTCGGACGAAATGTTGAAGAAAACCAATTTTTAAATTGTCGAAGTTTCGGAACTTTATTGTTTCATCTTCAGGACACTGAAGTAAAAACAAGAACATACATATTAAAATGATATTTTAAAATGAGGGGTTTTGATAAAAGCAAAATAAGTTACGTGAAATAACAATTGTTAAAAATAAAACACTTCTCACACTTTACAGAAAACAACATTGATGGGTAAATACTTACATTTAGGGTGGCTTTCCGGGTTCAAAAATAGTGAAATAAATAAAATTGACATAAAGTATAAATCATTTATAATTTCCTTCATATTTCATCCGTGACTTCTCCGGCAACAAATTCAACTCTATATTTTTTGCCACCTCCCTTATTTCTGGAGGTGTAAGTACTTCCAGATATTTTTTCGCACAACTGTCAGGAATTTCATGAATTGTCAAACTATAATTATTATGGACATTTCCATAGCAACCAACCATTCCATTATTAATTGTAATGAATTGTAATAATTTGCAAATACAATATCCTCCTATATCATTATGAACAATCGGAGAAAAAATTATATGTTCAACTCGGCAGCAAAGTAGATTGACTGCCTTAGCTGGATGAATTCAGCCTCGGCAGTCAATCTACTACTTTGCTGCCTAGTTAAACAAATAACTATTTCCTTAGCCAACACTCTCGATTGTTATCAATGTTCCGGAAGCGATTCGGATACACCATTCCAATGTAACGAGTGGCTGTCTAGCGACATAGATATAACACCGCAGGCATGTGACAAAGTATATGGTGCCAAATATTGCATCAAACATGTAGGCAGATTCGAAGGTATTGTGAAAAAATAATCAAAGCATGGGGATCATTCACTAATATTAACTTTTAGCATCTAGGCAGGTACCTACTCATTTTGTGGCTAAGGGAGGAGGTCCTAATACTTTTATTGGAACTATTACTAATACTTATAAATACTAACAATAATCTACTTATAAAACGTGTAATAGTATATTATTTAACAAGTGTTATAAACGTCCTTTTAGTAACGAGTATTTTAAGCACGAGCGGAGCGAGTGTTTAATAAACGAGTGTCTAGAAGAGTTTATAAACGCGTTACATACTCTATGCTTTTTCTACGAACTCCGAAAATTACATTAAAATACCTGCTATTCCTGCTAACCTACAAAATAATTCGAATGGAATGGGAATTGAGAACATAATACATGCATAACTGCATGCAACCAGCGAGACACGTATAAGAGTGATATTGGTTGTATTGTATTGTGTCCAGTCCATTGCTTACTAACCTTTGTTTCAAGTTCATTGTCATGCTTAGCGCAGAATAAATGAAATGTTCTCAAAGATGGATGCTTCATTTTTACACTTCTTGGAGATATGCAAGTACCAAAACATTCTCTTCGATTTCACTTTCGTCTACATTTCGCATATATTTTTAATGAAGAATTCTGATACAAACGAATATTGTTTGAATAATTCTGATACGAAATATGAAAATTACAGTTGATAGTTAATACAATTGACAGGCCAGACATGTCTCAAATTACTGAAGCTGTGTTTAATGAACTGCGTTGCCATGGTAATGTGTTTAAGAAATCGTGTTGCCATGGTAACGTGTTTAAAATTTGGAATAAATCACAGATTGTCAATCCGTGATTAATCGATCATTCAGCGTGGTACATATCCGTACGCTAAATGCCATTTTAGTTATGTGAGTAGAAAAAATTACTTATACTTATATAAGCCAGCCATTGGAATTATTCCAAAATTCAAGAATTATACTTCATATGAAGATGGAAGAGGAGAGAACTTCTCTCTCGCTCAAGGTAGAAAAGAGATCAATTGAATGATCATGTGAAAATTTCAATCAATATTTCTAACTGAAACACTTTGTAAGTATCTCGTAATCGCAGTTAGGTACACGAGCTCGACAATAATTCATCTCTTTCAACACTTACCTCACATTTAAAAACATCCTGTATAGGTACACACGAGGGTACACATAAGTGTTCCTAACATGCCTTTGAGACACGTTGTGGAGATGACTTTTGAGCCTATTAATTGTTTATCTCCAAATAACACTACTAATATTTTTTCTTGCTGCTTTCTGGATACCAGGTGCTGCTCTAAAGTGTTATCAGTGTTCTGCTTCTGCATCTATAGACTGTTCTGATGGAATGATACAGATGGGTGGAGGTGGTGGTATGGTGCCTCAAAGTTGTGACCACGTTTTCGGGGCACAATATTGTATTAAGACGACAAGCTATAATAATGGTACATGTCGATAAACATAGATTTTTGTGTGAGCAAACTAAATTTCCTTCTGCATGAGTTTGTAAAAATCCTATACTCAGTAAAATTATTCATATTTATTTTCGATGGAGGTGGTGGGATGGTGCCTAAAAAGTTGTGATCACGTTTTCGGGGCGCAATATTGTATTAAGACGACAAGTTATAATAATGGTACATGTCGATAAACATAGATTTTTGTGTTTTGTGTGAGCAATCTAAATTTCCTTCTGCATGAGTTTGTGAAAATCCTATACTCAGTAAAATTATTCATATTTATTTTCGATGGAGGTGGTGGGATGGTGCCTAAAAAGTTGTGATCACGTTTTCGGGGCGCAATATTGTATTAAGACGACAAGCTATAATAATGGTACATGTCGATAAACATAGATTTTTGTGTGAGCAAACTAAATTTCCTTTTGCATGAGGTTGTAAAAATCCTATACTCAGTATAATTATTCATATTTATTTTCGGAAATTCAATATTTAATGGCCCTAGGAACGCACGATGTTCTTTGAACATTATAGGGATTCCCTTTCGTGCGCTCCAAGCGATAAAAAAAAAAGTTAATATCCAACCAACGATGCATGTTCTATCGCTCTGATTGGTCTTTATACTCTACTCTCAACGTCCGTAAGTATACGTTGTGGGCAGAACGAATTGAGCTCTTTTCTACCTGGAACGAGTCTGAGGAAAGTTCTCTCTTCTTCCATCTTTCTCTCCAATGCTACCAACGTGGCCGCATTGAAATATAGAGAGGTCCGATAAATCTTTCCTTGTCTAACATTCAGTTCGTGCCACTGAGCTATTTTTGAATTCAACAGAGTGTCAATTTAACGATATTAACAAAATATGTCGAAATAAGTATGATATAATCTGTAATTTCATTTTAAAAATTTGAAAAGTTTTCAGTCAATAACATTCATGACATACACATATCACATTATTATAATCTGAACTAACTGAAATATCTCACTAGAAATGTACTGAATCAGTTATTATGTGTTCTTTCGGATGAATTGTCAGTTCAGAAGAAAATAATATCTTTATTCGCGATAGGAAATAACCGTACGACACCTATCGGAGTTCTTGAAAGCAGCCAAAGCAGCATATTTACTTTGTTTTCATTGGTTCACATTTGTTTTTTGTTTGTGCTTATTGGTCACATCATCAAAACAAACCGCTCAGAGTTCAAGTTGTTACCGTCAGGTGGAGTGACGTGTTATTTTCTATCGCGAATAACATCGAAAATAGTTCAGTGGCGCAGACTAGAGGTTAGACAAGGGAAGATTTATCGGACCTCTCTATATTTCAATGCGGCCAGGTTGGTAGTATCGAAGAGAAAGATGGAAGAGGAAAGAGCATTCCTCTCTCTCGTTAAAGGAAGAAAAGAGCTCGATTTGCGTGTATTTCACAAACAGTATAGTGTTGTGCTGTAGTAGAAAGAATAACTACATATTTGGATTCGACAAGACGATGAGATGTCACAATATTACTCAATCGTGCTGTCATTATTACTGTAACAGCAATGTTGGCATATTTATGCAGCAGTTTTGAGTTTCAAGTTTTTATCAAGTAATCAGGAAAAATCGATGATTCATGCAGTAGAACTGTAAACTTAACATTTCTAAAAGTAGAGCACAGCACATGCGCAAAACGAATTAGTCATAAGTGACAAGCTTCAAGTCAAAAGCGATAAATGTTTGGCATGATTCGAGACTTATGACTATAACTAAAGACTTTTGACGACAAATTTTAAAAATATAACGAACCGAAAATCAATGACATTTTTTATGACTCATTAGGTACTTGACACTTCTGATATGACTAAAACCGTAACATAAATCTACCATATATGACTGTCATGTATTTAGATTTATGACTGATTAAACTTTTAGCATCGCTGAATTTGTTGACAATTCGAAGATAAATATGAGTTAATATACTGGGGGCCCAAATGACAATGATATAATGGTTATTTTTCAAAAAAGTATAAAAAAATGACCTATCGATAATATTGATTGATTGTCTTTATTACCCCAATAAACATTTCTGTTTATGATAGGGATACATGAATACATATAAAAAATTATAATAAAGGGTTAACTAATGAATTCCACTCAGTGGAAACGAATTAATATTGTCTCTTAAGATTAAAGTTATATTTCATTACTAATTATCACTATTTATATTTGTTTTGAGTTCAGTTGTGAAAAAGTATGTGATCTTTTGTGGCCAATTCAGAAATTCCCAAACCATTTTGTGAGCAAAGAAGTTTTATGCCATGAAAAACACATTTCAAACGTTATTTTTCTGAAATGTAGGAGGAATTGGTGCCAAACGTTTCTGTTCGTCTTTGGACCTCGGAAACTACTGCAATTACGTCCAACAACCTGGTGATACGTTGACGTACAGGACATGTGTGTATACCTGCACAGGAGATGGTTGTAATACGGGTACTTTTACCAAGCCGAATGTCATTTTGATGATTTCACTCGGACTTTTCGTACGCGAAATATTATTCTAGTACAACTATATATTGTAAAATAGATAGAGGAATTCTAGAGATATGTACAGGGTGATTCACCATAAATGTCCCTCCCTCTAGCTCAGTTATTTGTTAACCGATTTCAAAATTTTAAATCATTGAAATGATTTTTCATATTTTTTTTTCGCTACGTCAGAAACTATCGACAGGGTACTAGCTAATTTTGTCGAATTGATACTGCTGAAAATGCTTTAGTAGTACCAAGAACATCGATAGTCGATGAGGTCTAGTTGATCGTTAACCCGCGAGGGATACCGCGCCAATAAAAACGTAAACGTGGACCGCCTGGGGTAGTAATCTACCCCATTGGTTGTGATTGAATTTCAGGACTTTCAGACGAAAAAAACCGTTGTTCGATGTGGAATTCCATTATTTATAGCAATAATAAAATAAACAAACAACAATAATAAAAAACTTAATTTGATTGATAAACTTAAATTGAATAATGAATTTCAATAAACGAATAAATAATATATGCACGTCCCTTTGTTTAATTGCTTCTCAATTTTTTTTCTCCTGGATAATATGAATATTTGACTACCATTGCAGGATGCTCGTTTTGAGGTTGAATTTCTATTTGTACAGACACGAATTCAGATAAAGCAGATTTCAAGTCTCTTCACCAACTGTTTAGTACGATGTGTGCAAAACTAATGACGAAACACATGCAAAAATTTGTTAATCGATCATATTTAGCTGAGCTGGCGTGAGTTTTCAGTGCCGTGCAGATTAAGCAAAAAAATCGTAATTTGATATCGCTTGGGGTATTTTCTTCCCCGCGCGGTCCCTCGCGGGTTAAGTAAAATGAATTGTTGAGTTTGTGAAGTTTTTAAATTTTATAACAGTATATGATTTCCCACTTACCATGCTCACCATGGGTATCTTTTTAACGGTGAGAGATACGAGGTCGGTTAAATGACACCAAATGTGGAGTTTGTCAAGGCCAACTATAATGTGAAAAAATATTTTGATAAAATCTATTCGTTTTTGTTTTATACGCAAAAAACAGATTTTCATCATTTTCATGTCTCCTCCGTACTTTCTTTATTTATGAAAATATTCAAATAGGAATTTCACATTCTCATGGCAGTTTTTCAAAGTGATTTCGAAAAAAATATGGAATTTTTACCAACTCTTCTAGAATTTGAGATATCAGCACCAACTTTAGTTTTTCAAATGTAGGTCATAGCTCACTATGACTTAGTTACGAATAACTTTTTTTTCTCTTACAGATGATATGTCGCAGTAATAGTTTTGTGTTGATAACAACGGAGTCATCGTTATTTATACAAAAACATAAAAATTATTTGGAAGCCGCCATCTTGAATTTATGAATTTAAACAAAAAAATCATGATCTCCGTCCTCAAAAACCCCCACTCACCAATTTTTAATGGAATTGGACCAAATCTTGTCCGCCATCTTGGAGCAGCCATTTTTTTTCAATTTCAACAAAAATTCCATAACTCCGATTAACTTGAAATTTGTCAGGTGTTCATAATTTCGGTGACAATACATTATGGAATTTTTGTTGAAATTAAAAAAAAATGGCTGCCCCAAGGTGGCGGACAAGATTTGGTCAGATTCCATTCAAAATTGTTAAGTGGGGGTTTTTGAGATCGGAGATCATGATTTTTTTGTAAAAATGTATAAATTCAAGATGGCGGCTTCCAAATAATTTTTTGTTTTTGTATAAATGACGATAACTCCGTTGTTATCAACACAAAATTATTACTGCGACATATCATCTGTAAGAGAAAAAAAAGTAATTTGTAACTAAGTCATAGTGAGCTATGACCTACATTTGAAAAACTAAAGTTGGTGCTGATATCTCAAATTCTAGAAGAGCTGGTATAAATTTCATATTTTTTTCGAAATCACTTTGAAAAACTGCCATGAGAATGTGAAATTCCTATTCGAATATTTCCATAAATAAATAAGTTATGGAGGTGACATGAAAATGATCAAAATCTGTTTTCTGCGTATAAAACAAAAACTAATAGATTTTTTCAAAATATTTTTTCACATTATAGTTGGCCTTGACAAACTCCACATTTGGTGTCATTTAACCGACTTCGTATCTCTCACCGTTAAAAAGATACCCATGGTGAGCATGGTAAGTGGGACACACTGTATACACATGTTCAATATTGGCACTAACGGTGACGTTTATGAAGAATACGGGGTATCCTATAAAAAAAAAACACAACTCTAACAAACCAACTCATTGAGCAACCCACATTGAAAAAAGTATGGAATCAGGTGAATATCTCGGTAACCGTTCGTTAGATTGTTTTGGATATATGTACAGGGCGATTTCAAAACGTGGTGGATTTGAAAATGTTATCGTCGATGTTGCCACTTTTTCTGTTATTCCGGAATTATTATCAACTTCCTTATCACCCTGTATTTTATCGAATTCACAGATTCTCCCTGAGAAGCTGATTTCATCGATTCATCACACTTGGGTCTAGCAAGAATGATTACTGAGATATAGGGTGTTCGAAATCGAGATTTTTCAACTTTAGGATTTTTTGTGTCGAAACTATTCATTATTGATCAAAACGGCTTACATGTCCCTACGTCAACTGTTGATTCACTATCTACCGACATTTAATTGAAACAAATACAGGGTGGTTCAAGATTCAGAAATCTGATCACCCTGTATCTGTTCCCATTAAATACCAATAGATAGTAGATCAAAGGTTAGGATAGGGACATGAAAGCCGTTTTGACTGATAATGAATAGTTTCGACACAAAAAAATCCCAAAGTTGAAAAATCTCGATTTTGATCACCCTATATCTCAGTAGTCATTCTTGCTAGACCCCAAGTGTGATGAATCGATGAAATCAGCTTTTCAGGGAGAATCTGAAAATTCAATAAAATATAGGGTGTTTTATTTAAAATAAGGAAGTTGATAATAATTCCGGAATAAATGAAAAAGTGGCAACATCGACGATAACATTTTCAAATCCACCACGTTTTGAAATCACCCTTTACATATATTCAAAAAAATCTAACAAACGGTTACCGAGATATTCACCTGGTTCCATACTTTTGCCCAACCCTGTATATCTTCGTATTCGATGGTATTCGTTTGGAAAGCTCCATGATACTCTGTATTGTTGAATTCATTTTTGAAATCTCTTACTGATTATGGAATGAACTACAGGTGTTGCATCAAAAATAATCAACTAGTACCCTGTAGATCGTTCATTTCGAGCACCCTGTATATTCCGATGTAGCGCAAAAGAATTATTGAAAATAATTTCAAATGGTTTTTCAAATTTTGAATTAAATAGATTCAACAATAATTGAGGTATAAGGTGAATCACCTGATACCTATAGTTTAGAATGCATATTTTTCCAATTTTATACATAATTGTAAAATTTTTTATATATTCCAACAAAAATATACATGTAACGATATTGAATAAAGAATTTCCATGACCTTATAATGAATTGCCTATTAATATCATTCCACCACAAGTCATGTGTTATATACAGGGTATGTCACGACGAGCTTACACTATCTCTATATCGAGAATCAGTCGGGAGAAATCCATGAAAATAAACATGCTTATATATTAGAATACGCTCTCTTCATTTACACCTTTTCCAATAGTAATTCAGAAAGCTTCATATGGAATTCAGACAATATCATTTTCAATTCAGATTAGTTAATTGAAATTCAGAAAATATCAAATGTAATTCAGAATTGTCAATTGATATTCAGAATGCGTCATTTGTAATTCAGATTAATCAACTGAAATTCAGAAAGCGTCAGTTAGAATTCAGAAAGCGTCAATTGGAATTCAGAAAGCGTCATTTATAATTCAGAATGTATCATTTGTAATTCAGAATGGGTCAATTGTAATTCAGACTATGTCATTTGTAATTCAGAATAGTTGATTGAAATTCAGAAAGCATCATTTGTAATTCAGATTAGTCAATTGAATTTTAAAAAATATCAATTGTAATTCAGATTAGTCAATTGAAATTCAGAAAATATTGTCCTGGGAACGAATATTCTAACTTCAAATAATTATATACATCATCTCATAGAATGAACTTCAAAGACAACTGTATGATTTGTTGGAGGAGACTGTGCTCGAACAGCACATCATACCACGATTCACCATGCTGCTGCTTTGACTTTAGAAAATATGCCCGTAGGTCGCTGAATGATGGATATTTTTATTTTCACCTGCTATGTCTCAATTCAATTCCAATATTGTTCGTTTTCATACATTACTCGCGAGTTTAATAAAAACAAACGTGTATCCCAGGGAAAAATTTGATTTAATTACTTTTAGTCGAATGTAGAGAGTGATATGCCCGGACGAAATCGAAGAAAAATTCATCGGTATTTTGTTTGATATTTTTTTATCAAAACTATCGAAGTGTGCCGTACGAATTTAAATGCCATACTTGTAGTATTTTTCCTGATCTTTCTGATTCTGATGAAAGTTTACGAAAAATCCGATCGGGAAGGTCAAAATTTTGACATCTAAAGAGAAAATGAGTTTTCCAAGTCCGGATCTGGAATTTTTTATTCATAGTACGTCATCTTGTGGAGTGTCATTAGAGGTGAGTAGCTAGTGAATTTCAGCTGATAACATCGAGACGTTCCTGAAATATCGTTCATTGGAGTTTTGCCCCGAATTCAAATAATGCCCTGTATTTCTGTAAAGAATAGGCAAAAAATATTTTATTATATATATATCAACTCACCTTGACCTCCTCTATCCGCCATTGGGCTATGGCTGGTTAGTCATGACTCACCCTGTATAATTACTTATTAGATTTCGCGGTGAACAACAACTACTGTCTGAATTCCAATTAACTAATCTGAATTACAATTGACGATATCTGAATTTCTATTGATGCTTTCTGAATTTCTATTGATGCTTTCTGAATTTCATTTGACAAATCTGAATTACAATTGAAGTTTTCTGAATTTCACTTGACTAATCTGAATTTCAATTGATTTTTTCTGAAATTCAAGTAACTTATCTGAATTACAAATTACGTAGTCTGAACTACAATTGACGCATTCTGAATTACAAATGACGATATCTGAATTTCAACTGATATTTTCTAAATTTCAGTTGACGAATCTGAATTACAATTGATATTTTCTGAATTTCAATTGACTAATCCGAATTACAACTGACGTTTTCTGAAATCCATTTGAGAAATCTGAATTACAATTGACGCTTTCTGAAATACATCTGGAAAAGGTGTAGAATATTTTCAGCAATGCAGTGTTGCCGCTTCTATCAAAAAGTAGTAACAACTTCATTATTTCAAATAGAATACCCTGTATCTTATTGCATTTTTAGATTCTCCCTGAAGAACTGATTTTATCGATACATCACACTTGGGGTCTGTCGGAAATGATCACAGAGATATAGGGTGTTCAAAATCGAGATTTTTCAACTTTAGGATTTGTTTGTGTCGAAACTATTCATTATCGGCCAAAACAGCTCACATGTCCCTATCTCAACTTTTGATTTACTATTCACTGATATTTAATTGGAACAGATACAGGGTGTTCAGAAATCTGAATCTTCATCCTGTATGTGTTCCGATTAAATATCAGCAAATAGTGAATCGAAACTTGAGATAGGGACATGTGAACCATTTTGACTAATGAATAGTTTTGACACAAAAATCCTGAAGTTGAAAAATTTCGATTTTGAACACCCTATATCTCTGTAATCATTTTCGATAGACCCCCAAGTGTGATGTATCGATGAAATCAGCTCTTCAGGGACAATCTGAAAATGCGATAAAATACAGGGTGTTCCATTTGGAATATCAATGTTGCTACTACTTTCTAGTAGAAGTGGCAACACTGCATTGTCGAAAATATTTCAAACGAAGAGAGCGTATTCTGAAATATAAATATATAAAGATAGTGTAAGCTCTTCGTGACATACCCTGTATAAAATCGGCTTCCTCCGATTCTCCCGTATTTAACCGATAACTTATTTAGTATACAGGGTCGGCCACCAGTAACGCCTCGGTCTCTAGAAGGCTAACCACTTATCTTCTTGGAATTCTTCCTCTCTAGGAAGTTGCATGTCAACAAAGGCTACCATTTGAAATTATTTTGAAACATACAGGATGTCCCCAAAAATCACAAAACACTGAAGTGGAACTTTTTTCAATCGAACACCCTATATATTATTTCATTTTGAGATTCTCCCTGATGAGCTGATTTCAACGACCCATCATACTTGGGGTCTAGCAGTTATAATTACTGAAATATAGGGTGTGAAAAATCGAGATTTTCCAAGTTCAAGAATTCTTTGTGTCGAAACTATTCATAATTGGTCAAAACGGCTTACATGTCCCTATCTCAACTTTTGATTAACTATCTACTGATATTTAATTGGGACATATACCGGGTGATCAAGATTCTGAATTCTGCACCACCCTGTATTTGTTTCAATTAAAAAAGGTGGATATATGTTTGGTGAAATAGCTCCCTCTTACAAAACCCTATAAATTTTTGTAGACCTCTGGCCTACTTGATTATGTCGAATTCTATCACCGTAGTAAGGCCGCGCAAAACTAACGCTAGATGGCGCAGTTCCCGAAGTGATCTTGCTACAGAATGGTTGTTTTGTTTTGTTGTTTACATTTACGTATATTAATTCGTAATTCAAAAACATTGAGAAAAAGTGATTGATTTAATGGAAAAGACGTGAAATTTTCATTATATCTGTAAAGTATATGTGGCACGATGTTCCCTACGCCATCTACAGTCAATCCGGTGCGGCCTTGCTACGGTGTTTCGCGGTCTACACGTTTTGGAAAGAAACAATTGACAAGTGGTTACACCAGTCTATTTTCATCATGCTTTTAAATGTCAGTAGATAGTTGATCAAAAGTTGAGATAGGGACATGTGAGCCGTTATGACCAAATATGAATGGTTTGGACACAAAAAATTCTTGAACTTGGAAAATCTCGATTTCTCACATCCTATATCTCAGTAATTATAACTGCTAGACCCCAAGTATGATGGGTCGTTGAAATCAGCTCATCAGGGAGAATCTCAAAATGAAATAATATATAGGGTGTTCGATAGAAAAAAGTTTAACTTCAGTGTTTTATGGTTTTTGTGGACACCCTGTATGTTTCGAAATAATTTTAAATGGTAGCCTATGTTGACATGCAACTTCCTAGAGAGGAAGAATTCCAAGAAGATAAGTGGTTAGCCTTCTAGAGACCGAGGCGTTACTGGTGGCCCACCCTGTATGTATAAAAGCGTCCGCCCTGTAGACAGTGTGACCCACACCCCTGAATATTTTATTCATCATCCGATTTTGCGTTTTTTTTTCAATTGAAGACTATGAAAAACTGTAATCCAGGACAGAATGACACTTTCTCACAAGGAATATACGGGACGGGTTGTTGTAGACAGACATTTATCAAATTTGATTGTTTATTCAATGAAATAAGCTTATCAATTTATGTACGAAAAAGAAACAATCATCATTATTTTGCAAAAATACATTGTAGCACTAAAATGCCTCAAGAATAAATTTCAAATAGACAACAAGGGCACGTAATATTGGTACTGTTTTACCAAAATTGGTGAGTGATGCTTAAAATCCATAAAAACTACTTATAAAAAAATGAAAATATTTTATATAGATAAAAAACATTTTTTCCGAAGCAGAACTCTTGGTTCAAGAAAATAAAGGAGGTACACCTATTTAAAAATGCAAAATTCTTTTTCCACAAAATACCTTTTATTTATTATAATTTTATTCATTTCCAAAATTGAGAAATGACATTTGAGAGCAGATATTATGGATCATTTCTGGTTAAAGGAAAGAATTTTTTTTTGTAGAACAGTACCATTAGCTAAAGCTTTGTGCAGTAATGACATTAAAAAGTATCGACGAATTACGAATGTAATATTTTCATACAAAAATAATTGATTCAAATACATAATTTTGATCTAAGCACAAACACGTCTGGTATGCCTACCAGTGTATCACAAAAATTATTTTTCATAATTTTCTAGATGTATAAATTTTCATTTTATTTGTAAGCTTTACTTGAATATGAAGCTAAATTAATCTGAGTCACTTTTTACATGTGGCTCCTATTTCATCCAATCTAATATACTTAATCAAAAGATATAAAAAATTAAATAGGGAATCAATAAAATTTATCACATACAACATAACATTGGTTTTGATACACTTAAACTAAAATTGGGTAACATTGATAACCTAACTAATATAAAAATGTATAAAAAATATAGAATAAAAAGTGAATTGTCAAATTGGTCGAATTGCAAGTTCAAGAAAACTTACTTGATTGAAGCTTATTAAAGTAACTTCCTTAATTGATCTTCAAGTTCTCTAATTCTCTGCTCGCTGTTGGACAATTGTTTCTTCAATTTCCTAACCTCCTCGCACTGGGCCTGATATGCACGTTGTAACTACAAAGTAAATACGGCTTAGTTTTCACTGGCTATACGGGGTGGGGTGATTTACGTAGGAATCACATCAGAAGTTTTCCAACTTGCAGTGTTATTGAGAACTTGAGAAACATAAAAATTCCTCAAAGCAATACAACACTTAACCCCTTAACCTGAAATTTATCGACTACTTAGCTCCTAAATTTTATTATATGTTGCCAATAGCCATTAGAAATATAAACAAACTGAACGTATTCAAGAAACAATGTAAAACATACATTGTAGTCAACCTTGAAACATTCAAAAATATCTTCTAATACCTCTCAAGCAGTGAAAAATCTTTCAATATTCAATTTATATTAGCTATAATTTTAACAAATATTATAGTCACATAGTTGTTTTATGTTGAGTTAAGTTAAACTATGTTCATGATTGCATTTCATATATTCTCAATATACAATCTTAGGGCGCATATAGGTGTTGTAACACCTAGGTGCGTATAATAGATTGTATATTGTGTACTCGATTGGGTATTTGTATATTGCATATTTTATGAAATTTGTATATTTGTATACTGCAATTATTGTAATTGATTCATTGTAATTGATTGTAATTGATTGTAAAATATAATCAATCATTTCCAATCTACCTGGAATATTTTCTAATTTTAAATAGAAACCTAATTTTTTTTTCACCCGTTTCGATAGGCCTTCTTATTTTGAATTTAGACAACCTGATTTATGTCAACTTGTCTAGTTTTCGGGATATGTCCATTTTTCTAAGAATAATAAATAAATGTTTTAGTTCATTCTTGGCTCTTTCGAGCAGCCAGCATGTCCAAATATTTCTTATTCTCCATAACAAAATATCATGTGAATGTTGGAGACTCGGCAACATTGTGCTGAATGCTGAGAACTGACAAGACCACGCCCACAAGTCGTGGGCAGTGGTTGTCACGTTCACCAATTCAAGTGTGAATTAATATAATTATTATTTACACAAATTTATTATAAGCAATAAGCCACGAATCATAAAGAAACATTTTGAGACAATTGAAGTTTTATTGCTAATTAGGAATATTACCTATACTCAATTGAGAATTTATGAATTATAGAATAACTAATATTTCTGAAGTTCCCAATCGTATTTCAACACATGGCAACTAGTGCTACGGTCTGCTCCTCCTTTCGAAATATCAATTCTCTCTTGGTTTAATCAACAGAAAACAACTACTTTCCTGTTGAATAAACCGAGAAAGATTTGATATTTTCATCACATAGAGAATGCAAATCTCAATGTATTCCTTTATATATACAGTGTGTCCCAAATTCGATCCTCACCATTGGTTACTGAGATAACTATGAGAGATAGAGAAACGCTTAAATTAGCAAAGTTGTAGCAAATTCAATGTTGAATCAGAATCTATCCAGGCTAGCTTCAGTCATTCTTGAGTTATTTGAGAAAAAATGAAATCTTGTATTTTTGTTTTTCTCGAATATCTCGGAAACTATTGATTTCATGAAAAAATGATTTCAACATTCTCATAGCACTTTTTGGTGTTCTTTTCAATGGTTTTGTCAGTTTTCCATCAAAATGTCAAATTTCTGAGATATCACCTACAACTTCGGTTTTTCTTATGGACGCCATATTGGATTTTTACAGATTTGAAATCAGCATAAAATTTCCTTTCTAATGATGTATCACAGTCACAGTTTTATCTCATAAGGAGAACTGATTTCCAATTTTTGTTTTTATGTCCAGTAGGCTATGCGCTAAACTCTATAAACAACGATTATGTGTTCTGGGACAACTTTCATAGAGTAGGCTTGGACCCAAGTGACATTTCTGTAAACGTCAAGAGAAAATACAAGTTAATTATTTCGGGGCAAACAATGCCGTTCACAAAAACCAGTGACAGTACAAGGGTTAAGACCTGGTGATAATGAACGTCGATTCAAGTTTTGTCATTGGTTCGTCAACCAGTGTGAAAGAACCGATATCAATATCTCGATAATCAATTTGGTGCTAAATTAATTACTACTCATGGACCTGTTAGATGGCCTCCAAGGTCGCCTGATTGTACGCCTCTCGATTTTTACCCGTGGGGCTACGCCAAAAATAAAATTTATGAAGAGCCAATTCAAGATATTGATGATCTACGAGAGAACGATGGACACATTCCAGCACATCAACAGAGTTCATCTGAGAAAAGCAGCGAATATTAAAACGCATCGAGAACAATTTCGAGCAGTTCAATTGATTTTTTTCAGTATTTGTATTATCCACCTGTTAAGTTATGCAAGAACACAGATTCCATAATCTAAGGTAAAAGTCATGGTGGAGTGAAGTAGTAACTAATAACACAACATAATGAATTGTCATGGAGATAACTTCGAGTATTATTTATTAGTTACAGAATTCATAGCCTACTTGACATAAAATTAGAAAACAGTACCCCAAATAAAATAAAACTGTGATTGTGATACATCACTAGAAAGAAAATTTTATGCTGATTTCAGATCTGTTGGAATCCAATATGGCGTTCATGAGAAAAATTGAAGTTGTAGGTGATATCTCAGAAATTTGACATTTTGATGGAAAACTGACAAAACCATTGAAAAGAACACCAAAAAGTGCTATGAGAATGTTAAACTCATTTTTTCATAAAATCAATAGTTTCCGAGATATTCGAACAAAACAAAAATACAAGATTTAATTTTTTCTCAAATAACTCAAGAATGACTAAAGCTAGCCCAGATTTCTCAATAGAATCTGATTCAACATTAAATTTGCTACAACTTTGCCAATTTAACCGTTTCTCTATCTCTCATAGTTACTGAGATCCCAATGGTGAGGATCGAATTTGGGACACACTGTTAATATAAAATATATTTCCATTTTATCAATTTTTTTATGTTCATAATTCATCTGAGAATATCCCTTTTCAATGCTTTCGCCCAATCAAGGGGTTCAAACTTGAACAATGGAAACTTCCAGACACAAGTTCATATAGACTTTATTTTTTAAAATTGTCTCAGAATACGTCACTTGAATATTTCAATGTACTCATGTTATACCTTGTAATGTCGCAAAAATTAGTGTCATTTGAAAAAGTTCAGTTTTCGGCAATTTTTCATTGCAACAATTGAAAACGCCGCGCCTAAATGGGATTATTAGTCTGGACCCCCAGCTAACTGTTGTTCGAATTTGGTGCTTCAATTATGAACAGTTTTGGATATTCTATGAACTCAGAATTAGAAGTACAATCGAACCGTGTGATAAAAAAGTAGGTTCTTATTTAAAATAGGAAAGTTGGTGCTCGGTATTTGGCACATCCTGTACAGTTAAAGGACTGAAAATATTTCAGGTAGTTTGGACATGATCCATCATAACTGCATATAAATTTTCAAGTTTTTAATACAACTGTAAGTTGGAAAATTTCTAATGTGTGGCCTACCTAAATCACCCTGTACGATTCTCGAGTTTGTAATAAACAAATCCAAACGTCTTGTAGAGAGGTCGCTGTGAATTAATTTTATACACTTGGAATGCAGAATCGAGAAAAAGTTCAAAGTTCTCGCTCGTCTATTCAAACATAAATAGTTATTTAACCAACTAGTTTATTAATCGCCTTTTAATATACAAGGTGGTTACAAAATTTTTCCGTCGACTATATTTCTCATTTCTCCTGCAATGAAGAAAACTTGGTTCGCGAATCCATCATTCATCTGGAAACTGCTAAGAATCACCCAGTAGCCTTGTCACTGACATTAGTGACATTTGACATTTGTCGAAATGATCAACATAGGAAATAAATTCCTTGTGTTAGAAAACAGGGATTAAAATCGTGTCAGAAACTTGGAAAGGTGAACCCGTTAACAGAAAATCTTCAATGAAATCCATATTTTCGATTTAAATGCAGATTCCGTAAGTTATAGCATAAACAATGAATGCACGCGGTGTATGTTTGGTTGCCTATAAAACAATCGTACATTAATAGACAAATCGTTCATTAATAGGGGTCATTAATGAACGATTTCATATACATTAAACTTAGTCGTTAATACGAGGTCGACGGAAAATAAAATAACATGATGATTCCTCATTTACTTACATCATTCTCCGTCAGTATATTGTCACCGATACTGTTGATCTCTTTCATCAATGGAATGTCTTTATTGCTATCTCCAATGTGGTTGAATCTTTGTTGCAACTGTTGGAATTTCGTCGTTTGATTATTATTCGTCTTATGATTTTTCTCCGTAATCAAATCCTTTGGTCTATAGTCAGGTACTGTTTCGGTAGAGAGAAAAGCGAATTTTCTTTTGTTGTTGTCGATGGCAGGGGTCACCGGCGATTTCAAGTTACTCTGTTTGATAGAGGATATCTTGAGAGTCTGTCGTTCTCCTGAAAATTGTTCAATAATGATGTTTGGAATAGGATAGGTTGATCCGATATTGCCAACCTCATTTTATTTATTCGTAAAGTGCTCTCTATTCAAATATTTCAGGAATATTCTAGAATGCTCCTGAATAATCCGAATTCTCCAAAAGTGTTCTAGAGTTATCTCATATGTTCTAGAAATTTCGAATTTTCAGACAAAATTGGAAATGTTCCAGCAATGAGAAATGTTTTAGAAATTCTAGGACTCTTCTTGAACATCTAAAAAATGTTTCAGCAATGTTACTGTTCTAGAATAATCTCGATTATTCAAGGAGAATCAAAACTGTTTTCAAATTTTTCCTGAAAACTATCGAGTGTCCTAGAAATTTCGAGAATAATTAAGAATGTTGAATGTACAGGCTGTCCTATTTTTGATTGGTATTGGTATTGGTAAGTGTGGATGGTGACAGATGCGCTGCGACCTTATTAGATTTATTGTGCCCCATCTTCTTCTGCTATCTCAAGGTTTTCTTGTTTATAGCAGCCCCTCAAGCTTCAATTCTTTCAGGAATCTGGGGATTTTGAAGGAATCTATTTGTGGTATTTCTTCCACGGTCAGCTGGTGTGCTCCAGTATATTCGATCTTTTGTGGTGTACAGCAAAACACTCCAGCAATATCTGGTGGGGTGTTTCTGGATGTTCCCAACAGAATCCACTCTTCCTTAGGTGTTCTTTGAGTCTACAATTGCCCGTTAGAAATCCCGTTATTGCTTCGAGAGTAATTTTGCTGAGATTGATCAGTGTCTTTGATCTTGCTCGGTTGAAATTGCCGAGATCTTTGGCCTGCCGCAGTCCTGGAAGTCTTCGCCAGTGTGTTACTCTCATTGCTTCTTCAGCTTTATCAAGTACTTCTTGGAAATAAGAATTTCCAAGGCCGCAGAATGGTTCTGGTCCGATCAGTGGCGTTGATGCTCCTTTTCGTGCTAGAAATGGTCATTTCCCTCCACTCCGATGTGCCCCGGCACCCAGAGGAGGATTACCTTATTGTTCCTGCCTAGATTGTTGAGTTTGTCTAGGCATTCCCAAACCATCTTTGAGTAGATGTTAAAGGAGCTCAACGCTTTGATGGCTGCTTGGCTGTCGGAAGGATAGCGATCTCCTTGTTCCGGTATTTCCTGTCGAGGTGGAACTGAATGCATCTTTCTATGGCTTGAAAACGATGGGACACTGGCCCATCGGTTCGGAATATTCAGTGCGAGGCCCAAACACTCCTGCTCTAGTTCCCTCGGGTGTTTTAGATCCGTCCGCATACCATATTATGGTATTCTTTCCCAGTGCTAGGATGGATTCTGTGCTCTATTCTTTCTTAGTGCTTAGTTCTGTTCGGAAATATTTTGGGTATCCTTACCGGATATCTCACTTATTTTTAAAGATAGAGATTCGCAGTTTTCGCGAACGTTGGCTAATTTTTTGTGAAACCCACAATCTCAAGTATCTAATAAACTAAGTGAGCTATGAAAATAATGTTTGCGGTATCGTGAGTTTCAAAAAAAAGTAGCCAACGTTCGCAAAATCCGGAAACATCAAAAATGGGATAGCCTGTATAATACAAAAACCTAAAAAACTGTTATTTTTCTGTGATTGGAACACGCCCATTCCTATAAGATTTCTTCAATTTTATGAAATCTACTAATCATCAGGCCTTTGCAGTGATGAGAAATCTACCTAGCTTGAAGAATAAAATAAATTACTCCTTTATAATTTTAGCTATCAACTTATAACCTCATTATACACAATTTATATGATCATAAAAGCTTTTCGCGCGATTTACCTGTGTGAATAAACTAGTACTAATTTAATTTAGTAAAATCTGCTGAGTTTAAATTTTTAAAGTTACAATTTAATATTTAAATATTGATCATCGCGGCAAGCTTTTATGATCATATAAATTGTGTATACTGGGGTTATAAGTTGATAGTAGAAATTATAAAGGAACATTTTATTTTATTCTATTTAGAGCGTTTATTACACATTTTTTCAACTCTTAATTCATTATGAAATTACTTTTGCTACGACTTGGCTATAAAACGCCAGCCGCGGCATCAAATCTTGTACTTTCCTGCCTATAAAATAAATAACTATTAATTAATAATAATAAAAAAACTGTCCAACCGAAGTTCTCCGATATGCTTTACCTGTTTTCATCGATACGAGCACAGGCATGGCGTTCTTCCCGCGTATCCATTCCGATGCAGAGAGCGCCGGTCTGTTGGAGGCGGTATCAGGATACAAATCGTCGTGGAATTGGTCCTTCTTCCGGGGTACGATCATACTTATCGGCTCACAAACGCCTTTGGTCGCATGGAGTTTGTAGAAGCGGAACACCTCGCACTGGGAACTGCTGACGCCTCTCTTGGGCATCACACCTAGACCTCTCTGGGATACAAAAGAAATAAAATATACGAGTTCATTGATGGAGGGGAGAGTTGGGAGCTCGCGGATTTTTTCTCAGAACTGCCTGATACAAATTTGGACAAAGATTTCAATTGGATAATGAACAAACAAAGCTGAAAAACGATTCTTCAGAAGTTAACTATTTCATCAGAGCAAAGGAAGAGGTAACTTCAAGAAGATCTGTAGAAAAAATATCCATAATTTGTTGCTTTTTCAGGATTTTTAAGAACTTTTTTCAAGTTGTCATATGCCCTTGGTCGCATGAAGTTTGTAGAAGCGGAACACCTCGCACTGGGGACTGCTGACGCCTCTCTTGGGCATCACACCTAGACCTCTCTAGGATACAAAAGAAATTAAATATGAGTCCATTGATGGAGGGGAGAATTGGGGGCTCGCGGATTTTATCTCAGAACTGCCTGATACAAATTTGGACAAAGATTTCGATTGGATAATGAACGAACAAAGCTGAAAAACGAATCTTCTGAAGTTCACTATGTCATCAGAGCAAAGGAAGAGGTAACTTCAAGAAGATCTGTAGAAAAACTATCCATGATTTGTTGCTTTTTCAGGATTTTTAAGAACTTTTCAAGTCGTCATAAGCCCTTAGTCGTGTAGAGTTTGTAGAGGCGAAACGGCATCACCCCGACCTCTCTGAGATAAAGAAGAATTATAGGATTCTTGATTTCGTGGAAAAATTGGCGGCTACCGTATTCTTCCGAGCTATATTATCATTGCACAAACAATGTTTTTCTTCATTCAATCGTATGTATGAACAATTTTCATAATTAAAATGATTCAACATGAGAAATTTTTGATTGAAAAATTGACAGGAATATTATACGTTTTATTTGATGAAGAAAATGGGACAATTTTGAAAAGCAAAAGAGAACTGGATGAATAAATTACTGGATCAACGCAAAAACCATAAAAACCCAATGTAAACATACAGAAAATGTGCATCCTAATGGCGTCTGCAGCGACAGCCAATCAAATCGTTGACAACTGCTGTCGCCACTGTCTTTTATAGAGTCACTGTAGATCGTCCTCCTAACCTTCGGGACATTTGATTTACTAAAAACACCTGGTGGCCACTACTGAAATAAAAAAGCTTATCAAAAACTCACTTGCGGATTTCCAGACAGAAACTGATTCAAGAAATGTATATGGGGCGCCTCGTTCGTGATCTCGTAATATCTTATGTTGCCATCGCCCTTCCCTGCCAAATACACCACGTTTGTATCGGCATCGAAAAAGGGGAACACCACCCCGGACGAGCTGTCTATGGTGTCGGTGAACAACGGCTTGGACAGATCGTTCTCGTCCCAAACGGAAAACTGTCTGTCGGAATGGCGCGAAAATCCTGTGGTCAATAAACGCCCAGTAGATCCCAGATAAACCACCTTGCTGGCTTTGGAACCCAAATGGCAATAACCTTCCTGAAAAATAATATCAGATCTCTGTATTTTCATTTGTTTGACTCTAAAGTGCTGAGAAAGACTGTATACATAAATGACGAATGTAAGTGGCCTCAGAGTAGACCCTCGAGGGACCCCACATTCAATAATTACACTGTGTTATTACACACTCAAGATAAACCACCTTGCTGACTTTGGAACCCAAATGGCAATAGCCTTCCTGAAAAATAATATTGGATCTCTGTTTTTTCATTCGTTTGACTCTGAAATGCTGAAAAAGACCGTTCACATAAATGATGAATGTAAGTGGCCTAAGAGTAGACCCTCGAAGGACTCCGTGGATATTTTCACATTCAACAATTACACTGTATTGTTACACTCCAAAACAAGTTTCATACCAGTTGCTAAGAATCAAATAATATACATTTATACGTAGTTTCAAGCAATAAAAAAATATGATCTTACCGATTTCACCATGCCAGTTCTTGGTTCGATAACCCTCAGTTTCTTGTCTTTGCATGTTGTAGCGAGTAAGCTACCATCTCTATTGAGTGACATTGATTGGATTGCATCACGATGGCAGTCGATAACGTTGACAGCTTCGCCCCTTTCAATGTCCCACACAATCACCTACAAAATAAAAAGTATAGGGATTCTAATTATTTTACGATGAAACCTTCAAAACAAGAATAATAGGAACATTATTTTGCATTTTTGCACTAATGTGTAAATCTTGCAATTCTACAGAATAATATTATAAAATGAATAATATAAAATAATCTGAAGAAGAATGCAAATTCTCAACTTCAGAAGATTTTGTTTTCAAATCCTTATCGTGTGTGTTCAATAGATATAATTGACATATAGCCTGGAGAGTAGTTGTTTTCTGTTGAAAAAACCGAGAAAGAATTGATCTTTTCAATACATAGTGAATACGAATTCTCAATGTATTTCTTTATGCTGTTTCGTTATTGGTCAGATAATCTTCCATTCCCACTGACGAAGCAAGGTTATCACTAATTGGCAATTATAATCAAGCTATAAAAAATATGTGAGAGTCCTGTCGTTGAATAAAACATAATAGGAGGAACCCATGATATTATAGTTGATTCTTAACTTTTTCGAGCATCCAGCATGTCCAAATATTTCTTGTACTCCATAACAAAATATAATGTGAATGTTAGAGACTTGGCACCATTGTGCTGAATGCTGAGAAGGGGCCAGACCACGCCCACAAGTCGTGCGCGCCGTGTTGTCACGTTCACCAATTCAAATGTCAAATATAATTACTATTTACACAAATGTATTATAAACAATAAGTCACAAATCATAAGGGAAAATTTTGAGACAACTGATTTTCTATTGCTCAATAGGAATATTACCAATACATAATTGAGAATTTATGAATCTGTGAATAACTGATATTTCTAAAGTTCCCAATTTTTCGGGGAGGACAAGCCGCGGCTGCTCGGAAGATTGAGCATTTTGGGAACATCTTTGCTATCATCACTCAGAAGGGACAGATTTGTGGACATCTGAGTGCGAGGATGGGGCAATTTGTGAACATCTGCTTATGTGGCCGCGGATTGATAACGAGGCTCTGGCAATCCCCTCAGGGGCTCACAACTTGTGAGTACGGGAATAGTGAACCCGAGGTACCCTAGCCGGATATTCACCATACTTCAACTTGTCTTGGGTGATATCCTCTTCTCTCTTCCGTTTTCAATCTTTCTATCGACCTTTCTTGGTCTCCTCCAAGCCCAACCGCACCATTAAGTGGTGTGGGGAAGGCAGGCCGCGGCCGCTTGACAGATGAAGCATTTTGGGACCATCTTTGCTATCTTCTGCCAGATGGGACAATTTGTGGACATCTGTGGCAGGGCTGGGGCGATTTGCTGATGTCTGTCTAGGTGGTCGAGGACTGGTCAACGAGGCTCTGGCAACCTAATCCAAGCTGTGGGAACCCGTGGCGATGGAGGGTTGGCACCGAGGAATGGTGTCGCTAACGGGGCCTCTGGGAAACAGGGCGACATCCCAGAGTAAACAGCCTTAGCCCTGTGCAGGGGGCACCACAGGGCTGGACCAACCCCTTCCCCCGTCACTCGTAGGAGAAGGAAAGCTTTTGGCATTCTTCGTAGACGAGAACAGGGATCGGAATAGCAATATTCGGGGACCTGAACGAGAAGGGTCTTTCATATTGAAGTGGCCCTTAATAGGCCCCATGAGTCGTATGTGGTAAAATTGATAACGGCATGTAGGTGAGATACAATGGGCCACTAGGCCTAAGTGTCGTCGGAGCCTACAACGGGGTGGAGTGTTTAGTGGGTATACCATGGAGGGGACTCCCACACTATCATATGGGGGATTGGACCCATATGATGTCTATGAAAGATTTCAACCACCTCGGTGAAAAAAAAAAGTTCCCAATCGTATTTCAACACATGGCAACTGTGCTATGTTCTGCTCCTACTTAGGAAATCGTGACGTCAGTTTTTACTTGCGGTAAATTTCTGTTGGTGGCATTATTGATGATTTCAGCACCTAAAAATCGACCGGAAAATTCTAAAAAAATATGAGAATTGAAAGGTATTCGAGTGATAATTCTATTTAAGAAATGAAAAACAACTAGTCCAATCGCCTATTCTCCGCTTTAAATGGCCAGACAATTCCAATTATTCCAATACCGTAACAGAACCGTACATGCAGCGGCAATAAAAAGTAAAACTAGCTATCGAAAGTGAAACCTCTAGAAAGCTGAACTTGAACTTGCCATAACTGAAATGCTAATCAAATCGAACATGCATAACGTGCAGAGTAACTATCCCGTTAGCGATTTTACTAAATATACTGTACGCTAGCACATACCACGCCCACCGTTATATCTCATCTTCAAAGTACTTCACTTAGGCAGAACTCAGAGTCTTTTTATCCTCAACGAACTAACCTATCCCTGATTGCAATATTTTTGAGGAAGGGAAATCGAATGGAGTGTAGAAACACATTGATTAATAATATATTTCAAAAGTTGAGTTCTTCAACAAAATTGAATAAAATGGGACTGTTTATCCTAAACGCACTAACCTATTTGACTTCAAATATTTTATGAAAAAGGAGAACCAGAATGAAGTAATAAAACATTGGTGAAAAAAAAAAGTTGCAAAAAAAAGTTCAAGTTCACAGCGATTCGAACCATGGACCTTCAGACTGAAAGTCGACAGCGCTAACCAGTAGACCATTTGGGTGTATTAATTTACTGCCTACAAGAGATTGACAACGAGAGAGCTCCAGTCGAATTCGTGTCAAAATCATAAAAAGTGTATTCTTGCGTTGGAGCACAATATATTTAGTGCGATGTGCTGACTCCGAGTATATCGGTAATGTTTGAAGATATGACGTATTATGGTGGGCGTGGTTTGTGCTAGCGTGCAGTATATTTAGTAAAATCGCATCCCGTTAGTATTTTCGCCGTTTACGGGCAATAGTAAAACTCACCAGGTGATCGAAACCGGCGCTGAAAAGGATATTCTCGGCTGTCGGGTGCCATTCGATGTAAGCCACGCGTCTCTTGTGACCTTGAAGTTCCACCAGCCAATCGTCGAGGTGCACCGACAACCCTTCATCGGGAATGTGCCACAGTTTGATCTGGAATCATATGAATCGCCCGCCCAGTGATATCAGTGAATGTAACAACCAAACTTTTCATACAGTTTTTTGGGTTTAGGTCTGACTATTCGTAGACACTTTGTGAAATGGACAAAGTTTTGACAATTCATTGATTGCCCACAAATTATTGTCTGTTATGAAGAGGAAAGATTAGAGATTAGTTAGTTTCTTTGTATGTATTGAATAGGCTTCGAAACTACAGAATCGATTTGGCTGAAAATTGGTGGGGAGGTAGCTTAGAACTAGGAGAAGGTTATAGGTTTATCCCGGTACAATTAGGAAATTCAAGATGGCGGATCTAATATATCGGACGAGTTTTGATATTATGGTTCGATTCTATTAAAAATTGGTATCGGGGGGTTTTCGGGGTCGGAGATTATGATTCTTTCGTCAGAATTCGAAAATTTGGGCAGAATTTGGAAATTCAAGATGGCAGAACCAATATGGCGGACGAGTTTTGTGATCATAATCCGATTCTTTTCAAAATTGGTACCTAGAGGTTTTCGTGATCGGGGATTATGATTCCTTCGTCAAAATTAAGAAATTCAAGATGGCGGATCCAAAATAGCGGAATGTGTAATTAGGATCCGATTTTATTCAAATTTGGTATCTGGTGGATCTCGGGGTCAGAGATTATGATTCTTTCGTCAAAATTAGAAGATATAAGATGGCGGGCCCAATATGGCGGACTAGTATTGTAATTATGATCCGACTCTCTTCCAAATTGCTATCTAGGTGTTTTCGGGGTCGGAGATTATGATTCTTTTGTCAAAATTTGGAAAGGGCGGGATTTGGAAATTCAAGACGATGGAAACCAATATACCGGACGAGTTTCGTAATTATATACCGATTCTATTCAAAATTTGTAAGTGTGCACTTATTTCAAAAATACTTCAATGACAACTTGCCTGATCAAAACAATTTTTTTTTCAATTCCTTCCTTAGACCCAAACTCAGAAAAAATAAATAACCTCACACCAAAGTCCTTGAGAATCAATAAAAAATGCAAATTACTGCATTAAAAAGATTGGCGTGAGGAAAAATATCAAGTTATAGAAAAAAAAAGAACGTTATGCAATTGAAAACAAAGAATATAATAAATGTGTCATCGGTGATCAGAGATATTACAGGATGTGTTTCGTCATTGTATAAAGTCAAAAGTGAAAAAGTAAAAAAAATACAAAATTCAATCAAATGCAATTTTTGAGAATAAGTACAACCCAAACTTTTCGAATGTCTTTTTTCTGAAGAGTTCTTATGAACTGTTGATAAGGAAAACATTACTCACCGTGCAGTCATCTGAGCAAGACGCAATCACGTTGTCATTGAATGGGTTCCATTTGATGTCCAAAATAGGGCCGGAATGACCGGTCACTCTACTGGCATTGAAGTCCAATCTGCCGGTCTGAAATTGTACAGGGTGTTTCAAGTGGGCACTTCAGCTATTTTTATTATCATAGGATCTTAGATGGAAGGTCAATGTGATTTTGACGTGCAATTTGACACTTTTCAAAACTGATGTAAGTTTTGAAATGTCTTATTTTACGTAACTAGTCGCGTAAAGTAAAAAAATACTTACAAAACTTGAAAATTGGTATGCTGTTATAATCGATCGTTTGAAATCTACCTGAAATATTGTTAGTCGTTCAGCTATACAGGGTGTGCCGAAAGTTGACACCACCTCCCTTATTTTAAATAGAAATCTAATTTCGAACGGATCGATTTTCCTTCTAATTCTGAATTTAGGTAACCTAATTCACGAAACTTTATACAGGGTGTTCCATATTTGAAAGTACACACGAAACTTGCAGATAAAGGAAAAATCTTCATCTGGTCATCATTCTTGAACCACTTTGTAGAATCTATTCTTACTTGGTAGAAATATTCCACTTATATGACCCATCAAAACTGAATAATATTCGAGATCAAAATCCAGGTCCGTCTTGAGCATAAACAGAAAATACATCTGTATAGCAAAATTGCTAGTTTTTACGAGCGCGCATCCAATTTAACATATGGTTTATTATTCTTTTTGAAATATTCTAAATCCAATTTTGATACAAAAAAATAACAGTCTTCGAAGTTCAACATCATTATAGACTGTTATTTTTTGTATCAAAATTGATCTTTGAATTACGAGTTTAATAAAAATGCCTCAAAATGGAGCTGTGTATTTCAAAAATTAATAATAAAACATCTGTCAAATCGAATTTGCGGTCACATTATTCATTTTTTTCCGATCTTTTCAATGATTGAAACGGATCTACAAGATTTTGCCATACAGAGTGTTGTTTTTGAAATAATAGACGTTTTCTGGTTTTCCTCAAGACGGACCTGGATGCTGATCCCGATTTTTATTTTATTTATTTAGACTAGATGCAGATTTTGCCGAAATCAAGATAACATCCTGTATCTCAGTTATAAAAGACGGTATAGTCATATAAATGGAAATGATAATTTATGGAACAGTTAGTTGGAAGTCGAGGTCAACTCCGCGGACGATTTTTGAAAAATAGCCGAAAACTCAACTTTACAAAAATTGGCACCTACTATATTTTTTTGAGAGGCCAACGTTTCCGTAAACTACTACGGCGATAATAATTTTCAGAAAAATTCACATATCTCGAAAACTGTAATAGAAGTTCGTGAATGCAGTAGTTAAATGACCTACCAGTCTGACCAATATATGTTTACCTTAGGAAAAGATCCACATTAATTTAGTTCGTATACCCCTGATATTTCGAATTTAGAAGTGTTGCATTTAATATTTTTATAAACCTTCTTAACGTGTTATATTTTTTCTATAAGCAACTCTCAAGTCTTGTTCATGTAGAAATTGAACTAATTTTCTAGTTAATAATCCGAAATAGGATGCAATTTTATAATTTTCATTTTGATTTATGGATATTCTCAGAAAAAATTATTATCTTATCGAATCAACAATACCTACATCCGTTGTTTACTGCAATCTGTTTTATGGTTATGAGTTCTTTATTAAAATGTTGCTGCCATTTTATGTCGATATGGGCGAGTTGACTCATTATGAATAAGTGATATCAGTGTCGGATGGTTGATGAACAACTGATAAATCATGTTCATCATTGATTTCACTTTCTGTAAAATCTAGGAAATTGATTGAATTTTCTGTTTCTATTCTGATAAATTGTATTGTCTGATTGCCTACAATGAAGAAGTTTCCAATATTTAGATTTTAATCTCACTGTGAAGTTTGTGAAATTTTAATATACGCGAACATGAAAATGTAAAATATTTTGTGTGTAGTTTTTTTTTATCGCTTGGAGCGCACGAAAGGGAATCCCTATGTTCGAAGAACATCGTGCGTTCCTAGGGAGGATAGGGACAGGAGGTAGGTATTGGAATTTTTTTTTGAACTGTTGGAGATTATATGTTGTTGGGAATATTTCCACAGGCAATGAATTCCAGAGCCTAGCCGTTCTATGGATGAAGGAGTCTTGATAAAGTGCTGTTCGACTCGCAAATTTTGCTTTCGCTCGGCTTCGCTAAACGCTCCGCCTCGCAAATGCAAAATTCGCTTGTCAAACAAAGTGTCACTTTTGATCCTAATAAAACAATCTACTATTATTTATGGAGCTGAAAATCGCTGTGCTAGAAGAATGTCTAGAGTTTTTAATGAAAGACATCAGGACAAGAATATTAGTCACTAATCCGTCGTGGCTCCCGCGAGAAAATTTTAAGAAACGGGATCTGTTTGCAATAAAAACTATCCAACCAAGAGTTTTTGATGAAGCTGCTCAGATCGAAGTGTTGGGCCACTTTGCTATAGCTGCCAACATTTCACAAGTACGGTCCTGGATTTTTTTTCAAATCTCTATACGGTAGTCTATTGGTGTTAAAGTGCATAATGTTCCATAAAAAAATGAAATGAATCAAAGAAGTTGTTGGAAAGTTGTGGCAGAAATATTTTGTCAAACAATCCTATAAATCACCCTGTTTATTATGGTACAAGAGGAGGAAAAACTCCAGATGGCCATTCGATATTCCCCTTAGGGGCCTCTGTTCGTGGTAGGAGTATACAGTGTGTCCATTTAGTGCGTAATTCTTCGATATCTCGCAAGCCATAACCTATAGAGAAAAACTTTGGAGAAAAAAGTTTTTCAGTCACTAAAATTGCTCATTTCAAAATTATTTTCAACATTACTAGGTGTTTTATAAAAGCAGGGCAACTCGAAGAAGAGTTTTTTTAAATGGAACACCCAGTATTGTTCATTCGGAATTAATTCTGCCGACGTTCACCTTCACATCGCTGAAAAAAAATTGAAATCGGTTGCGACGTTGCCAAGTTATAATTGATAAATCTATTTTTACCATTATTGAAGAGTCATGTTGAATTGGGCATGGTATATTCATTTATTCAAATTTTGAAAATATGTTTGGCATACGATAGAAGCAAGGTCCCACGTATACCAATCCAGTAATTTTGCGACATGTTCTTCAACAGGGTGCTCAATTTTGCATTTAGAATTTTGCAAGATTTAGATGACATTCATCAGAATTTTTCAAATGGAATACCCTGTATTTTTATTCAAAAATTTATTCCAACATCTTTCGCCTTTTTATCGCTAGAAAACAAATCGGAATCGGTTGCAGCGTTGTCAAGTTATGGTTAATTTCCTTATTTTTACTACTATTTCGTGGTGATTTGTACGTCATAGTTCTTTCATTTATTTGTATTGTGGAAATATTGCGTTGCTACAGTATAATCAAATCTGTTCTTTGACCATTCATATATTTTTTTACAAAAGAAACATTTACAGGGTCTTCAAGTTTGAATTTTTTTCGAAATATTTGTGTAATGACCTGTCAAACATCGCCACAATCAAATATATGGATTGATTAGACATTTTGCTGAATTCCCTCCCAAAAGCCGCGTAGAAGAGACACATTGTTTGTATCATTATGTTTACCTTCATCAAATCAAATGGAGATTTGGATTGTGGAAATAACGACAATAAAAAATGGCCCAAATTTCAAAAAATTGTCCTAATTTTCGCAATCCGCATCTTCATTGTTTGTATTGTAGGAGTTGTTTCAAAGACAGGCGTTGCTTTTGGCATGTTGGTTTGTTTCACATATTATTTGAATCATAAGTAACAAGATTACAAAATGTTTCAAATTTGGACGATGCACATATCACAAAAATACCTGAATGATCTATGTAGAACCTCGAATGTCATGTGGCAAGCAATATTCCCACACTCAAATCAAATTAAGGAACCATCAGGACGAACAAATTACCCCGAAATAGTAGTAAAAATAAGGAAATTACTCATAACTTGAAAACGCCGCAACCGATTTTGATTTTTTCTTCTGCGATGAAAAGGCGAATGATGTCGAAATAAATCTGTGATGAAAAATACAGGGTGTTCCATTTGAAAAATTCTTATGATCGTCGTCTGAATCTTACAATATTCAGAATGTAAATTTTAGCACCCTGTAGAGGATTATCTCGCAAGATTACTGGATTGGTATACGTGAGACCTTGCTACTACTGTATGCCAAAAATATTTTCGAAATTTCAATAAATAAATATACCATACCCAATTGAACATGACCCTTCAATAGTAGTAAAAATGGGTTTATCAATTATAACTTGGCAACGCCGCAACCAAATTCAAATTTTTTTACAGCGATGTAGAGCTGAACTTAAGCGGAATAAATTTCGAATGAACAATACTGGGTGTTCCATTTGAAAAAACTCGTCTTCGAGTTGCCCCGCTTTTATAAAACACCCAGTATTGTTGGAAATATTTTCGAAATGAGCAACTTCAGTAACTGAAAAAGTTTTTTCTTCAAAGTGTTTCTCTTGTGTTAATTGATTTCGAGATATCGAAGAATTACGCACTAAATGGACACACTGTATACAGTACCTTAGGACTCGCCCTGGTTGATTTGATCATTGATAGACCTTCAATTTTATGTATCTCAAAGTAGGGGGAGTAATTTGAGATATCAAAGTGGGGGTGTCTGGGGGTGAAGAGGATAAACATAGCATTCAATTGATACTGTTATTTCACTTCCCCCTCGATATCTCAATCGACTTGTTTTTTTCCGAAAATAGTAATCTTCACCGATCAGAAGATATGCAGGGTGGTAAGTTTTGAAATGAAAGCCCTGCATAAATAAAATATTGCGAACTATTGTCAAGCTTGAGGAAAAATCCCATAATCTGATTGATTTCACGAACCAAATATAAAATCAATTACTAAAATCATTTTATTCAACAGTATAGATATTATTTGTTAAATTCATATTTCGCTTCCATTCCCGATATGCAGTCTCAGCTAGGCGAGTTCATTCCCTTGCTTGCTGATACTGCATTGATCATCGATAATCATATTCAACCTGAGGAGTAGGGAAATCAATCAGAGGGACAGTCGTACTTGCCGAGCCCAACGATGAGGTCGTGGTTTGACACCTTTCTACCCTGGTGAGTAACCCTTGTGTCAGATAGTATTTATTTCATATGTTGTTCAGACTTTGTGGTCATTCTAGTATGTTCCTTTTGGTTCATTCAATTCAAATAAACTGTTCATTCTAGTGTTTTCCACTTTGGTTCATTCAATTCAAATAAACTGTTTTACATTTTACGTAATTGCCTCGTTATTTCCAAGTCATGAATGCATAAAACTACCCCTAAAGCTACGCCCTAGACCAAGCACTAGTCACAGGTGTGACACGTTTGTGTTTACTTACGCAATTGATGGGAATCACGATGAATGCACCGCCTCCTGCCACTTCTGTAACGATGGCGACGAATTTTGGATTGATCGCGCAAAATTGGGAGTCGTGAGCGTTCTTCGTTATTGGGATGTTGTCGTAGCATTTTTCCCTTTTGGCAGGCTCACCGTAGACGTGTCGAAATTTCGAGCTACGCACTCCTTTGAACCATAACTAAAAATGAAGAAAATACAGGAAAACGTGATTATTTTGTTTTCTCCGATTGGCAGCAAATATTAATTTTGCTGACACATATCAATCAGCAAAGTATTACTTTTCCTGCCTAGGCAGCAAAGTGGTTACTTTGCTGATTGATATGTATCAGCAAAATTAATAATCCATAATTCGTTTATAATTTCCTTTATATTTCATTCGAGACTTCTCCGGCAAAAAATTCAACTCTATATTTTTTGCCACCTCCCTTATTTCTGGAGGTGTAAGTACTTCCAGGTCGCTATCACTGTCCATTATATAATAATTCAAATATACCGATATTTTTTCGCACAACTGTCAGAATTTTCATGAATTGTCAAACTATAATTTTCATGGACAACTGCGACTTCTATCAAATTTCATTTTAATTGAACACTACAGGAAAAATAAAGAGATTGTGGGAATTGTAATAATTTGCAATTACAATATCCTCCTATAATATCATTATGAACAATCGGAGAAAAAATTATATGTTCAACTCGGCAGCAAAATAGATTGACTGTAAATCTACTACTTTGCTGCTTAGTTAAGCAAATAACTATTCCCGAGAAATTCAGATGGGTGACACAGAATCATGGTTGAAATTTGGATCATCGAATATGCTCAAAAGAGGGGACTTTCTCGAATTTAAGGATTTTTTTTTGTCATCTTCTGTTTAGAAAATTTTGCGCATTAGGCAGCACATATTTTGCCGCCCCCAGTACAAATGTTTGGTTGTGTTCTACTTTTTCACATCATATTGTCAAAGAACATATACAGTGTGTCCCACTTACCATGCTCACCATGGGTATCTTTTCAACGGTGAGAGATACGAGGTCGGTTAAATGACACCAAATGTGGAGTTTGTCAAGGCCAACTATAATGTGAAAAAATATTTTGATAAAATCTATTCGTTTTTGTTTTATACGCAAAAAACAGATTTTGATCATTTTCATATCTCCTCCGTAACTTCTTTATGTATGAAAATATTCAAATAGAAATTTCACATTCTCATGGCAGTTTTTCAAAGTGATTTCGAAAAGAATATGAAATTTATACCAACTCTCCTAGAATTTGAGATATCAGCACCAATTTTAGTTTTGCCAATGTAGGTCCTAGCTCACTATGACTTAGTTACAAATAATTTTTTTTTCTCTTACAGATGATTTGTCGCAGTAATAGTTTTGTGTTGATAACAACGGAGTTATCGTCATTTATGCAAAAACAAAAAATTACTTGGAAGCTGCCAACTTGAATTCATAAATTTTAACAAAAAAAATCATGATCTCCGACCTCAAAAACCCCCACTTACCAATTTTGAATGGAATTTTTGTTGAAATTAAAAAAAATGGCTGCTCCAAGATGGCGGACAAGATTTGGTCCGATTCCATTCAAAATTGTTAAGTAGGGGTTTTTAAGGTCGGAGATCATGATTTTTTTGTTGAAATTTATAAACTCAAGATGGCGGCTTCCAAATAATTTTTTGTTTTTGTATAAATGACGATAACTCCGTTGTTATCAACACAAAACTATTACTGCGACATATCATCTGTGAGAGAAAGAAAAGTTATTTGTAACTAAGTCATAGTGAGCTATGACCTACATTTGAAAAACTAAAGTTTGTGCTGATATCTCAAATTCTAGAAGAGTTTGTATAAATTTCATATTTCTTTCGAAATCACTTTGAAAAATTGCCATTAGAATGTATATTTCCTATTTGAATATTTTCATAAATAAAGAAGTTACAGAGGAGACATGAAAATGATCAAAATCTGTTTTTTGCGTATAAAACGAAAACGAATAGATTTTATCAAAATATTTTTTCACATTATAGTTGGCCTTGACAAACTCCACATTTGGTGTCATTTAACCGACCTCGTATATCTCACCGTTAAAAAGATACCCATGGTGAGCATGGTAAGTGGGACACACTGTATAATCTACTATTATTCTACATAAAACATGGAATAAAAAAAAGAAAATTAATTGAATTGACATCACATAGGCATTCTGTTTCCAGCCATAATTACAATAAAAAATTGCACGTGATGAAAATCATAATCTTGTTCAAACAAAAATGGCATTCTCATAGAGTCTTGAGCAAATTTATCAATAACTTCGTTGATAAAATTAACTCGTTATATATCTATAAGATGTCGATGAATACTAATTAAACAAAGTCTCAGAAAGTCACTATAATAAGCACTGATCAGAATAGGAATTGAATAATGCAAATGTATCTTGTAAGAAAGAAACTGATGAGTAAAGACCAGGCGCTAGGGGGGGGGGCGAGCGCCCCCCTTGCCTCCCCCTTCGGACGCCCCTGTCTAAAGTAGAGAATACTACTGGCAATAATAGCTATTATTATCTCAGAATAGCCCTCGAGAAATACTAGCTGTCATCATTGATTCGTGGAATGATGATAATATCTACTATCATAAACGGGTTTTTTCAATTTTTTTGTTTCGAAGGACTGTTGATAAGATTTGGATCACATTATTTTGGAAAGTGCCGTAAGTATGTATACAATATCAAGGTCTATCTGATTTTCTAAAATTTCTAATAGTTGGTGAAGTACATTCCACGTTCTAGACCAATCATAATTGTTTTCAAATTCTTATCGTGTATGTTCAATAGATGTAATTCGAAGTTCGTCGTGGCATATAGCCAGGGAAGTATAGTTGTTTCCTGTTGAATAAACCGAGAAAGAATTGCTATTTTTATCACATAGAGAATACGAATTATCAATGTTTTTCTTCATATACAGTGTGTCCACCTTAAGGACTTACCACCCCTGTAAAATCGTTATTATCCGACCAATTTCAAAACACTTTTTTTTGTTGGATAGGTATTTGAAATACCCATCCAACGAGAGAGTGATCTAATTCTTGGACTGTTATCGTGGCCAACTGCGACACATTTCAATGACCCATATTCCAGAAAGTACTATTGGGGATTTTTTTCCACGAAACTTGATGATGGATTCTGAATCAGTACCACTTGAAATATACCTGTACCGATTTTCATCATCATAAAACACAGGGTGTCCGAAAAAACGAATCATCATTTTCTTCAAATAAGTGATCAGCAAATGTAATTCTGTGGTTTTTCTAGAAAGAAATAATCACAAATTATCATTGAGGATTATTTCAAATATACCTGTACCAATTTTCGTCATTTGAATATACAATGTGTGAGAAAAAAATTAAAAAGGATAGGTAAGCAATATTTTTCATCCTGATAATTCTTCACTCAAAATAAAAAGATGGATCAGGATCACATGGAACATACCTGTACCGATTTTAATCATCATTAAACAAAGGGTGTTCGAAAAATCAAATTAATATTTTTTTGAGTGATGAAAAAATATTGCCTACTTTTTCTTTTCAATTGTTTTCTCATACACATCGTATTTTTGAATGATGAAAATCGGTACAGATATGTTCAAAGTGATCCTCAATAATAATGTGTCATCAATTCTTCTCTTCTTCTCAAAAGTACCACAATACTACATTTTCTGATCACCTATTAAAAAAAAAACATAATTCGTTTTTTCGGACATCCTGTGTTTTATGATGATAAAATCAGTAAATGTGTTTTGCAAGTGATCGTGATTCAGAATCCATCATTGTTTTTTGTGAAAAAAAATCCCTAATAGTACTTCCTCAAATATGGGTCAATAAAGTTGGTCGCAGTTGGCCACGAAACAGTTCATGAGTAAAATCACTCTCTTGTTGGATGGACATTTTAAATACCTATCCAACAAAAAAAAGTTTTTTGAAATCGGTCAGATAATAACAACTTCACAGGGGTGGTAAGTCCTTAGGGTGGACACACTGTATATATCCATTTTTTTATGTTCATATATCTGAGGATATTCCTTTTCAATACCAATAAGAGAAACACAAAATTCGACCCCTTTAATTATTGACTGGAAAAATATGCAGGGAACACAAAAGCTCGAAACGATTTGTAGAAATATGTTTTTTTTGCTTATTCTTCACGATTTGAACACCAAAATTCAAACTTTTTTATTGTTTAAAAAACAGTTGTACGTAAAATCATCGATTCTGATTCGTTAGATTCTATATAATTATATTTCTATACAACATATCTCTTCGCTAATCAAGACGACCAATCAATCTATCTATTTATACAGAGTGTATGTGAATAACACCGAAAAAATTAATATACCATTACATTTGTTTTTTTTAACTAAAAAATTTGCTAACATTTCAGTTAACGCCATCTAGCGGCGACAGCAAAAGTCAAAAATTCAAAACCAAATGAGCGTTTTGTAGGGCAAATTATGCTCTTTCATATGAGCCTAATTTGCTAAAATCGGTCGAAATAAACGGGAGAAATTTTGGTTTGTTTAAAAAAACAATTGAACTTCCCCCACCGCTTTATTTTTATAGATAGAACAAAACGTTTTAGACAAAAAATTTTGGGAAATGGTCAGTAAATATGAAAATGATATCATCGATATACTTTCATGGGACAAAATTCTATAAAAATCCCATTTTTCTACTTGGTGTTGGTTGTTACGACCTCTAGCGGACGTTTGGCAAACTCGAAAATAATTTCCAGCAATTTCTCTTGGCGACTTTTATCATGATTTTTTTTTCTCAAATCTATACGACCAATATCTTATGAGATATGGTCGCTCGCTACACTTAACTGATCACCCTGTACAATTACGGAATTTCAAAACAGTTTTTATAATTCAGCGGGACTGATTATATCTTCATAAAATGCTAACATCAATTACATCACCCAGCATGGAGCGTGAGTAGCCTAATGAAGAGTTGTTAATAGAAACACAGAAGTGAGATCATCTTTAAATAAACTTGAGACTCTTCTATTTACGCTACATTAACTAATTAACGAATCATAATATTTAACGAGTAATAAAAGTTGTGTAAAGTACTGTGAACACTTGATGGAATGTTTCAATAAAATTACCTTTGACATTGCACTTCAATCAAGTACCAAGTACTGTTCGAAACACTAGGTATATCAAACTAATCTAACGTACCTACATTATAATTAACACTGAAACTTTATGCAAACCACAATAAATTAGCATTGTGAACAATATTTATTTGTTGTTGCATTTCTACAGGTAGATGGCAACGCAATATAATAAATAATTTTTATGGCTTATCGCATATACAATTCAAATAAGATAACACCGACACCGGATCAGTATAATATGTACAGAGTGATTGTTCACAGAAACGATCAGATGGAAAAAATGCAGTATTTTAAGGACATTCAGAATCTAGTACTAAAAAATGCAAAAAATCATCGTAAAAGCTGAACAGACATCGCAGAATTGTCGTCTGGTGTTCAACACCTGCCTTAGATCTATACCATAAAATCTATATTGTTGAAGAACTGACAAAAGATAACCTTAATAAAGTATATACAGAGTAGTGCCCTTTATGCACAAAAAACGGCCAGGAGTGTAACTTTTGAATTATTCGAGGTAGGGTTTTGAAAATTGGTGGGCAGCTAGAATACCAAATGGCTCTTCAATTGACGTAACAATGTTTGTCCCAACTTTTGATTTTTAAATGGGACACCCTGTATTGTATTCCATAATCGGTTAGGGATTATCATGACGAATTCAACGATACCGAGTTTGATAGGGTTATTTCAAACACTTACAAAGATATTTGCGTTCGAAGTTTCCATTAGACTCAATGGGTGTGACTTCGCAATATCAAAACTTTTTTCTTTGTCACACTCATTGAGCATATGTAAACTTAGACTTAAACTTTTATTATGAGGAATCTACAGTTTTCCGTTGTGACACTTAATTCTTAACACCCTGTATATATCAAAATGTACGACACATCTTTTCTATTATATGAGTCAACTATAAATATGATTTCCTTCTGATTTATCCATATCGAGTGAAAAGAAGGAAGAATATCATTTAAAATGATGGCGTGTGTAATGTCATTCAAAAGCAATCTGTTGACATTTGACATCTCGTATTTGGATTGACTATTGATTAAATGGTTGTCATATGGTATGCTTGTTCACTAAATATGAAAAACTCGCCATAATAGTTATTTATTATACAAGGAAAAAAAGTAGTAGATTTTAGCTCCAGGTTGTGTTGTCTCCCGACGCGTAGCGGAGGGAGACAAAAAACCGTGAGCTAAAATCTAATATTTTTCCCGTGTATAATACACTATTTTTTTCTGTGACAGAAGGAAGGACGAATCAATATTGAGAAGATATTACATTATTTCGAAATCTGAAAATTATCGACGTGAAATTTCAAGTTTTTAACAGTAGGGACACCTGCTTTTTATAGACATCTTTATCATTCTTTTGAAGTAATATCTGATGTCACTTCTGTCAGTTCAATTCTATGATTTGATTTTGAAAAATTGCGAATTCAGTAGTTGTTTAGTAATATACGAAACCGCGAAGTCGAATGGAAGATAAAAGGACTTGCAGTTCTTTCTCGGAGACGGTATTATTGACTCATTTTTCGGAACTATAGCACAACAAAAGCCATTAACAGAGTATATATATGTGATATATATCCGGGAAAAAAGTACTCACTTTTTTCCCACGGGAAAAAAGTAATTTATGAAAAGTGACATTTTATAACCTGCCAACAGAGATGAAATGCCAAACTTTTTTCCCGTCACAGAAAAAAAATCATATTTCCTGTTGAATTTTTTATACAGGGTGTTTCATAATTGAATGCTGATTCTAAAGGGTGATAATCCTTGGATGATTTTAAGAAAAATTCTTCATGTGAACATAGGTCCGTAACAGCTTCGTTTCTGAGATACAGGATGTTGAAATTTAACAAAAAAAATCAGTTATTCCCCAATATCTTCGAAACCGCTCTGGCTTTTTTCTTCATTACAAATACTTAAAAAAAGTTACCATAAAATTATAAGAATATTGCTCAGATCTTTTGGTTACCACAATTGTGAAATTATGACTAAGAGTAAAAATCGAATAGGGACAAGCAAATGAATGCATTTTATTTTCTAACTCAAAATCCGTTCGCCGGACGAAAAAAAGACAAGAGACCATTTTTATGAGAAGATAGAGGATAATTACAAAAATAATATTCATTTGGAAAAAGGACAGTGGCGTATCATTATTTTGATGAAAAATATGACAGGGTATGTTAACAGGGACGCCACTGATGGAAATTAAGAAATCCTTCATTATGGAAAAAATGTATTTCTATTCATACTCGGCATGTACCAAAACTGAAGAAAAAAGCCAGAGCGGTTCCAGAGATATTGGGGAATAACTGATTTTTTTGTTAAATTTCAACATCCTGTATCTCAGAAACGAAGCTGTTAGGGACCTATGTTCACATGAAGAATTTTTCTTAAAATCATCCAAGGATTATCGCTCTTTAGGATCAGCATTCAATTATGAAACACCCTGTATAAAAATGTCTCATTGAGGTACATCCAATGAACTCAATATAATCATGAGTACATAAAGTGTTCAATGACAAAATAAGAAGAGCAAGTAGCTGTGAATGCATCCAAGACAAGGGGAAAAAGTAGTCGAAATTTCGAAGTTTCTCTTGAAATATCTCGATAAATAGTGGTTTGTTCATATTTTTATTATCGAATCCGGGTTTTTCAGACAAAAATACGTAAGTACAAATAAAAATATTCGAAAAAAAAACCATCGCATGATAAATGCAGTATTACCCAATTTTATTCTGATATTGTCTTCTCTACAAAAAATACTCAGTATCCACTGGTAATCGGGATCTTACCTGTGAATTGTTGGTCATATCTCCACACTCGCCCAGGATACCCATTCCATCAAGATTTGTTCAAGGAAGCATGCACTATCTCACAAAATAATACTGAAAATAAATTTCAAAATAAGGCACAGTCAAAATCTAAAACGAACAAAAACAAAATGAAGATTGCAAAAAATATCTAATAAATCAGTTCACATATCGAACGCATAGGCAACAAAGAACTACTTGAGCAACAAATAGGTACTTAGATAACAGTATCGATCGAGATCGATCTTAGAGATAAATGCCCCTCCAAGAAAGCATTGCGAGTGAGATGCGTGAAATAAAAAAAATGTAATTCGACTAAGGTGAGGAAGTCTGAATTTAATTTAACTTTCCTTGACTTCAACTTTTGTCCGAGTACAACATATTTTTTTCCTACGATCGTGCGCAAAGTAGCACTTTTCCGCAGGCATTTCTGTGCGCATAGTTATATTTTTCCGCACCCGTACGGAATAGTGATACTACACAAAAATCTCGTTGATAGGGAAGATTTAAATTTCTTTGTAGCTGTCTACTATTTTATGCAATGTGAGAATATACAGGGTAATCCACGGTGGATGGCCTATTAGAAGTATCTGAAGAACGAAAAGACAGAACATTCTGAAAATTGAGATGCTCTGATAATTGAACATTCTCTATCCGCCTAAAATATTTTCATCGATACAGTGTTGCCACTTCTATCAGAAACAACTAGCAACTTTGTTATTTCAAATGGAACACCCTGTATTTTATTGCATTTTTAGATTTCTCCTGAAGAGCTGATTTCATCAATGTATCACACTTGGGGTTAGCAGGAATTATTACAGAGATATAGGGTGTTCAAAATCGAGATTTTTCAATTTTAGGATTTTTTTGTGTCGAAACTATTCATTATCGATTAAAACGGCTCACATGTCCCTATCTTAACTTTTGATTCACTATCTACTGGAATTTAATTGGAAAAATTACAGGGTGCTTCAAGATTCAGAATTCTGATCACCCTGTACTTATCTGTTCCAATTAATTGTCAGTAGATAGTGAATCGAAAGTTAAGACAGAGACATGTAAGCCGTTTTGATCGATAATGAATAGTTTCGACACAAAAAAATCCTAAAATTGAAAAATCTCGATATTGAACACCCTATATCTCTGTAATCATTCCTGCTAGACCTCAAGTGTGACGCATTGATGAAATCAGCTCTTCAGGAAGAATCTAAAAATGCAATAAAATACAGGGTGCTCCATTTGAAATAACGAAGTTGCTAGTTGTTTCTAATAGAAGTGGCAACACTGTATCGATGAAAATATTTTAAACGGATAGAGAATGATCAATTATCAGAGCATTCCAATTTTCAGAATGTTCTGTCTTTCCGTTCTCTAGATACTTCTAATAGGCCATCCATCGTGGATCACCCTGTATGGTCATTGCAACTGTATTCACTTTTACATTTTAATTGTAATTTTCGATATTTGTGTCTCACCTTAAAAAAAAGTATATTATATTTTAGGTACCTTGTATGATCATGAATAATTATAATATTATTTCCAGCAAAATGTACAGGTATTTCCAAAGTGGTTCACCCCTCTCTAAATTTTTTAAATAATTTCATGATTGTGATATTTTTAAAATCTCACGATTTTTGCATAACTGGTCTGGTTATTTGAAATGTTCATTGGCAACACTGAGTCGCCAGTAATGTGTATTTCTTACAGGAAGTTGGCATCATAAATATATGGGAAAAACTTGGGAACAACTTTTGATGACATTATTTTGAAATTCGATTTTCACTACATGTCAAATCAATCACTTATTTGTTTGAATTGCAGCATTGTTCACTAACAAAAGTTATTTCTATTTCGATTTTACACATGTAACTATTGCAAATTTCAATTTTTGATATTTTTTATTTTGTAATATGAAAAACTGTCCTATACTTTGGTTTGATAATAATTTGATTGACGACTCTGTCATCATTTTAGTACTATGAAAATCTATATGTGAATAAATTTCGCTCCTAAATCCTTACACATCAACTTTGTATAACTATAAATAACGAGGTTATTTATATATAGAGGGTGTTTGGTTCACTGACGTATATCCCGAAGAAGGTGGTAGGTTTGTGATTTTGAACTAATTAATCATATAAAATATCATACAAAGTGTTATACTTTTCGAGAAATCTTTGCTTAGAAATTTGAGGTTGGATGTTGAAATCGGTTTTTATATTCTAACGAGCCAATTTTTTTTCATCTCATTTAGTACCAAGGACGTTTTCAATATCAATGAAATATGTATTCAACTTTTCAAGAAAAAAGAGATTCAGTCAGATAAATTCCTTACATTTTCTAATCTTTGTATAAGAGTATATATATGATTAAATATGTTCTAAATTTTCTCACCTATCATCCCCTTTCAGATAAACCTCAGTGAACCAAACACCTTGTATACAGGGTAAGTCAAAATGAGACAAACTTCATAATCCATATCCAAAATTGATCAGGTGGTTGCAATTTTTTTTTTTTATAAATAAGGATAGAAAATCTGTTATTCCTTTATCATGAAAAAAATCTACTGGAATGATACCAACTCTTGATAGCAATAGGAGATGAAACAGTAGAGTGTTTTGTGGACTTACCATTGGCAACTTGATTGGAGTAACTTTTAATCCTAATCAGGGTACAAAAGGGCACTTTAATGAACACAGAGTACACACACATGCATAGTTTGAACATTCTCTGATGTAGACAGATGACAAATGAAAAATTAATTTTTGGAGTACTTTCACTATGAATAATTTGGTTGATATTGCATGGAATTCAAACCGTAATAGATTGCCTAATAACCATCAATGAAGAAATTTCATGGAATGAAAACCACAACAGTAAATTTGATGACCATACCTAGCTTTCTGCTGCAAAACTACTCTACTAATAAATAATAGATACAATGAAATCACTGATATGGAACTATGCAATTATAATTCTTTTCTCTTTTTAGCAAATCACCTTGCAAGAAATACATTCATAAACCAATACCTAGCAAGATATCAAAATGAAATTACATCAAAATGATAATAGCCAGCAAAAATATTTATCATCAAATTTCAACAAGATAATATAATTATGTTGATTCTGGATATAACATTATATTCCCCCAGAGTAGGTTATCATTTATTAGATGAAAAATACTACATAGTATGAGTGAAAATTAACAGGAACAGAGCAGGTACAATATCAAGTAATAAATTCTAGGTGGGGCACACAATGTTATCAAAACTGTGAGAATATTTTTTAATGAATTAGGAAAATAGGAAATTATAAAAATGGACCTGAAGAAGCATGTGTCCCATCACTGAGGACTCTTGCTCGTTTTTCTTCCAATATTGCTATTTATATAGCTTGGCTTGGTCCTCATTCGCAGACTATGATGCCCTTTTCTTTAATAAACATAAATATCGAAATAAAAGGCATGCCAAGTACTTACCCTAGTAGTGGGCTTAGTGCAAGATCTGTTGTCCACTGTGTTCATTGATTTTTCGGCAATTATTTGAGAACCAAAAGATTTCAAACTTGATTCAGTCTCACAGATCATAACAAATTACGATAAATAACGTAGATTTGTGAAGAGTTTTTGGAATAAACAGAATATTTATGGTCAACCGACAATAATTCTTATTTGTTATGTATCAGATTGTTTATCAATAAAGGATTGCCATTGTCATTGACAGATTAACTGACATTAACATTACTGACAATTGAAGTGTAAGTCCTTAGATCATTTAGGCTGCAATAACGATCATGCTGGAATGATCGTTAGGTAGGTTCTGTCTCTGTCAATGGATCATTGGGACTGAGGACATTATTACTACGTCAATTGAAGCTTACGTCTTACGCCACCAATGAAATAAGAAAATAAGCACTTGGCTGGATGTCCAATCGGGACAAGAGGCCAAGAAACGTAGAAGAAGAAGAAAATAAGCAGACTTATGACCTGTCATTGTCAATTGTCAACTTCAATTTTGTCCGTTAGTGGATTTTAATTTTTAAACTCAAATTTGATAAGAAGTGAGAAGTGTCAACAAAGCAGGGGATAGTTATTAATGTGTGTTTAAATTGAACGAAATGTTTTTCCAAGTAAGTAAAATGCATATACAAGGCATATAATGATTTTTCCTATTACAATGAATCTTCATTGCTTCTAGAGAAATATTTTATAGCATATATTGATGAACATTTTTGTGAAATAAATAAAACATTAATTTATACTACTGATGAAATAATGAATACATTATTTGAAAATGAGATATATTATATTGATAAAATGATGAGTGATCACATCAATATTTTTATCCGAGGGATTTGAATTGCACTCCCCTAGGTATCCAAATGTAATAGGTAAAACACCAGTGATTTCTGTGTTATAACAATAATAGGTATATTGATAAGATTCAAGAGGAAATACTGGAGAAAATACCATGAAACTGTTTCATTGAACAAATAAAGAAATCATTTTTTATTCATCACAAAATAATATATTTATACAAGGTGTCCCAGAATGAAGTAACATAAATTCTACAGGGTGAACTAGAGACCAAAATTGGCCAATTGAAATCAACTTACCTCCATAAGAAAATGCACCATTGAGCCTTGAGAGGGCAATGAAGAACAATTTTATTTCCAGATTTTCTTCAATATTTTGGAATCCTTAAAGGGTACTGCTCTGAAATTTGTAGGGTAATTTACTACAATAAATGTGCATTGAAAACATGTCATGCCATGTCATGCCATTTCATTTGATTTCAATCAATATAGACAGTTAGATATATATTTGACATTCTCTTTGATAAAAATTAATCCAACTTTTTTGGAGGCACTGATGACCACTTTTTGATATTTCAAAGAATGTCATAATCAATTATCTCACCTTTTTCTAACTGCAGTTTTTTCATTATTTTCCTTGGTTTTCAAGATAAATAACAAAATTCATGTTGGTGCTTCTCCATATGACTTGTTTATGATGTTAGAATTATCATGTTTTGTTCATTTCTGCCTCATTTTTGTTGAGTTATTAACCACAATAATCATGTTTACCAATTTGCAAGCTGGTCACAAATTTGAGTTCAAGATTCCTGGTAAAAAACTTTATTTTTAGAAAAAATAAAGGACCCCCGCACTTTTTCTATATAAAAATGGCGTTCCGTCGAATTTCCCCAATTTTTGGTAAATGATAGTACTCGACATACTGATTGAATATGCCAAGTCCCAACTCAATCCTATGACTAGTTTACGAGATACAGGGTGTTGAAGTTGAAGAATACCTAATTTTTCTCGGCCTATATCTCTAAGATAGGACAAATGAATTCCAATTTTTCGGGAGCACGTAATAGTTATGCCCTTAGGCGCAAGAACTATATAGGTATTCGACCAAAACTGATTTTTATTACAGGGTGATTCTCATTTCAAATAATGTGTTTTTTTGAATATCTGAATATCAATGCTACAAATTGATAACAATTACAAAATGAGATTTATAGCCAAGTATGCTCTTCTTACATCAATTGAATTCGTAAAATATAATAATTATACATGGTGTTTCATTAATGCTGTTGATTGCATAATTGGTCTATCCTAAAGTTCATTGGGCCACCTCGTATTATCGGGTTGATTCCAGACATTCAAAATATTTTTGAAGGATGTATCCCAATGAGTTCCATGATATACAGAGTGATTCATCGATTGAAAAAATTGACAACCACGAAAAAATATTCAAAAACAACTATTTTTTTCATCACCCTCTAATTCGAAATTATTACCGTCGATGTAAGATTTTTTTCCACCAATATACTCAGTATGGATATTTCAATCAAATTGGGAATTTTCAGACCCATGCTATGACTAGTTTTTTTTATACATCGAATAATGTGAAAATAATTATGGAAAAGTAATTACATAATAACACGAAAAATTGCTCCGAATCGCAAAACTAGTAGTCACTAGTCAACTATGTCAAAAAATGTGATTTGTTCGTAAACAAAATCTAGTGGTCTTATTATAGGTCCGCTAGCAAAACATCTCGAAAATTTTTCAGAAAACATCAAACAAATCACAATATGCCCCCGAAAAAATCTCATCAACGACACAACTATTCTACGCACCCCTTTCATCAACTTTCAACTCATCAACGATCCCACTCATAAACGTGCTAAAACTCATGAGCGTTCGAAGTCGACAGCGGTTTTTCCCAACTCAATCCTATGACTACTTTTCGAAAAAAGTATGAAACTAAACTTCCGCAAACGCCTAGTAAGAGGTGCGCGTTAATATATTTTGCAACTCTCCTATATCCAACCAACTTCCAATCTTTTGACCATACTGTATATTGTTAGAATCGAAGTTAGTATATGCACATCGCAAAGACACTAAAGTTGGAGTTTTGGTTATGTAGATATTCGTTACCGGGTTCAGTATAGGCCTGAAAGAAAAATGTCAATTAAGAATTTCAATCACAGATTTTGAAAAAATAGACAAACCAACTCGTTTCCCCACCACCTGAGAGGTAGAGTTTCAGGCGCGTTTTTTTTATTGTGGTATCCCCTGTAGGCCTAGTCCACGTTAGAAAGTGAAAGTTCCAATACCTATAATATGATTGTGTGTAGGCAGGATTGGCGCAGTGGACGAGCACCCGAGTCAGGACTGCGGGGTCGTGGGTTCGATTCCCAGACAGCGCAAGGAATTTTTCGAATATTAATATACGAATTAAATATTGTGAAGTTTCGGAGCATCGGCTGGGGATAGTCCTGCACGATTCACTGTTGCGTGCCTACATACAATATAGATACATGTTCAGAACACTATGGGCTAAAGGACCTCATTAGGGATCGATGGTTGGTTGGTATGTACATACCTACCAACGAAGGACATATACTACTACTACTACTATAATTATGTTTCACAAGGAACACAGAAATCAACTAATCGCCAGATTCAAATCAGTTCCGGACCGATGTTCATATTTTCAGGATTCAATCGATTTGCAGCATCGTCGATACAATTCAAAAGGCGATCAGATGGAAAGGTAATATTTCCTTGGTTTCTTGCGTATCCAAGGAACCATACCACACTGGCTACGTGTGCACACGTCCCTAATGTTCTAGCACCGGACCTACAAGTACAGTAGTACCCTAAAATGGGCGGATCTTGTAAATTATTATCATCGATTTCTCTGAATACTAACCACAGCATATGTTTAGTGGCATTTCTGAACCGAGAAAATACTCGAAATCTTAAAAAATTGGGTTCCTCAATGAGTTCGTCAATATCGAGTGTATTTTGTTCCCCTCCATCTCTTTGTATCGTGTCTTGTATGTAGGAGGCAGCTAAGTGAATGTGATATGACCCTGTGAGTGTTTTCAAATATTCTAAGTCAAGTCGAGGAAACGTCGGTACATGTCTATGGTTCAAACGAAACCATCGACCATTTCTTGTACGGAGGTTTTCAGCCTCAACTCGGGCCTGAACAATGTTGACTTCTTCGATATCATGCAACATTTGTGTAGCTAATTCCAATGTGCCCGGCATCCTTATTGGAGGATGGTATTTGTTTATTAGGGCGCCAGCAATCAAATAGAATTCGCGTAATTTTGCAACATGTGTTATTGATATCGCTCCTCGGAAAAATTTGAAAATCGATTTGAAATGCCCATTTCTAGCCTCTACAATCCATCTGGTGCTAGTAATTAAGCGTGCCCTATTAGTTTCGATTGTTGTGAGTTGTCTTTGGTTTGGTGGTAGAAATGGTGGCATATGGTAATGGAGACCAAGATCCTGTAAAAGACCAATAGAGTCCCTATAACCCCTATCGACTATCACTACATCGCCTTCTTGAAACCATGTCCTCATTCTATTTATATCATTCTGTAGCTCATGCTGCAGAATGGTGGCATCATTATTTCTAGCATCAGAAAAGTATGGACCATTAATTGCCAAGATGTAGCCATCAGGAGCGACCATAATTTCAGGCTTAACCAGGTGCTCATTTTTATGGAAGCAGTAGGATTGTCTCAATATCCGGAAATTACTACTTTTTTCTATTTTGTTATATGTACAGTCTATATACACAATTGCTTTTGGGATATTGGGAGAAGGGTTGTATAGCTGATTGGTGTATACAGACACGTGTCTATTAATATAATCGTCTCTTGTAATAGAGTCGAAACCAATATTATTAGTTACAAATCTTTGCATTAGAGATATCCTCACATTCGATATTATCAAGCTAGTTGTTTGTCTTGAAGAAAAATGAAACAAGATTTTCAAAAACTCATCTGAAACTCCATGTTTCATTTTGATTAGAAATGTCAGTAAATGTTTCTTTTTGATATGCCTTCTATTTCCCCCTTGCTCGATTGTATCACAAAATCCATAAAGTTCTTGAAAATCTTCTTTTGAAATCGACGTCAGAGCTTTGAACTCTTCTTCTGTAAAACTATCAATATCATCCCAGTTTCTAATACGTCTATTTTCATTGGCAACTGTTCTCATACACTGTAGAAATTGAAGCATATTTGATATCAAATAGGGTTTGTTGATAAAATTCAAACCTCCATGCAAATTATTCAAGAGAAATCCATGAGGGTCAAGATGATGACCACAAATTCTCAGAAAGTCCGGAACATAAATATTCGTTACAACAAAAATGTTCACCCTACATGCAAGAGTTATTCTCTGAACATGTTGACGAGCATTACAGATTATGCAGGCACGGCTCATTACTGGACTCAATACATTTAGGCGAAGACAGTTTGGGTTATTTTCCATCTCATTGATATCAATTATTACACTGTTATGACAATTGAAACAAACTCTGGTATCATCAAAAATGTCAATTGGAGGATTTCCAGCAGCTTGTCTTCTAAATGTTGCAATTTGCAGAAAATCAACATTATCTTCACGATTTATACGAATTGTGAGTCTAGGAATGAAATTCCCTTCGCATACATAACATCTTACCCTATTTGCAAATGCCATAATGCGCACTAAATTCACTAAACAATTACTGAAAACGACTTAAAAAACACTCAGAATAAAGATATACGCTGATATGATATTTTAAGATACTGACAACCCGAAAGTTG